GTAAGGTATGTACGGATAGGACAGTAGAGTAAAGCAGGAAGAGCCGGGCATATTCCGCTTTCAACCGGCGGGGAACGGGACCTAAGCTTCGGCAAGAGCTGTCGGGTCTTTCCCCAAAGATTAATTATAGTAAGAAAGCTTTGGGGGAGGGAAAGAACAGACAGTACAGTAGTACATAGACGAGTCAGTCAAATAAGCATTGGACGGAAGGAAACGATGCGGCGGTGGCGGCAGATGGTAGTGGAGAAGTTGCCAGTTTCAGGACTAATAGAAGAAGGAACGCTGATTAAATGACATGATATTGGGTGTTTCGACCGTTTATTATTACATGTGCAAAACGGAGGGGAAAGAAAGAAATAAGTGGATTGAACGCGGGATGAGACGGAACGAACCTGGGGAAACGTTGTGTACTGTACTGTATCTGTATTATCTGTCTGTACGCGTCTTTGTAGGCATCCATGGCATGGGTTTTTAGTACCAACACCAACGTCAATACCACCAAGATACGGAAGAACCCAGTAGTTACATATTAGATATATTATACGAGGAATACTCCCGTGAATTGAATATGTAAATACCTACTCATGAACATAGTTTACCACACAGATCGTTGTGTCGGAAGCCCGAATATTGTTACCATCTAAAATCAATGGCTACAACTACCTACAGCTGCTGCTGCAGCACCCACGTTGTTGTCCCTACAGTATCGGCCGATCGAGTGAGTTAGCTGATCAATCACGGTAATAGTGCCTTTAGTACAGTCACTGGCCATGTCGTCAACACACAGGATAATAACGTTTGACCTTGGGGACTCGAGCCCATCCGAGTTTGACATGTGCTGCTGATCACTTTGCAAATGCCGTTCTGACAAAACAGTACAGTACTATCTAACGTTATTGATCTCACCCGGCTTTGAGGAATAGAGATGCTTGGAACCAACACTGGGTATCACTGCAATAGAACATTCTTAGAATCTTTAAAACAAAGCAAAAGAAACGTTGCAGACTCTACTGCCAAGACGGCAAAGTTCTAAAAACGAAACACTCCAATCGGCCTTTCTATCTTTTCCAAGAACTGCCGCAGCTTCTAACTGCATACATGCAGACAATACTGTATGTACAGTACAGTAACTACACCAGGCTGTATTGATAGTTAACCCTGCCATCCGTATTTTTCCCGCTACAAAAGTAAAATACAGTACCTACTATTACAGTACACAACCGTGCTGCCCTCGATTTTACGTACAGGACTCCAAGTAGTCCATGGATGTCTTGTTTTTCTCAAAATCTCTAGCCAACCAGAGCCAAGTTAATTCTTCTGATCGGCGTCGACGAGACACTGGATATTGAGCTTGTCACGAAAGAGCCAGGTCTTCTGGCCAGAACCACCGCAGTAAGGCCGCGACTAATAAGAACACGCCCCCCTCCTAATTTGTCTGTCTGCTGTCTGTCTCGGGTCCGTTCAGCTGGTCCTCGCATCCACAACCGTATTCAGACAACTCCAGTTTTTTTTACTCTACCTTACTCGCGAGCTTATTGACTTTCAACTCTACCTTTTCCATGTCGTGTAAGTGTATAAGACATATTGATGGCATCATTGATCAATCAGTAAATAGACAAATAGACAGACAGGAACATCAAATTCTCACCCTCTAGACCAAAGCCCTTCTCTATATATCTATCATTGGCTTTTCTCGGAACCACTACTGAACGAATGACAGAGATATATGAATACTGACAGACTCTATCGTCATCATCAAACATAACCTGTTGCATTCGAGCAGAAACTATACCAGAGTTACATCTGCCAGTATCCAGATATATACAAGACATGCATGCATACACGCATATACAAACGCCGTCACATTTTGAAGTTTCACTTTGTCGTGGGCCACGATAATCAACATCACTGCATGCGACTTAGATCAGGCTTGATGGAGTTGTCTGCGTCCAAAGTAAATCCCACGAGCCACGCTATTCGCACGGCAAAACCTCCCGCCCACTTGGACTGATTTTCACTGCACTGCATACAAAAGCCACCTTGATATTGCATCTTGCACCTGATCCAACTCTCGGCCGGGGAGAGGGTCCTCGGCCTCTTTCTGTGACAAGATACGGATCGGATCCACGCGACCCTGGGGGAATAAGGTCCAAGCTTCATGGCATGCTGTTCCCTCCCTGCCTCGAGATCGCGACTGATGGCTGAAGGTGAGGAGAGTAGACCTCGTTCTCACAACAAAAGAATAACCACTATTTATGGGTCGCGTGATTCGATACCTACCTACGGAACGGAGATGCTCAGCGTAGCATCTCCTGACGTAGCCGTCCCAAGTGTACTCCCCCGAAAGGAACAGATACAATTCATCTCCGGCTTATCTGTGAGCAACTAAGTCCATTATGAATGAGGCCATTCGTCGGCGAACCAGATGTGTTATAGATACCCACTTCAACAAGTGACGACTCATCCATAGATATCACCTAGCTCATGTCAAGAACTTACCGATACCAATGCCAAGTTCACCTTCGTTGCCGTCATCGCCATAGCGCAGTCACTTGCTTCAAAGTTCCCAAACGCTTGCAGGCTTTACCAGACCTCCGTTCGATTTGATATAATATCCAACGACATCCAATCCGTTCCTGACTCAGGGATTGCCGTTCGTCTTATCATTTGACCGAGTCTGGATGATGCCAAAAATGATAAGACCAAGGAGAGCAAGTACATCCATACAAGCAAAAAGTCTGCCACCTAATCTTGTATAGACCCATTATCTCGTCCGGCTAAATGCAATCCAGGGAGAATAGACCGAGATATGAACGGGCGGCGGATCCGGTGAAGACCCGGAGAAGAGCCAAGTCTCTATGCTAGCGAGGTCAGCCAAGAAAACCTAACAGGAACACTCCAGCCCCAAGTCTCGAAAGAAAGAAAAAAAAAAAAAGTCCCATTATCCGTATGGAAAGACGTAAGAAAAACCAAAGAGCCGCTCAGGGCCGATTTCTTCTCACTCTACCCCCAGCCTATCGGTTAAGCTAGGTAGGTCCAAGCTTTCTGTGCCTTAATGAACGGCGCGACCAAGTTTCCCATCTTACGGGATCTTTGTTAATAGAGGCAATCTGAGCGGAGTAAAGTGCTTATCGTCAGGGCATCCAATGCAGAAGCGCTATAACGTTGTCGATAACGCTTTGGGGAGAAATTGACGGGAAAGCCATGATCGCATTGCGTCTCATGGCAAGGCATCGTATCTATCCCAACCAAACCCATCCATAGCGGCGCACGCCACATAAAGTTCCTAGCTGCAAGCCCACCGGTAGACGCCGCATGGCAATGGAACGGATGGGCAGAATAGGGCCGGCCAATTGGGCCGACTCGGGAATTTCATTGACGATCGTCGAGGAATGATGGCACTGTAGAGAGTGAGCACACTGGTGCGGTGACTTTACTGTGCAGCAACTGTACGCTGCGACGCTCTGGAGCGTTGGAGTGGAGGGCAGACGCATCACCAACGTCAGCTGGTCGCGGGCATTTCAGGGTCAAGAGGAATGCTGATGCTACTACGTAGTAATGGAAACTGCTGTTGTTCAGATTGTGGGGAGATTTGCGTAAAGCAGTGGAGGGCTTCCATCGTCATTCTGGGTCCTGCCCTGTCCTGTCCGACCTGCCCAGATTTCCTCTCCAGGACGGGAAGCCCAAAGCGCTGGGGGAGGGTTCCATTTACTCACGCCGTTTCTCCAGACTGAGAGAGAGAAGGAGAGACCTACCCAACTGTACCTAGCCTTAGTAGCCAGTGCAAAAAGGGGCCCCAAAGTCACCCCCACAGCTGCCAGAGGCTCTCCACAGTTTGGCCGGCCAAGCGCCGCTTGAGGCGAACCAAGCGTTTGCATTGGGCGGCCATCAGTTGCGCTAGCTGTCTTGAACTGCAAAACTGTCGCTGTGATGTGCTGTAATAGCGTAAGTAACGACTTACTTAGGCTAGTTCGCCCACTGCACACCCACGACCGGTCGGTCCGTCCCCCCATCATCGTGGCCTGGCCTGGTCGGCTCGGTGCTAAAATTTCTTTTTTCTTCCTTCCTTCCTTCCTTCTATGTTCAGTTCATCATCAGCCCAGTAAAATGGAATGTACCCTATCAGGTAGGTAGCGCACAGTATGTCTCTAGGTCATCTTGATCCCAAGACAGGGGAAGTATCCAAGCAACTGGGATACATATTATCATCATCACGGCTGGAGTAATTTTCCTTAGATAGACTAAGGCTCTTATCTCAATTGTATACTTAGTTGTGTCTAAATCAATATCCAAAGTTAACTGATCTGGCTCGCTACCTCTATATCTACTGTACTGACCTAACCCCCGAATAAGAACTGCTGCACCTGCCTCTCTCTTCTCGAATTCATTATCGTCCCGTCTGTGGAGTTCCATTAAACTCACGCCCCCACTTTCCTCGTGCCCGCCACTCAAGAAACGCTCACACCCACACCCCTCCGCGCCTTTCCCTTCTCCCCCGGATTCGTACCTCCTCTGCTTGCCCGTAACTTGGTACCCTTGTACCTGAAAGTCCCCTTCCTTCCTGGGTAGTCATCACTACGCTCGCTCGCTCTTTCCTTGTACCATTATCCTTCCTACTCTCCCGTCACTTTGCCTGAACTCATCCCATCCTACCCCATCTTGTCCTATCCTTTCCTATCCAAATCAACTCGAAACACCACGACCTCACCCTCACGATATCGACCGACTCGTTCATATTTTCCTCACTTCGATTACTTTACGTCTCCGAATTCTCGGCATCGGTTCTCGGTTTCCCCGATCCCTCCGTCTCTTCAAATCGCTTTTCTTCTCGCCATGTCCAGTTTATTCTCGTTCAGTGCACAATAGAGACGGACGTCTACAGCCATTTGGGCTTGCCCGACACAGACATCACCGTCCTATCGTTCACCTTGTAGGTCCTGCGCCTTCATCTTATTCGACAACGTTCAACGCCGTCCGTTTTCCTCTCAATACCTGCCATCATGGCGAATCATCAACCGCGCACCATGGCTATGGATCCGCCACATATAACTGAATTTGCTTCAGAGCGTTATTTCGAAAAGTTGAATCAGCTTAACGCTCATCAGCAACAACAGCAACAATTCCAACATCAAGGCCCCGCACCTCACAACGGTCTCGACGCTTCCACCCCATTGCCGTCGAAGTTCATCCTCCCCTTGCGAGAATCTAAAACCGCCGATACTGAACCTATCAAGCATGGTGAACCGAAGCGTGAGAGGGCCCGATTCTTCGGTCTACGCTCCAAGGTCTCCATACTTCATTCCAAATCGAACTCTCCAACTACCAGCGCTCCACGTGTTTCCAATGAATCAACACGAAAGAGGTAATTTATTATCCGCTGACGATCCGAGTCTCTGTAGCTCATATCTGACATTTGTGCTAGTTTTGATCAACTCTTTCTTGGACTACCCAACGAGCTACAAATTCAAATCATTTCTGCTTTACCACTGACGGATGTACTCAATCTTCGACTTGCTTCTAAATCGTGGCATACTCTTGTCACCTTGAACGAAAATACTATTGCTCGATACCATCTTGAACACCACATCCCTGCTTATGCCTCCCGCCTTTATCCTATCACCGATTCTACTCAAATCAATTTCCAACACCTATGTGGCCTGTGGCATCGGTTGCACGTCGCCGCAAAGCTGGCCCTGATGATGTGCGAATGGATCACCAAAGATATTTTTCTTCGTCAAACCGAAGCCCAGCGAATGGCATTTGCCCCCCAGAACGAACGCATGCGACGACGACTGATCCCTCTCTTGTTCACAATATTCCATTTCTTTGAAACCTATCGAAGACTATATTTAAAGCGAATGGCTGAGAACGACGGTAAAGGCCTAAAACGCGAACCCTATACTATCAACCCTATCGAAGCCGAAATTATGAGTATGTACGACGACCAAACCTTATTGCGGGTTCACGAAGTATTTCCGCTTGTGATATCGTCGTTTTGCCGAAGATTACGACCACCAACATACGTGGGTAGAGTCGAGAGGTCTCTCCGTGGATATATCAGAGAGAAACCATCTGATGACGTACACGTCGCAATCCTATGTATTGGTGGACTTCGACAAGTAGAGAGGCTTTGGGAGATTAAAGGATATAACAGCCGCCGTGGTGCTGTGGACACCTGGTTTAACGCTCTTACCAAGGAATCCCCCTCGACCGAGTCGACCACGTCGACATCGAAACCCAAACGAGGCCTTTTTGGACGTAAGAAGTCTACTAGTGAAGCCCGGCCATCTGGTGCTGCATTGAACAAGGTTCGAAGCTCGGGCTCTATAGATGGTAACATGGACTGGGATGCTAGCTTCGTCTTCAACACGAGCTTATCTGCCGGCGCCCCCATGTCTCCTCTGAGCCCTCAACAGGCTCAAGCACTCCTCAACGATCTTCCTGTACTGCAACAAATATGGCTCACTACAGCTGAGGCACTTGTTCTCCAGCGCCGAATTGTTGAACGCCCGCAAGACATCAAGCGCAACCAACAGGTCATGCTCGACTTGATCCGAGAGGATGGGCTTGACGAAGAGGACGAATGGTGGTACGGCCGCAGCATCCCCGATTCCGTGCGGCCTCCCGTCGGTGTCACTGATGACGATGCGGAGTGAAGAGTGCATATTTCACTGGCTTCGGTGGACATTTTTCGTTTTCTATGTTTGCTATTGGCGAGCGTCCTTTTCAGAAGTTATACCATGACCACTTCTACTACTTTTACTTGGGTACATGCATGTGTCAAAGACAGGGTTCTTGAGCATTTACACGGCGTTTTTCTTATTTTTGGTCGGCTACGGAGAAAAGGGTTGCTGCGTTGCCGAGCGTGGTACTGATAGGAGCACTGGCTATTACATATTGATACCGATTGTCTATACGACTATTTTCCTTTTCATACTACTTCAATATTCATCTTATTACTATGTCATCCGGAGCAGTTTAAAACCCCAGAGTTTGTGGGTTGGTAATTGGCTGTCATTTCCAATGAGAAGACAAAGAGAGGGGATCTTATTCCAGCATATATATCATCTCACAGCCTATAGAAGGAAGACTCTTGGTGGCCTTGCTTGGGAATGGTGCTTCCCGGTTTCATTGTTTCAAGGGCTGGAGCATACATGTATTCTAGCAGTAGACATGAGGTCTATCTTTGAATCAAAAGAGAACGAATATAATCATCTGGGTATATATCCTTGCGAAGCATAAAATCCTAGAATCCGTGAAATGCGATCCTCTCATTGTGTTGTACATATTAGGAAATGTGGTTCATAACTGTGGCTTGAAGAGAATCGCCCGCTAGATTGCACAACCATATGTTAGCAGCAAGTGTACAATACTCGCGTTACGTCCGTCCTTCCGTGCAAACATCATTTCTTCGCCGTGGTAAGCCGCATCACACATCTTTCTGGGGTTTATCGAACCCAGAAAGACTAAATGATCCGATAACACGAATAGCTAAATGATGCCACTCCGGATGTCTGTACGCCCTTCTCCCTCGTTCGTTTATATTTCTTTCTGGATATGGCTTACTTGCAGCTTCACCAGCGCAACAACAGAGCTGTAAGTCACAGTGCCTTCCCAAACGTGGCAGCTTTTCTTGACGACGCTGCTGTTCATACTAGGACCCCTGATCATTTAATTGCTGACTTGGGCCTACATTCGCCATGGACGCTGGAATGCCCATATTGGCTATAGGCGCTGGCGTAGCTGAGTATATCTGCAAAGGTGGGTTCACTGTCGATATAGCTGATCGATCTGGAGTCCTGATGAGCTGACTGTAAGGTCTGTTAGGTGTGGGAGAAGACGTTTGTGACGCCTGATTACCCGTTACGGGCCTCGTATCTGATGGATGCTGCTGGTGCTGGGATTGATAATGCAGCTGAGGACTTTGTCGAGTCTGAGGCTGTTGGCTCTGACAGGAAATCTCTGTATTCCAGTTTTGATACTGATGCTTTAGCATTTGCTGTAAGGGGCGTGACTGAGCCAATTGGACCCTCATGCTCAAGTCACCCTCCAGCACACTTGACTGCGTCGCGACTGGATTCAGAGTGGTTTTCTGCCTCGATTCCTGAGATAGACGACGGCGCTTTGTTTGTTGTGTCTGAACAGAGAAACTGCTGGCTGGCGATACAGTCGGTCTGGGGGCTTGAGGCGAAACGGTAGTGTCATCTTGAAGAGCCTGCTGTGAGATAATTTTCCTCTTCGAAGCTGTAAGTTGGGTGCCACCATTGCCAGAAACTTCAGGCGCCAAAAGTATTTGACTGGCACTAGAGATTCCAGTGTCAAATTCTGCTCTTTCCTTGTCAATGCCTCCAAATGGGTTAGATGTATCTGGCTGCGCCATGCTGGTGACTACTTGGCTTGTATGCACATCGGTTCCTTCATTGGTATTTGTTGGACCACTATTCAGCTGCTTTGGTGCTCCAGTATCGCAATCTGAAGAGCCAGGTTGCAAGGACGATGTCAAGTCAACAGATGTTGACCGGTTAGCATCATTGGCTCTTACGCCAGACTGTGGCGCTCTTTGCTCTGCCCCGATAACCCTTTGGCCTGGTGGATTGATTAACGATCTTGCCTTGGTCTTCGAACCACGAGGTCGGCCACGCGGCCTGCCTGTAGGCGGCCTGCGTCGAGCCGGTGTCAGCTTTGGAATCGGTACTCGTTCGGTTCCCGATGTCAGTTCTGGTACCGATCCTTGTATGATAGGCGCAGTTGCGGGCATGATTGGCCTCATCGATGGAATTGCAACAACCTGGGCTGAAATGCTTGCGATGGGCCGTGGTGGCACGTCTCCCTGTCCCGGCAAAGTCGGCGCAACACCAGCTGTCAGACTTTGAGCGGCTGGGACAGGCGGTAGTAGAACACCTGGGCTTTGGGTACTAGTGGCTTGTGGTAATTCGTTAGGATTATGTTTAGACCCTGTGTTTTGTGTACTAGTCGTTTCGTGTGATTTGAGTAATGAACCAGCAAGGGGAGTATGTGTATTTTTCGTTGCAGCTGTCTTCCCCTTACAGCTATTGAGGCTCCCTTTTGGTCTGCCTCGTGGCCGCCCTGTTGAAGACCCCTTCTGCTTGTGTGGCAGAAGAGGGGCGGCAGGGAAAATCTCAGATAGCCAAGAAACCAAAAGATCGCCTGGACCATTTTTGGAAGCACTTGGAGGGAAAAGGCTTCCATCAGTCGAAGGTACGTCAGACATTGTTCCAAAATGAACCAAAGCTTTGGTAAGCTGGCCTACAATGAACCTTGGCTGGATATCTCGAAAGAGTGCTAGGATGCGAGCCTGTTCTGCCTTCACTACAGAAGGAGACAGAGACACAGACGTAGACTCGGAATGGGACTCTGACTGTGACGCAGGTGCTGGCCTGGCTGCATAGACCTTGTTGAGTTCATGTGTGACAACTGCTATTTCTCTTGTCTGTTCCCCGTTGACCTGTTCCGTAATGTCCGTTAGCCCACCTGTATGTTCCGGGTTGGGTGTCTGTATGGGCTCTCCCGTTGTGGATGGTTCGGTTGACTCTTCCAAACCGATGTCTGGTAAGGAATCATCACCCACGACTGAGTTTTCTGTGTGTTCGACATTGGCCTCTTGTATAGCCTCTTCAGCAAATGGTCCTCTCGAATGCTCTGTACTCCTCCCACGTATATCGCTTGATCCAGTAAAGGGGCTTCCCGAATGTAGGGCATTGGTGTTTAGCACGGTATCTGCTCCTATTACCCCCTCCCCCTTCGACGGCTTATCTTGATATTTGTTCGTAGCAGCAGCAGAGGGCAGAGAGTCTGACCTGGAGTCAGACTGGATAGTTGAAGGAAGTTGCGAACGAGGGTCATATATTGAATAACGGGGGTGGGATTGCGCATAAGGACCTGGGGCTGGCGAGGCAATTGCAGATTGTTGCCAAGATCTTCTCGGATGACGATATTCCTGAGTGCTCGCAAGTCTTGCAGCAGCAGCAGTTCTTTCACTTGTTTGCTTAGCAGCAAGATCGCGCGCTGTCATCTCTGGCTTCTGGACGTGTATTTGCATGACACTGAAATTGCCTTGACTCCCACTTGTCTTGCCTTTGAGCTTGCTTGGAACTGGAGTTCGTATGCGGCCATCGCGATATGGGTTTAGAGTGCCGGGTAAGGAGGCTTTTTTCTCATCCCCTTTAACATGCGTCTTCGTTTGGAGACCAGATGAGGCGCTTCCTCCTTCCAAGCGTGAGCGAGCAGGCTCGACAGCAGCCCCTTCAGGAGCTGGAGACGAAGCATTGATACTTATTATGCGGCGCTCGTTAGAGGCATGGCTATCAGGATTGGCCGCGACTTTATTATGAGAAGCTTTAGAATGTTTGTCAGCCAGTGAGTGAATTCGGAAGGACATTCAAAAATGCGTACGGGATTCAAAGGACATGGCGAGCGTCTGAGCCCGAATTATAGTCTCTGTACCACACTACGGAACATCCAGGCTATGTCAGCAGTCGTTTATATAACGAGGGATCATCTACGCCAGGCTCTGCGACGTCGAAAATGCGCCGACCAATAGCTCGCAGGTTGTGATCTTGGTGTTGTCGCAAATTGAATTCCATGTTGGTAACAGATATAAGTGGATGATAGGTAGCCATTCAAGGCCCCTCCCCCGTGATCCAGACTTGGGTCGCTCTCAGCTTTACTTGGTTAGGCAGGCAAGTCCCATCTTTAGGTTAGCAGCTTATGGGTACTACCTGCTCGCTTTATGGTAGGTAGTACATCAAATGAACAGATTGTTTAGGAATAATCAATATTCAGCGGACAAGGGCCGCCTTATACGATATATGACGGATACTGATGGTGTACAAGAGTCTTATGTTATATATAAATAGAAGCCTCATATAATGGATGTCTCTGACAGTGCATCTTAGCCTGATGTAAGATAGGTACCTATCTGCAGGTGCCTTCCCGCGGTGGTTCTCCAGCCACACTCACTCGTCATAGCTCACCAGCCACAAGCCACAATTTGAGTGATCCCAAGGTCAACCAACATCCATGCCGCTGCCCAGCAATAGGTAAGCTCTACTGTCTGGCAGCGGTGCAGTGCTAGCAACTTCAGCTACCTTACCTATTTTCCTATCCGTACACCAACAACGCAATACGGTCCGATCCCATCTTGCTCTCTTTGGATAAAGAGGATATCGTCAAGCGCCGCTCGTCGATGAGTTTGTGAATTCGAGTCGCGATCGCCAAAGCTCTCACCGAGTTAGAGCTATCCAAGTCCTTTGCTGGCGTCACCCCCGAACTACTCCGCAGTCCACTTCAATAGATATCCTCAACAACCTCGACGTAGCCCATCCTATCTAGCTTCTTTGCTTTCACTTGCAGCTATGTCGACAAAGTACGCCTTTCTATCGTTGCCCCAGGGCGTTTTCGACTCGAGCGATCGTGATGATGCCATCTCATCTCTGCGCGGTACTGTTTCTAACGATAATGGCTCCGTTTTGCCTTTCAACATCCCCGACTTCAAGATCGGCACCCTCGACGCTCTCGTGCAGCAGGCAGACGAGCTCACAAAGCTCGAAGCTTCTTGCGAGGCAGTTGTTTCCAAGGTCGCCGACTCTTTGAAGAACGTGCTGGACGGTGACGAGGACCGTATCGCTCAGTATAAGATGGTCAATGATAGTTAGTCGCGCGCATCATACAAGTCTAGCTAGTTGCTAACAGTCCGCGACAGAACCGACTGACCAATACGTGAGCACGTTCAGCTGGAACAAGATTCGATACCGAGCTGATAAGTCCCTGGCGGAACTCATCAGCACCCTACAAAAGGCATGCATTCCATCGGCCACCTCCCGAGCTTCGGCTAACAGCTATCATTAGGAGCTTGCCAATGTTGATACCGATGTGAAGACAAAGTTTAACCAGTACAACTCAGTCAAGACAAACCTTGCAGCGCTGCAGCGGCGTCAGACGTAAGTACCTTTATCGTGTACGAAGCGTTTCTGTGGCGTGGATCACTAACAGCTCGAACAAAGCGGCAACCTTTCCACCAAGTCCCTGACTCCTATCGTCGATCCGGCTCTTCTCGTCCAGGATTCTGAATATATTGAGACGCACCTCATCGTTGTCCCTGGAAATGCAAAGAAGGATTTTCTCAAGGGCTATGAGACACTAGCTCCCATGGTTGTCCCTCGTTCGGCTGTCGAGGTCGCCAAGGATGACGAGTTTGTTCTCTTCGCCGTTGCGACATTTAAGAAACATAGCGCTGAGTTTCTTGCCAAGTGCCGAGAGCAAAAGTGGACGCCTCGCCAGTTCAAGTACGTTGAAGGTGGTCGACAAGAGGAGCAAAGGGAGCTCGATCGAGTCACCAACGAGGAGCGCAAGGTTTGCGGAGAAGCGTTGCGTATGGGACGAACAGGCTGGAGCGAGAGTGTCATGATCTGGATCCACGTTATAACCCTTCGAGTCTTCGTTGAAGCAGTCCTCCGATATGGTCTGCCTTTGGATTACGTGACAGCTTTGGTCAAGGTGAGTTGCCCAATCTTGTCAGTGTGACCGACACTAATTGAATTTGCAGACGACATCTAAGCTAGCCCCCAAAGTCAAGACAGCCCTGGACTCCAATTACTCTTTCCTCGGCGGTAACGCTTTCGGAAGAGACAAGCGTGGCAAGATCACCAAGGACGACGCTGCACTGAGTTCAGAGATGGCGGCCGCTGGATTCCAAACCGGCGAGGGTCATGAATACACAGCATACGTTTACTACGAAATCGAATTCCCTTAGCGACTATCATGGTTAGAAGTAAGAGGAGGGGAAGCAGGCAGGGAAGCAGAACGATAGAACAATTCGCATGCATGATGAGACGCCTGTATTCTACACTTTGATCATGTCTATATGTGACGACGCCCGAGGTCGAAATAGTAGTAATATCCTATCCACCTTTTTGAAACGCAAAACACAAATCATCATTTACATGCTTATTTCTTGTTGAGGTAACCCTTCTCGTTAAGCCACTCGACGATCTGGGCAACACACTCCTCAACGGAGTTCTCGTGAGTCTTGATAGTGATCTCGGCCTTCTCGGGCTCCTCGTAGGGAGCAGAGATTCCGGTGAAATCCTTGATCTCACCGGCGCGAGCCTTCTTGTAGAGACCCTTAGGATCGCGCTGCTCAGCGACTTCGAGGGGCACGTCGACGTAAACCTCAACGAAGGGAATGGGCTCTTCACCACCCTGAGTGGCCTGCTCGTGCAGGTCACGGGCGACCTTGCGATCAGCTCGGTAAGGCGAGATGAATGATGTGATAGCGACGGTGGAAGAATCGGCGAAGAGCTTAGCAACCTCGGAGATGCGGCGGATGTTCTCGTTTCTGTCGGCTTCAGAGAACCCGAGATCCTTGTTGAGGCCGAAGCGAACGTTGTCGCCATCGAGACGGTAGGCGGCGACGCCCAGGTGAAGAAGGTGCTGCTCAAGAGCGGTGGCGACGGTGGACTTGCCAGAGGCGGAGAGACCGGTCAACCAGATGGTGAGACCGCGCTGACCGCGGGTCTCATTGCGCTCCTTGCGCGACAAAGAAGGGTGCCAGGTGATGTTGCTGTGGAAGCCATTGTTAGTTGGTGATGTTTACATTGGTGTTGAGGTGGGATGCGCATATCATGGCGGGGTAAAATTGATTTTTTGGAGGGGGAGGGGAATCAGAAGAACAAGAGGGGCAGATTGAAGTCTTCCATTGTGTGATGGGAGGAAGTGATGAACTTACGTAGCCATTGTGTATATATATAAAAGGGTATCGTTAGAAGAAGTATAGAAAATAGATGAAGAAAGAGGAGAGAAAGTCTTGTATAAGAGGACGGGGAAATGGTAACAAGGCAGGTAGTAGGTAGTCCAAGGTACTGCCTACCTACTACCTACTACCTAGACTTCAATAATCGGGGAAATGTGACGCCAACTGCGACTTCCCCACGACATGAGAGATAAAAAAAAAACTCATGGTACTTGCCTACGTCTCTCCTTCTGTTCATAATTCACCCTATTAGATTTCAGGAAAGCAGTTGCCAGTCCCGTAACAACGCCGCAGGATGTCGTGATCGGGTCATCGGGCGGCAGGAGTCTTTGCGACAGACTCCCCGTTAGGTACTCCAAGTTGGCAGGATTATCATGTATGTCCAGCCTATGAGTGCTCCTGTCGGAGATGGCGACATCAGAGGCCCTGCCTCTTTCCGTACAAGCTCATTCGTTGAGTGGCTGCCATCTCCCGGCGCGGACCCGGCTTCTCCACGGTCTCTCCCACGCGCCGGAAGTCGGCCCCATAGCGATGATGAAGAGGCCTGCTTCTATACTCCGCAGAATCTGCAAGTGCAAGAAATTAACTCCCACTTTAACATGTAAAACAAACAAAAAAGCGAGACGGCTGTTGAAGGGTTTCCCCTCTTGTTATAGAAGTCCAATAATTAGGCTCATTATAAAGATCTATGGTTTCGGTATAAACTCCAGAAGCCTAAATCAAAGTATCCATCCTCTATCTATTATCTCAACATGTTGTAACACCATCTCATCTAACACTCTGCATGCCAATATCGGGCTCTCTATATGAATGAATACCGTAACTCTATGCCGCTTAGTTGTATCCGTCACTCGCTCGCTTTAAAAGATTATCATCCATGGGTCGTCTATTTCAAGTTCTTCTTAACCAATTTTGGGCATCACCTACAAAGACATATTAGTCACAGTTCTGAGACATGGTGTCACAAGACATGTATCACTTACCGCAGCATACTTGGGTGAGATGAATAGCGCTTGCGCTTCAGCCACTATTGTTGGCTTCTCTCCTGGGTTGGCCAGCAATTCGATATGTCCTCTAACCCAGGCCTTGCGACCTTCCACCTTGTATGTCTCTGCTCGCAGAACCAAGAAGCTTCCCGCTGGTGTCGGCTTGCGGTAGTCGACGTTGAGGTTTGCCGTCACAGCGATGTTATGAGGTAGCGCACCGAAAGAGCAGCGTCCGAGACCCTCATCAAGCATGGTCGCCAGGAACCCGCCGTGTACGATACCAGGATGGCCACACAGGTCCTCTCCAACGTATGCCACCGACACAAGCTGTTTGCCTTCAGGCGCAACCCACGCATAAGGCGGCACTGGCATCTTTCCTTCACCGATGAGGGCTCCGCCAGTCAGGCTTCGACTTCGGTATGATCCAGGCATCTTCATGTGTGGTCGCGATTCGGTGAGTTCGGGGTTTGCGCGAAGCTCTGCGACGAGCGGGTGGTTGTTAATGGTTTCCTCCACCATTCTTGCTTCTTCGTGGTTAGCAACAAAGCGTCGCAGGCTCTCTTCGTCAGAGTGAAAGCCCATGCCGTTGGAGTGCATCGTGTACCATGTTCCGACACCGCCCGCTGTGCTTGCGCCTACGCCGGCGAGCAGCATGCCGGCTGCTCTCTTGAAAGCACCACCAGCGGCTGCTGTAGCTGCTATAGCACCATTCTGTCAGTATGTCATTGCTTGGATATGTAACTGCTCTACAGCAGCGGGGGAGGGGTTACATACCTCCTGTCGCATAACTGCGGGACTGAGTAGGGCGAGTAACCCGTTTAAATGATTGCGCCGCAAGACGTCCACTGCGACCAAATTGTTGAGAAAACATGGCGAAGAAAGTAAGCTGTAGTGACAGCGAAATCTACAGATCGAAAAAGGAGAGAAAAGGACCAAAGAAAGAAAAAAAGGTGTTGATGCGACGCCTCGGCTTTTGATAAGATTTAAAGTTGACTTAATTATCGGCGTTCCCGCTTTGCCTCGGATAGGAAGGCGACCTCGGCGTTAATGCAATTAAACGGCTACAGCCACAGACCGTTTTACTGTTTAACTAACACCGCCACATGTATGCTCTTACTGTGGCTTGTGCTTTCTGGGGTACTGACTTACATGCGCCAAGTATGGGACGGCCCTGATAATCGCTGAAGATGCCATGGATGGTTATGCTGAGTGCTGGGATCCCCTGTACCTGTGACGTGGACGCTGTCCAACTAGAATGGCTCAACAAGACTGTGAGACTTGGTCTGTTTGAGATGATCAGATGCCGCTGACGACATGCATGCTTTGTACTCGTATTTCCTTGCAGGTTGGTGACACTGGGATAGGATTTAAAGAGTTGAATTGTCCATGCTGCATCGTTATCAATCTTTACTCTTTAACCAATTTAATCACCTGCAAAATCTCATCATGGTACGGCAGCAATCAAACCACCAAATAAAGAAATGGCGATACTAACATCCAATCTGTTTAGGCCACCGCCGAAACTGTCGATCTGGGCCCTGCCCACCCTCCCAAGGAGGATTCAATCGTTGCCTTTGAGCAAATCCTACCAGAGCTGAAGAAGAAGCTCGTCCACCTCAGACACGACTACAACAGTGAGTATTTGGAATATGCATATATCACAGAGTGGAGCTAACAAGTGCAAACTAGAGCACGAACCCGAATACTTTGCTGCAACTGTACGTCCCTCCAACTCACTCCTGAATCAAGTGCAGATGACTTACAAGACCTCTAGGAACATATCTCAGACCATGACCTCGTCGGTTTCAGCGCTGACGAGTTCGAACAAGTCCGCGTTGCTACCTCAGCGTATGGTATTCATCTATTTGGAAAGCTTCGCATTCCCGCCATGCCAGACCCTTCTGGTCCAGCTTACATTCACTTCCGCGTCTTTATTGGCGGCGGCGACGAGCCCCCTAAGCTTCATAGCATCCACACCGAGGAGCGTGAGGATTCAAGTGGCGGAAAGACATACAGAGCTGTGTTCACAAAGAACGATGAACTCGAGTGGTTTGATACCTAAGGGGGGGTAATTAGAATAATAATTGGAATTGTCTTTATGAATGGCACAACACTATGCCAAACAATGCATCGGCAAATCTGCCTTTTTGACTCCTGAACCAATATGTCTCTAGTACAGCCATACTTATAAAACAAATGCTCTGCATCATGCCACCTTTGGCTAAATTTCCTACATGTCGTCCTCTCCCGCCAAGAGCTCCGCATAATCGTCCACCGAGGCGAACATGGGGAGGTCCTTGAGCTGTCTGCGCTTTGACTTGGGCTTCTCGCTTGCTGCTTCCTTGACTTCGAAGCCTTCTTCATCCTCATCAATCATGGCACCGCCCATCTCGTCGTCAGATCCTTCAATATCCACGCTCATATCGTCGTCATCTTCGTCCAGCTCGCCGTCCAGGGACATCGCTGGCGAGTCATCATCATCTGACGCCATGTCTTCATCGTCCAGATCAAAGCCAACATCAGAGCCTTCATCATCGGGATCAACACCAGGCTGGGTCGACACAAGGGCCTTCCAAACCTCGTCTTCTTGCTCATCATCTGATCCGACATCCATGCCAGCCTTGGACTTCTTCTTGGTCTCCTTGCCTTCCTTGTCAATCTGCTGGAAGTACTCGTGGAAGAAGACATCTTCCGCAGCAACTTCCTCCGCCTTCTTCTTCCAGAAAGCAGAAGAGTTGACGGCTGTTGTGGCTCCTCCAGCTGCGCGGCTGCCCAGCCAGATGTCGCCAGAATCCTTGGTCGCTCGGAGAGGCTGCATGATAGACACACCCTTGGACGAGTCGGTAGACTTGGCGTTTCGGTAAACGAACTTGTCCAAGAATCGAATGAGGGAGTGACTGTCCAGATCTGGCTTCAGAGACTTCTTGTTTCGCTCTAATATGGCTGCTGCGTAAACTGTAACTGAAGGATGGTAGTGGCCTTGGAGAGGAATCTGTCGATTATTAGTATATCGGTCTACGCACTGAATTCCCATGTATCAACTTACCATTTCCCACAAGCAACTTCGGTTGGCGTTGCTATACTCGGGATCTCGTTTTCGTCCGTCATATTTCTGCTTCTCATTGGCAGCATCATCATCAAACGTCTCCTCGGGCTCTTCCAGGAGTGTTGAGATGTCAGGGAAAGTTTCACGCAAGTGACCGACAACGTAGAGCAGTCCACATATGAATGCAGGCTGATGAAGGCCAGTGATCTGAAGCATACGCTTGGCAAATGCCTTGACTCGGCGGCTATCAACGTCATTCTTAAGCGCACGCAAAAGAAGGTTTAGGTAAAGAGCCTGCTTGGACGAGTTGACAAGTCGGGGGTCTAGCAGAGACTCATATAGAGTTCTGTAGAATCTGTCGTTTGCGATACTTCGCGAAGTAGATATTTGCTGGATTAGGAGAAGAGCCTGGATGCCTGTGTTGAAGTTGCCGGAGTGTGCAATCTTGAACAGGGTGTCAAGATGAGATTCCATACTACCATGCGGTTAGTATCACGTCGAGGAGATATTGGAACGAGTATGGTCACTTACACAGTATCATTGCCAACCATGAAGGGGGCTGCACGGTTAACACCAGTCAGGATGGCGGACACAAGCTTGTCGGCAGCCTCAGTTTCAGGCTCTGAAGCAGCAGGCTTTGCAGGCTTGCCTCCTCGTGGCCTTTGAAGTCGTCGTCTATCAGGATGTCTCAGATCGTCGCTCTTCTTCTCGTCGCTCTTCTTCTCGCCGTCTTTGCCAGCTTTTGAGTCAGTGGGCGCACTGATGCCCAGAGACCCAGTCTTAAGGATAATGGTGAAAAGATCGAAATAGATTCGCATGAGAGCCTCAGCCACGGCGGGTTCCTTGCTGCTAAGGATGGTCTGGTTGAGAGTGTTGATGGCGTAGTATTTTGATCGGTGGTCTTGAGATGGGTGCAGCAAAATCTGCTGCTCGATCATTCGGACAATAATTGGCTTCATACCAGGATGCGAGTTCTGCATCTGGAGAAGCAAGTATGATGCTCGTGAAGAAATCTTTCGATCTCGGTCACCAAGCTTGTTGACCAGCAGTCGAAGGAGGTTAGACTCTTGCTCAGGCTTCTCCTTGAGAAGACCGTAGACAAAGTCAAGAGCGCGAGTACGCGAAAACTCAATCTCGTCCGAGCACAACTGTTCAAGAACCTGAATGAGCTTGAAGTAAGTCGCCTTCAGCCAATCCTCGTAAGCCCAAGCGATCAAATGAGCGGGTGTGATCTTTCCGGGTAGGCCGTTGCCAGGGGCCCAGGGCTTTCCAGGATTTCGCTGTAAAGTACCAACAAGGCCTGGCTGGTCGTTGAAAGTTCGAAGGCGGCGATCGGAAGGAAGCAATGAACCAGGACCGAGCAAATCGACAAGAGCGCCGATGGCACCCAGTGCTTGTCCTCGGCTCTTCTTGGAGGCCAAGCTCATCAGGGCGTCGAAAGCGCGGATGTTGTGAACTGGAGACTCTTGAACGGCAAGCGTAAGGGCGCTCACTTTATCACTCAATGTACCGGAGCTCATGATTGTAGACAAGAACTTATGAGAAGATTGCGCAAAGACACTGGTTCTGTACTTGGTAGCATCCTCCTCTAGAAGTGCTTGCGCATGCTCCTTGAGAGCCTCGAGGGCGGCTCTGGGAGGGTTGGGCTCGTCAGTAGTTGGTCCCGGCAACTTGCGCAGCTCAGCCATGTGCCAGTCTGCTCTGGGCTCGAAGGCCTATATTACTGTTAGTGGTCAGAAAAGTCACCATGAGACATATGTAGCCTACCATGTTGCCCTTCTTTGGTGCAGTTTCCTTGGGAGCTTCCTCCTCCTCTTCATCTTCATCTTCCTCTTCAACGTCCTCCTCCTCCTCGGAATCGTCACCCTCCTCTTCATCCTGGTCGCTTGCCTCGCTCATTTCAACCTCGGCGAACCCAAGCTGCTTAGAAAAGGCGGCAAGTTCATCCTTCAAGCCCTTGTCGACACCCTTGGAGTCCTTGGAGCCTTTCGTGTACTCCTCGTCATCCGAGTCGATATCCTGGATGAGCGCCAGATCACTCTCATCGCCGCCAAGCGCCTTGATTTCCTCCAAAAGAGTCTTATCGTCGATTTTGCCGCTCTTCTTGCCGCCAGCTGCGTCGTCGGTATTTCGCTGTCTCTTCTGGTGTTGGTCACCCGCGGCCTTGGTTGGAGGCTGTTTTCTCTTTCCCAGCTTCTTATCGATGGTCGATGTTAAGTTTTCGAAAGTATTCTGGTCGAGCTTTGGGCCTTTTGAGGAGCTTCGAGGCCCTTTTCCTTTCTTTGAAGGCTTCGCCATTGTTGAAATTTCTTGGGGTTGAAATCTTCAATGGAAATTCTCGAATGCAAATGCGATCCAGGGACCTCGAACTTTTTTTTTTTTTCCCTTTGGGCGGCGCATTTTTCCAGCTGCTCCACCCCCACTGTTCCGGGCGTCTAGCGCGTTTATAGGCGCTAATGCAAGATGACTAAGCTCAACTGGTGTCAGTCAAGCGGGAGCTCCTCCGAAACTAGAATCTAGAATCTGGGAGCTATCAAAGAGGGTCTTGAATTCGACAATGGTTGCTTGAATTGGGCAGATCTTGGTCATCGAAGCTTGGAAAAAACCATGTACTTCTCAAGCGTCACTCGTATAAGTGGTAAAAATGCTTGTCGGAGGACTCTGAGTCTCCAGTTGCGAGCTTTCTCAGTCTCAAGCAGAGCTAAAAGCGACTTGCCTCGCTCCACCCTCTCAACAACATGGGTACCAACTGGTGGCCTCACTGCTAATGAAGAAGAGTGTTAGAGTCTCAATTTTACTTCACATGTAATGTAAGCTAATTGAGTTGCAGTCGGCCACGGAAAGCTCATTCGGGGTGGTTTTCTCCGTCAAGTACCTATTCCTAGCCATCCTGTCATATCAAACAGGTACTGACTGATATGTCCCTCGACAGGCTCATTCTGGCATCTTTCAGCTTCTACCCTTGGGCCTTCGTGTCCAGGACAAGATAGAAAAACTGATTGACAAACACATGCACTCAGTTGGTTCGTATACTATCATCAGCTCAGCCTGCAGTACTGATGATTGTCAACTCAGGTGCCTCCCGATTATCGCTATCAACTATCTCATCAGAGGAGCTATGGCGAAGGAGTAACCGTCTTGAATCTGTTGCCCCTGAAGTGAGCTCTTGAAACATCATCTGAGAGTCGTATATTGACTTGAATATCTAGCTATTTCGACTTACCGATCGTAAAGAGACCCCGTTGATCCTGTCTCCCACTCACGAGGAAGAAATCACGACCTTGGTTGCTGGGATTATCAACTCGTACAAAGACTTGCCCATCAGATTATATCAAATAAGTCTGCACGCCCCCAATCAACTCTAACGTTGCCTTTCTGACCCTTTACTTGTAGCTCGAAAATATCGTGATGAGCGTCGCCCCCGCCATGGCCTCCTCCGTTCAAGGGAATTTCTTATGAAAGATCTCTATACGTTTGATCTCACAACGAGCGAAGCTGTTGAGACCTATCGCCAAGTTTCTGGGGCATATCGGGCCTTCTTCGCCGAGCTCAAACTGCCCTACCTCATCGCTGAGGCGAGTTCTGGTGATATGGGTGGTGATCTCAGTCACGAGTATCACCTCCCTAGTGCCGTTGGTGAGGATTCTGTTGTCAACTGTGACTCATGTGGCTATACTGCCAACGATGAGGTCGCCACTGCCCGTGTGCCCTCTGCCTCAAAGAGTAGTGGGGATATTTCGGCATCGCAATTCCGTGTTTGGCGAGGCATTTCTAAAGATCGAAAGGTCTTGGTTAACGCTTGGTACCCTCAAACATCTGGTGATTCTGCTGACATCGGACCGAGCCTTCACACTATCAAATCAGTTGTTTCGGAACTGGACACAACGATTGAGAACCCTCTACCACTATGGGCAGAAGCGCTAAAGAGTGGCAGTGCGCAAATTATCAATGTTGTTGATGGTCAACTTGCTTCGAGTTTTGAGAATGTTCGCAATGAGCTGCCGTTACTGCCCAATGATCTCGAATGTCATGAAGCGAAATCTTCTACGGTCGACAGCTCAGACAGTGGTGCGGAATTGAACTTGGTCCCTATTGCTGATGGTGACGGCTGCCCTCGATGCGAGATAGGCACATTGAAAATCCACAGAGCATTGGAATGCGGCCATACGTTTCAATTGGGAACTCGTTATTCGGTGCCTCTCGACGCCTGTGTTACCCTCCCACGATCAGGACTTCCTGAGGCGGCTGTGGAAGAAGGTCTAGCACCAGGGAGCCTTGTACCCGTTCAAATGGGCTGTCACGGCGTTGGAGTTTCCAGAATCTTTGGTGCCGTAGCTGAGATTCTTGCCGATGAGCGAGGACTGAACTGGCCCCGCGCTATCGCGCCTTTCGAGGTTGCGATCATACCTTCGTCTGACTTGGGCGATGACCCTTTGGTCATCTACGACACACTTGCCAAGAACAACGGGTCACAACCTGGCTTGGATGTTGTTCTTGATGATCGCAAACGATCATTTGGTTGGAAGATGAAAGATGCCGATATGGTAGGATATCCTGTTCTGGTGATCCTGGGCAAGTCTTTCAAAGAAAACGGCACTTGTGAGGTCCAATGTCGACGACTGTCTGTCAAGGATAATGTCAAGGTCGATGCGCTGCCCGAGTTCATCTCGAATCTGTTGGAGAAGCTATGATAGTAGAAGTGAATTGCTGTCCTTTTGCTACGGCTATGTATACTATGAAACGTGTTACGGAATTTGGTGTTACGAGTATTTAGAACAATCGAGCAAAGTTGACATTTGACAGAAAATTGATATCAATAATGAATTGGCAAATTATATATACCTGTCTGATCAACATCTCTCATGTTGTTGGTGCAGATCTATTGACAGTATAAGTGGTGGTGTGCAGCAACCCCGTTAGTAGAATTCAACGACCCCACGTCATAATATTCACGAACCGAGATCGTGGAGGGGCATTCAGACAAGCATCCAATTTACGACTCCAACCAAGACCTGCACCAAATCATTTTATAAAAACGTCAAGATGTCAGGCAGACAAGAACAGAGTAAGCGCCTCCCCAGCTGACCAAATAACTCGCTTCCGACCACTAACTTCTCCTCATTACAGTCAACCTCGATACCCTAGAGCCCCAGCAGCTCGCTCAAGTCAAGAAGCAACTCGATGAAGAGCTCGAACACCTGACGAACTCGTTTGCGCAGCTTCACGCCGCCCAGAACAAATTCAAGGACTGCCTTCGATGCGTAAAGAGCAGGTCTGATGCTCCTGAAGGTACGGCATGTCCCTTTTGCACCGATGTCTTTGCCCAGCGCTCGATATCCACTACGAGATGATGTCTAATACATACCAGGAGCCAACTCTGTATTGGTACCCCTTACCAACTCACTATATGTCCGAGGAGAGTTGTCAGATGCCGACACCGTCTTGGTAGACATAGGCACTGGTTTCTTGGTGGAAAAGGTGCGCATTACGTGAATCAGTCGGTGTGTACTCGTCTAACGACCGCAATATAGAAACTCAAGTCTGCCGAAAAGTTTTACGAGTCCAAGGTCGAGGAGCTCGGAAACAACCTTAAGGATCTCGAGATCATCGTCCAAAGAAAGCAGACAAATGCACGAACAATTGAAGAGGGTAGGTTTGAAATGCATCTATATCCCCTTCTGATAATCACATGGCTAATGCGAGTTTCACTTAGTTTTGAGACAAAAGATACTGGCTAGCCAGGGACAGGATCAACAACAAGCTTAGATGAACACGATAAAAACTATACTATCCTCCTCGATGTGGTAGACAGACAGAGTAGTCAGGCCTAGAGAGACGCCAGTCGACACGGCATCGCTTTTGAATGCCCTCTATGACGAGGCAGTACCGGCATCGGCTCTGGTCAGGAGGCCTTGGACCTCTAATATGGTACGCATGAAGGATCCGAGCCTCGACTCGAGATCATTTCCCTCAGCCCAAATATTTTCCAGCCCCTGGCCCCAATCTTTCCGTCCTCCACTAGCGTGGTTCACACTTTCTTCCCAATGAGGAGCATACAGTTCGACGCCCCAAGTTACTTCCGGCTCTTCAGCTACACCCGGTTCCTTCAAAGTCTTGGTGATATTGAACTTGAGTGCATAGTTAGAATCTTTGAATGGGACTATTACCCAAGACTTTGCACAAATATCGGTGATCTTATCCTTCAAACTAGCAAGTTTATGGATATCGACGCGTGGGACCGGGAGGAGAGTATCGTCATCCGGAGTGGCAATCGAAACCTTTCTTGCCAGATCTTTGAACTCGAGTGGTACTTCTGCTTGATCCCAAGCATCCACTCGAAAGTTCCAGTCGTAGTTCCTGTACAACAGAATCAGTAGTCCGCCCCTAAGCTTCCCATTGGTAACATACATGTCAGGTGCAGCAACCGTCCAGTTCAAACGAGCCCATTGCTCAGGTCTGGTGGCTCGGACCATAGCGAGCTGGACGCCCTTTCCATGAGTGTAGTCTCCTTCGGTCTTTATATCAAGCCCGTTGGATCTAACAGTTATTTCGCAGCCCCGTTTTATTTCATCTTCACTGGTACAGACCGCCTCTCCAGGCTGCAGTAGAAAACGCAAGATCTCTTCCACCTTTTCGTAACCGTCAAGTCTAGTTCGGGTTAGATATGGTGGCCGATATCTGAGTGTATCAAACTACTCACCTTGTGTGGAAGACCGCACCTCCACGCCTAGAATATACGCGCATGAGATCGACCAAATCAGAGTGAGATATCTCATCTTGAGCATCTCTCTTCTTCTTGGTGATAACAACATGGCCAAAATTGACTCGTAGTCCGAGCGTTTTGTTGAGCGCAATCAAACCCTCTGATGATGAATTGATTTCTGTCGTCAGCTGAGACAAGTGTCGGTCCATTGCAGTAGAATTGTTCAGAAGTTCGGGATTGCGAGAGTCGAAGTAAGGGCGAGTGCCCAGTCTAGCTTGTATCAGGTTGGTGACGGGAGCATTGGTAGGGTTCTGAACTAGGAGAGATATATTGGTACTGTCGTTGGACAGACGCATATTACGGATCGCCCAGTTGATTGCGTGGAGTGCCTTTCGTAGACGAGGCATTGATTCACAACGGATATCTAGTACGTTGGGTACATCGCGGGTGATGTATATTCGGTATTCCTTTCGAATATTATCAAACACTCCTGGATCATCCAACCCGCTCGGGAGAAGTTCCTTCCCTGGGAGGATATGTGTGACCTGGAATATTGTATCAATATTGCTTGTTGGAAACAAGGGAAGTATTCCAATTTCACCTGGATCAGCTCTTTATTGTCGGGTGGACGACCAAGGTATTCTGCTTCCTCAGCTTGGCGAATTTTGTTGTCCTTCTCTTGCCTCATCGACTTGGCTGTCGGCATCTGGTCACCCTTGGTAGATGCGAACTTCTCCAATGTTGAGGGTCTTGTCGAAAGAGGGAATTTCCCTCTTCCGCGTTGAGATTCTACCATGCTGTATCAGTTATGATGATAGCTAGGCCATGTAGACCAGAAACGTCGAGGCTGTCTGATAGATTCGGTGGAAGTAAGTAGATGCAAGAAGGATGAGAAGAGAAGGCAGGCAGAAAAACTACGTGGGTGCCTAGGTGAGGAAAGAGAGGCAGGAGCTTCTTATTGGCAGTGAATGACAATCGAGGCAGGTGCAGATGGGATCTCCGTTTGCCATCTGCATGGCACTTGCCATACTGTCGGGTACTTGCTTCTCTAACGCAAGCCGATTTTGTTTTCACAAACCAACCACTAAAATTGTTTGTAACATGTAGAGGTTATTGCTCGTTTGAAGCTGGACAAACAATTGGTTTCCATTCAAGGTGGAAGGAGAATCACCCGAAAGGAGGTTGCCATGAAGTAGTAACAATACTGCGAAACTAAAGGTTGAAACTTGCTTAGGTATGTTTGACGAATCGTTCTTTACAAACTTTCTGCCAGCAAACAAAACTTCTCTTCATTGATTTATCGAACGGAGTGATAACAGTTGGCTGCTTCTGTACCTAATATCATTTGATACCGGCTACCTATGCATGACATCGTGTTCAGGTTTCTGATCTAGCTAGAGTCGCGGCCATTGATCACAAGATGAGATCGAACGGCGAACAAACATCAAGGAAGAGTCTACTATTATTTAATAGGCATCTACCTAGTATATCAGCTAGATTTATCGAGAGTTATCCCGTGTAATTGTACAAAATCTCGAGGACCAGTTCATATCAATAGGGGTATGACTTACACAACCCCCCGGTACGTGCATACGCCCTAGCAACCACTTTTATTCTTTACTTTCTTGGGGACTTAACTACGTCGCGTCTCCCACGACGCGTGTATTGTTGCGACGGCATCTATTTTCAAACGACGACTAAATAATGGCACGCATTGCTTCGACAGAAACGGCGAAACAAGAATTGTCCCAAAATCCTCAGGATTTATCCGACGATGAACTCGCAGGCGATGAACCGACATGGGAATGGATATACAACTCTACCCCAAAGACCGAACGAAGCGATGATCCCCAGAGCGATAGAAAACGAAGAAAAGTAGTCGGCGACAGGATTGTGGGAGCCAAGATTGGCCAATTCGAATGTCGAATCGGAGATACTGTTATGCTCAAGGCCGATGGATTTAATGAAGTATGGGTCGCTCTGATCTGCGAGTTTGTCGAGGATGATGGAGAGGGCGAAAAGGCAGCCAACTTCATGTGGTTCTCGAGCGAAAGGGAGATTCGAAACAAGGACAAAAAACGAACAGACTTCTTTCCAGTGAGATACAAGCTTTGCGAGACTGCCGAGCTCAATCTAACCTGCCTTTTCAGAACGAACTCTACCTATCCCCATCATGGGACATCAACCCCCTGGCGTCCGTCAATGGAAAGGCTAAGATTATGTCCCATGACGCCTTCCTATCTAAATATCCCCAAGGTCGAGTTCCTCGAAACCATGCAGACTTTGGTAAGGTCTTTATCTGCCGGCGAGGCTGCAACACTCGTACTGCAACTTATACAAACGAGTTTATATGGGAGGAAATATACAATGGCGAGGATGACCTCTTTGCTCTGATGGACAGGGTCAAAGCCGGCACAAAAGCAACACGGCAACGTCGTAAAGCTCGAAGCCCGTCCCCTATGGACGATGCTTATCATCCTCCTCAGGTCCCACAGACTCCGACCAAGACTGGGCGAGGTTCAACAGCAGCCACGCCAACTTCTCGAAGAAGCCAAGCAACACCGGGTTCTCGTGTAAAGAGGTCAGTATCCAAGACACCCCTTAGTCCATGTTGCTAACAGCGCACTGCAGGAGTGCAAGCAAGAGACTTGAATTCACACCATTGGCAACACGTAAACTCTCGCCGAGTCATGTTGAATCTTCGCCATTCCAAATAGCACGATCTCGCCTGCATGTGTCTTCGGTGCCCACTAGTCTTCCGTGTCGAGAAGGAGAGTTCTCCCTAGTATACTCTCATCTCGAGGCCGCCATCTCAGATGGTACCGGTAATTGTATTTATATTTCAGGTACGCCCGGTACCGGTAAAACTGCTACAGTCCGCGAGGTTGTTTCGAGGCTGGAGGAGGCGGTAGGATCCGACGAGCTCGACGACTTTATCTTCGTCGAGATCAATGGTATGAAGATCACGGATCCTCACCAGTCTTATACTCTTCTCTGGGAGGCCCTTAAGGGGGAACGAGCCAGTCCAACCCAGGCCCTCGATCTCCTAGAAAGGGAATTCAGCAACCCGAGTCCTCGCCGTACCCCCTGTGTGGTGCTTATGGACGAGCTTGACCAGCTAGTCACCAAGAACCAGGCGGTCATGTACAACTTCTTCAACTGGCCTGCCCTGCGGCATAGTCGCCTTATTGTCCTGGCAGTCGCCAACACTATGGATCTTCCAGAACGAACACTGACCAACAAAATCAGTAGTCGTCTAGGTATGTTTGCAATTCTCACACGCAGTGATATAGTATTGACCACCTTTCATAGGCCTTACACGTATCACATTCCCCGGTTACAATCACGAGCAGCTTATGAGAATCATTCAATCGCGACTGGAAGGAGTCCCTGGAAACATTGTAGACCCGGACGCCATTCAATTTGCTAGTCGAAAGGTAGCTGCTGTCAGCGGTGACGCTCGAAGAGCCCTCGACATTTGTCGTCGAGCTGTCGAGCTGGCCGAGGCGGACGCCCCCAGTGATCCCACAACTCCGAGCAAGCGAGAACCCCAAACACTAACAAAGGGTTCTGGCCGCGTTACTATTGCAACAATTAAAAAGGCCATTAACGAGGCCACTACTAATCCCATCCAGCAACACCTTCGCAGTCTCCCACTAATGTCCAAACTCGTCATGGCAGCTCTCCTGATGCGTATTCGAAGAACAGGTTTGGCCGAAACAACATTTGGCGAAACATTGGACGAGATACACCGGGCCAATCTTCGAGCTCCGCAAGCGCTTCCTGGTATCGCAGCGGTTCTCGATAGTGGCCTGAAGGGCACAATGACGAGTGCGCAGCGCCCAATGACCCGGCCTGGACACATACACACAGCGGCCCTCGAGTTGGTGGCGGCTGGTCTAATTAACCTCGAAAATCAGCGCGCTGAAAGATCGAGTAAGCTCCGCCTCTCCATTGCAGACGACGAAGTGAAAATGGCCCTCCGCGATGACGGGGACCTAAAAGCCTTGGGTATCGGTGTATAAATAATTGTAATATAGAGCCAACAGAGCGGCGTCTCGGGACAATATATCATGAAATTAGCAACGCCACTTATGCGCCTTAAAAATTCCTCCGAGCGAGAGTTGGCTTCCATTCAAGAGGGTGCGACTCTTCTGTCGCTGTCTCATCCTGCTTCCAGATTTTGACTATAGATGTATTAGCAAATGGATATGAAACCTGCGAGGTGGTTGTAGCACTTACTTGTTTTATCAGCTTCGCCACAGATCAGACGTAGTCCAGAGCGATCAAATGTTGAACTCATGATGCCTGCCTCTGCATCCAAAGAACCAGGCTGAGCTGTAGTGTCAAGCGACTGGAATCGATGTCCAGTCTTCCAATCCCAGAAGCTCATCGAACCGTTATCACCTAAGTACCAAATTAGCCAATGTTTCGCGATTATCTCAATTAGACCACCTACCTCCTGTGAAGAAAACATTCTGTTCATTGACGCTCATGGTATTGATGATGGCATTGTGGCCCTCAAAGTTCTGCATGAAAGCACCCTCAGGGCACTTCCATTGCTTGACGCTGCCCGTGCTACCACTGGCAAAGGTAAATTCCGAGGGGTGTGTTGCCAGGGCTCGGACACCCTTCTTGTGGTGGGTAAGGACACCCATAGTCTTTCCGGCCGCGAGATCCCAAAGTCGCACTGTTGAGTCTAACGATCCGGTAATAACTTGAGGATCTGCCTCTTGACAAACCAGATCGGAGACGGTTTGCGTGTGACCTGACAGGACATGGATGTTGCTCCTGGTCCTCATGTCCCAAACACGAGCAACACCATCACGACCACCAGTGACAAGAACGTCAAGCGTAGGATGCAGAGCCAGAGTGTAGACACCACTCAGATGGCCGTGGTAGTGACGAATAACCTTGTTTGTCTCCAAGTCCCAGCACTTGACCATCTTATCTTCACCGCAAGAGAAGAGATATGGGTGACGGGGAGACACAGCTAGACCCCGGACAGTGCTGATATGTCCCGTGAGAGTCAATTTTAACCCACCCGTCGCCAAGTCCCAAATTTTGATTGTTCGATCGCCAGCACCGCTAGCAAACCACTTGTTTCCAGGCTCGACAGCCAGACTGCGTACCCAACCCAAATGTCCGGATATGACTCTCATCAACTTCCATGGCGCGTGCCATTCGGGTTTTGGCTGAATCATATGGTGAGTTCCCTTTGTCGTGAGGCTCATGTTTTGCGGTGTGCTCTCGGTCCTGGCTGCGGATGCTCCAGCTTTGCCTGACCCAGGTGCGCCCTCGAGAAGCTTCATGGCGGGTCGAGCAGGCGCTCCAGCCTTGGTCTTTTTTCCAGGCTGCTTGGTCGGAAGTTTCGCGGTGATTGACGGCGGTAGAGTCTCGACATCGGCGTATTCGTTGCGAAAGCGACGCTTCATGATGGGGTCTTCGGACGCGTCGTCTAGTTTCTGGCGCTTGGTGGTTGATCGCTCGGGAGCGTGTGCATATAATGTTCTCGAAGCAGTGGCATTTTGTGCAGCAAGAGCGCTAAGCTGAAGTGCATCCTGTGGTACTTCTGGTGTTTCCATTGTGTATGTGCGATGAAGTTTGCGACCAAAAAAAGAAAAATGAATGGTCGTTGGAAAAGTTGATGTCCAAGTCTGAATCTCAAAAGTTGCGACTGGAGCGTGTAAAGAGCTAAAGGCTGCATGGTCGCGTGTGGCGCAGTGTGAGAAGCGCCACAGTTTGTGGCTGACAGCTTATAGTGCTCGTACAGTGGGTGGTCGGGCTACGTAGGTCAGCTACAGCCTACTTGACCTCCACTGGGTGCAGCACTTAGATATTGTACTGGATGAACTCTATGAGCAAGCTTTCGTCCATGTCAAGCACTTGAGGTGAAGTTCTGTCGTCGGTGCATCTTCAATATATCTTTGAACTTTTCCACACCAAAACATCCAAATGGAGAACGAAGACAAGTTTCCCCTCCATACAGCTGCTCGCGAGGGACGAGGTGAGCTGGTACTCAATTACATGACTAGGATCACCACCACTAACAGACAACTATAGTACCTACAGCTGAAGCATTGCTCAAGGTCAGTATTCAAATATCGGATACGGAAACACTCTGCTCATTTGCTCGACAGTCAGATCCAAAACTATCACAGCGAAAGGATGATGATGGTCGTTACCCTATTCATTGGGCGGCATCTTCCAACAACTTGGAGATAGTTCAGTTGCTAGCCAGCCAACGCAGTTTTGATGCTGATATCCAGGTAAGTCGCATTGCTACATCTTCGACTCATTTGGCAGGATAAAGGGTTCACATTTATAGGACGAGAGCGGATGGTCTCCTCTCATGATATCAGCCAGCGTCCCAGATGGCGAGGCTGTTCTGAGACTCATCATCGCCAAAGATGCCGATGTAAACCTCAAAAGTAGGATTCAGATATCTGTCTCGTCTATGATGGTCTAACTAACTGTACCTCACAGATTCTGCTGGCCAGGTAAAGCCTCCATCTATAACCTCTATTCTAGATCATCGAACCAAAGATCTAACCCAGTCTGAAATATATAGACTGCCCTTCACTTTGTTGCCTCCAAGAACAACCTCGACATCGCTCGAGTTCTCATAGACAACGGCGCATCTACCCGAATTCGTGATCGTAGGGGCCAGTATCCTCTTCACCGCGCAGCCGCAATCGGCTCTGTACCAATGGTGAATATACTTTTAAAAAACAGGAGTCCACTAAACCCTACCGACAACGAGGGTTATACCCCCCTTCATCATGCAATTGCAGAGGGTCATGGTTAGTCAAAACTTCCACAGCTACCCATAGTATATAGCCATCGCTCACCAGTCCTCCAGGAGATACTGCCGTTGCCCTTCTAAAAGAAGGCGCAGACCATACTCTCAAAAACAGCGCAGATGAGCTGGCCCTGGATCTTGCCCCTGACAGAGAAGTATGTAAAAGACAAGATATTCCCGGCTCTCTCTTTTGACAATACACCGTGAAATTCCCATCTAACTCTTAACAGGTACGCCGATATATCTTGCAGGGTGCCGAGCGCGAGGGTATCGAGTTGTCGGGTTAGCTAGAAATGAATGCTAAGAAATGAAGAACAAGAAAGATATTACAACCTTCTCCAGGTCTAGACCGTGGAAGAGAAACAAAAAACCTCCCCATTTTCTTATTTCGTCACTGTCCGCTCTACCAGCTCGCGATACATATCCTTGACATCCTGAACATCAGCCTTCAGCTCCTCCACAAGCTCGCTCTTTTCACCCAACATCTCCAAAGTAGTCTGATAACGGGAGTTGATATTTTCCACCTCTGTTTCCAACTCTGTCACCCGTGTGGCGGCACCCTTTTGTGTTTCCAATTCTGTCATGAGGTTTACAATGTCAGATCGTGCTTCGTCTCGCTGGCTGCACACACGAGCCATCTCTTCCTTAGCAGCCACCTTTTCGGCCTCCAACCGTCGGATTGCTGCACTCATCCTCTCAACAAGCTGCACCGAAGGACCAGCACCAACCGTCGATACTGAAATCATATCCTGTGCCATGTTTCGAGGAGAGGAGGGGTCACCGTCCTCAAGGTCGTCACGGTCTGGCGGTGGCGACGCCGCACGCGGTGATTCGCTGGGTGGCTCAAAGGGCGAGAAGGGAGGTGGCGGAGGCATCATGGGTCCAGTTGTAGACAAAGCACTTGGCCGGGGAGGTTGACTGGACATTCGGCGGCCGAAGAAGAATCCCTCGCCAGCACTATCAGTTTGACTTCCAGGAGTAGGTACTCGACGTGGCTGTCTGCCTGGTACGGGCAGACCAATAAGGTCAGAACTGAACGTTCGGGTAACGGAAAGCAACGGAGAATCAGGTCTACTTTGAGACTTTGGCGTACTTATCGCAACATCATCTGCCCATTGTCTTCGCTCAGCCTCAGCTGACACCTCCCTACTGGCAGCCCGCTGATGCTTCTCGAGATCACTCCGGGCCTGTTCAAGTGCGGTCTCAGCACTCTTGTGCTGGGTCCTCAGAGTAGCAAGTTCCTCACGGCATGCCTCAAGCTCCTGTCGAGCGGTTGCAAGGGCTGGGCTAACATCTTGGAGTTCATCCTCAAGACGCTTGCACCGGCTGGCCTACGGTTTGTCAGTGATATGATGCTTTGATATAACAGTTGAATTGAAGCTTACCGAGTCGCGAGCCTTCTTCCGCATTTCTGACTCTCGCCGTTGCGCTTCATCTCTTTCCTTCTCGAGGTTGGCCGCTTTTGTCAGGAGGGACGTTTCAATACCTTGCCAATTCTCACTAGCTGAGGCATACTGCGATTGAAGGGTTTCAATATGTCGTATCAACTTGATGTCGCCCCCGGATCCCGCAGAAGCCTCCTCCGCCGCTACTCGCATGGCCTCGAGCTTACCCTCGGCGGATCGGAGCTCTAGCTTCAGCTCCTCTTCAACATTGCGACCGCGCTCTACTGCCCGATCTAGCTTCTCCTGCCACTCAATTTCAGTGAGGCGCAACTTCTCGACCAGTGCCTCCTTTTCGGAACGCAAGGTGGCAATACTACTTTCGAGTTCCTTCTGCCTTTTCTTTTCAACGTCTATCGCCTTGTTCAAAGCCTCAGTGTGGGCAGCCTGTGCTTGTTCGGCTTTTGTTTTAGACTCCTGCTCCAACCGGCGGTAGGCTTCATGGCTGGCCGTCTTATCTTTTTTAAGTGCATCAATCTCTTTCTGCAGTGTGGCACTTGCCTTGCGGATCTCCTCATTCCTCTTGTCTTGTTCTTGCTTGCTGTTGATACGATTGCGCAGAGTTTCTGCTTCTGCCATAGCTCTCTCCTTATCCTTCTTAAGTTCATTGGCCTGCTTCTCGTTTTCGGCGATCTGCGAACGCAGCTTGCGAACTGCTGTTCGGAACTTTTGTTCCGAGGTAGAAAGCTTTTGTCCCTCCTCCATTAGAAGCGCAATCTTTTCGTCCTTCTCGGCCAACTTGCGCTCTGCACTGCCTGCAGCAGCCGAGTTTGCAGCCTGCTTAGCTGCGTCGGCAGCATTCTTGGATAGATATTGTAGCTTGGCTTGTAAAGTGTCGATCTGCTCGATATATTCCTGGATCTCTTCCGAACGACCCTTGTCAGCTGAACTTGGCTCTTGTTCTTTTTGTGCCGGTAGCTCGGGCGAAGGCGTATCTTGTGGTGCTTCCACAGTTTTATCACCATCAGATCCCTGGTGCAGAGGTTTGGGCTGAGTTTCAGCAGTGCTTTCGGTTTCTTGTGGTGGAACATCTTGAGACTCGAGGTCTGACTGTGGCTCTATTATGATGGGCGTCGGTACATCTTTGGAGTCCTGCCCGCCCTCGTCCGTATCTTTGGTTTCTTTAGAGTCTATTGATTGGGGTTCTGCGGAAGTAGAGGGCGGTTCATGGACGGGGGTGGGCTCGGTAGCTGGGCTTTCTTGTTCTGCAGGTTTCGAATCTAGCGTATCCGTGCTTTGTCTTGATACAGAAGGCTCGGTACTGGCAGGCCGTTCCTTGTCTACGGATCCGCGGGCGGTGTCAATAGAGCTACGTGGAGAGGATTGTGAAGTTCGCGAAGCCATCGCTTTGGCCAGCCTGGCTTGTAGTCGGTCATTGGCTCGATTTGGCTTTGGAGCCGTAGCTGTAATTATTGCCAAAGTCAGCATGCGACAGTCAATTTTGACGACCGAGAGAAAGCAAAGAGTAGCGACGCACCAGAGGTGGTAGGCTTGGGACTCGGCGACGGGGCAGGCGGCGCGGCCTTCATTCCCTGTTGCTGTTCATATGGTTGGGGTGGCTGTGCGGCCTGTTGTTCCTCGTCGAGTAAATTGTCGAGGCGATTCTCGACGCCTTCAAAGGCCGAGGAGAGGAAAGCTCCCCATCGTGACCCTTTGCCTGGCGCAGTCATGGTAACAATGGCCAAGTCGTATGGCTACAGCTTATCGTTCGTCAACTGACTGACGTATCCGCTAATGGTCACCTCATCGATTGGTCGATCGCGTGTATGTCGGAGCGAAGGGAGCGCAGTATCTCGAGTCGGTCGTGATGGCTTAGTCGTTGTAGCTGTAATTGAGCACGGATGTTAACAGGGGAGCGTTTTGTTCGATGTTGAGGTGTCGTCAGCGAGAAGTGGCATGTACTTGTACTGGGTACCCAAGTAAAATGCTAGCGGGTGGTAGGTGAGTAAGTGGAGTGATAGACCAGGCAGTTCGACGTCGAGTCGAGGGAGGATGATACAATTTAAATGAATACTAACTACAGAGTACCATAGGTATTTCTGGCCGAGACTTTGGATATGTTAGTAGTGGACGCCGTGGAATATTTGTCAATTTTTTGACATAAAGAACCAATTCTTAGTGGACGCTGAAACGTCAATCAATCAATTGGAGGCGGCATCACACTTTAGATCTGGTGTAAGTCGCCAACGTTAGATGTCAACCGGGAATTGGATGGGGAACGTAGCATCTATGTTACACTGCTGGATGTCATTACAGTATCAGTATGTATTATGTCCTCACCCATTAGACTCAACATGTTTATATCCATAACAAATAGTGTTGCAACGCATCAATACATACAATCTAACTACTACTAAAATAATAACAAATACTACACATCTTCTTAACTTCCCTCCTCAGTTTCTCGGGTATACATGTCATACAACAGCCCTCCTGGGCTACCAGATAAAATCATAGACAACCAATACTAATCAAAGCATACATGAGCCGAGTACATACGTCCAGATACAATGCAGTGCAATATCCAATTCTGGGATATCCTCGATACTCCATTCCGATGTACCGTTAGTTAGTAAAGTCACGCCAAACCCAAACACCGACCATGTTGGTGTCATATTTCGTATATAACGTGCTTGTGATATCGAACCAAGCAAATAAACAGTTAGAAACACGCTCGCTCAAAATGACTCTCATGCAATGTTCGTTCCTTCATCCCTTGATCTTCTTCCACCAGCTCGTGCGAGGAGCTGCTGCGTTTTCCGCAAAGTTCGACGCCCGGCGGGCATGGTGTCGCTCATCACTACCTTCTGATCGTCTGTCCCGGTGACGACCACCTCGCTCTCGTTCCTCCCGTCTTGCTCGTCGCTTTCGCCTTTCCTCGGCCTCGTCAGGCGTTTCGTCGGAATACTTGGATCTATGTTGAGCTCGTCGAGCTTCACGTCGTGCCATCTCATCGTCCTCAGTTTGTCCTCCGTTGACATCACCAGCTTGAGGGATCTCTGGTGGGGGTGGTGCATCGACGTGTTCCTTAACCCAGGATGAGGTTCCGAGATGGGGCCAAGCGGGCTGTTGTGGCTCTTCATGCCGTGGCCTTCGGTGGTGACCCTCAGCTCCTTCTTCAGCAGCTCGAGCAGCCCGTCTCGCTTCACGACGACGGCGACGTTCATGCTCGTCCTCGGATACATCGGCCTGTCGAGGTCGTCGACGATCGCGTTTAGCAGCTCGGCGGGCTTCTTGTTCTTCTTGCTCCGCCGCAGCTGCCGCCTCTTGTTCTCTACGCAAGCGCCTACGCTCTGCTCGCTGGGCCTCCTTGGCTTCTTGTGCTCGCTGCAATTCCTCCTCTGCTTGCTGCTCTTCTTGAGCTCGTCTTTCCTCCTCACCACGCTGTCGAGCAGCACGACGTTCGGCTCTGCGTGCATCTTGATCTTGTCTTGGGGCATCTGCCCCCTTCTCACGCTGTCGACGTCGCTCGCGACGCGCCTCATCCTTGGCTCTGCGCGCTTCTTCTTCAGGATCCGCACGTTTGGCTTTGCGTGCAGCTCGTCTTGCTTCACGGTCGGCATCAACAACTACTGCATCACCGTCCATTCGCGCAGTGCGCAGGGCTTCATCGTCAGTTGTGGCATAAGTACTGCGGCGTCGGAGAGGGTCAGGACGTTCGTTCTTGGGCGTTCTCAGGCCACTGAAAATGCCACCGAAGCCCTTCTTCGAGCCTCGCGGCAGAGGCTGGTCAGCAGGAACATCAGGTTCAACCATAATGGGTTCATCGTCTCGAGACCTTCTGTCTCGTCGACGACGATCGCGTGGGCCAGGCACAGCCATATCATCCGGCATGACCATGTCTTCATCTTCGCGAGATCGTGGTTTGTGAGACCGGCGGCGCTCGCGTCTATCGTTTGCGAGGTCAGGGTCAACCATAACAACATCGTCGTCTTCACGTGAACGTGTCTTGTGAGAGTGGCGGCGCTCATATCTATCTGGTACAGGTGCAGCACCGGACATCATGGCATCTTCGTCCTCGCGGGAGCGCGGTTTACGAGATTTGCGGCGACTGCTTGGGTCCTCCTGCATGAGCATCTCTTCAGGGGGCGGCGAAACAATCCCGCGAGCAGCCTCAGAATGTCGGCGCTTGCTGCCAAGACCATCTCTCTTCTCGCGAGTAGAAGCTGAACGTCCAAGTGGCGTTTTGCCAAATAGAGCAGCCGTCCTAGAGGAAGGTTTCTCAACTTTGTCGGATGTCGACCCTTTGGATGAGGTTTTCTCCTCTCGCCTTCTGTGCCTGCCCGACTTCTCCTGAGGATACTCATCTCGTTCTTCGCGTGGTGTCGCGCCCCATTTACCCCACGACGTCCCTTCGCGGCCAAGCTTTGGTCTTCGAGAGTGCTTCGGCTCAGGCGGAGGTGTCAGTGGAGGATCTGGGACTGGTGGAGGTGGAGGAGCATCGCGTCGAGACTTTCCCTTTCTGCTCCTTCTTTCTCTCTTCGGTGATAGGTCAACAACTTCGACAATTTCGTCGTCTGCAGGCACTTCAGGTTCAGGTTCTTCAGGCGCTTCCTCGGGAACAGCCTCAGCCTCTTCTTCGTCAGACTCATCAGCGATGTCCTTATTTGCAACTTCGGCGGGTTCCTCCTCAGGGGGATCAGCTTCAGCTGCCGCATCTTCTTCTTCTTCTTCTTCCTCCTCCTCTTCCTCCTCCTCTTCCTCCTCCTCTTCCTCCTCCTCTTCCTCCTCCTCTTCCTCCTCCTTGTCTTCAGGTGCCTCCTCAGCCTTGGCTTCTGCAGCAGCAGCCGCCTCCTTCTCAGCAAGTTCTTCAGCCCTCTTAGCTGCGTTCTCCTCGAGGAATCTCAGACGGTCTGTATCCTTTCTGCCGAGCCGGCCCTTTCTTGACTTCTTGAACTTAAGAGAATCGAGCTCTGCTTCTTCAGCCTCAGCAATAGCTGCAGCCTCGGCCTCTCGAGCTGCGGCTTCTTCGGCCTCTCGAGCTGCTGCCTCTTCAGCCTCCCGGGCTGCCGCCGCCTCCTCATCAACAGCACCGTTATCGTCTTCCTCCTCTTCCTCCTCCTCTTCCTCCTCTTCCTCCTCCTCTTCCTCCTCCTCCTCCTCCTCCTCTCCTTCTTCCTCTTCTTCTTCTTCTTCTTCTTCTTCCTCCTCCTCTTCTTCCTCCTCATTTTCAGGTGCTTCTTCTGCTTCTGCTTCATCAACAGCAGCGGCGGCGGCAGCTTCCTTAACGGCACGTTCCTCAGCGCGACGAGCTGCGTTCTCTTCCAACATGTGGAATCGATCTGTGTCCTTTCTGCCTAACCTGCCTTTTCTGGCCTTCTTGGCTTTAAGTGACTCAAGCTCGTCTTCTTCTGCTTCGGCAATAGCTGCTTCCTCTGCTTCCCTTGCAGCTTCTTCCTCTGCCTCCCGAGCTGCTGCGTCTTCCTCCGCGGCGGCGGCGGCATCTTCCTCGTCCTGCTCTTCTTCCTCTGCAGCATCTTCCCCATCATCAGGTTCATCGCCTTCGGGAGGTTCCTCCGGTTCAGCTGCAGCAGAGGCTTCCTTGGCAGCACGTTCTTCGGCGCGTCGGATCGCATTTTCTTCCAAGACCGCGAAACGTTCTGTATCCTTCCTGCCAAGTCTTCCTTTTCTTGCTCGCTTGGCTTTCAAGGATTCCAACTCTTCCTCTTCTGCCTCAGCGATTGCAGCTTCTTCAGCTTCCCGGGCCGCCATTTCATCGTCCTCTACCTCAACAATATCATCCTCCTCTTCCTCTTCCTCGTCCGCATGTGCGTCGGCGTCTTCGGCGTCTTCGGCAGCTTCAGCTTCAGCATCGGCTTCTGCTGCTTCAGCCTCTGCTACCGCCGCAGCTTCTCTGGCAGATCGCTCCTCTTCGCGTCTAGTAGCATTATCTGTCAAGACCTGGAACCTTTGCGTATCTGTGCGACCTAGCTTTCCCTTCCGGATCTTCTTCTTAGTTAATGCTGCAAGCTCTGCCTCCTCTTCAGCGATCACAGCTGCTTCGGCTTCATCGACTTCGTTTATGGCACCATCGTCAGGCTCTTGGTCAGCTTCTGGCTCGGGCTCATTGTCTGGTTCAGGTTCAGGTTCCGCTTCTAACTCGGCTTCAGCTGCGGCAGCGTCTTCTGCTTCTCGGGCCGCCGCCTCCTCAGCACGTCTAGCAGCATTATCTGTCAAGACCTGGAACCTTTGCGTATCTGTGCGACCTAGCTTTCCCTTCCGGATCTTCTTCTTAGTTAACGAAGCCAGCTCGGCTTCTTCTTCTTCTGCGATAGCTGCAGCTTGAGCCTCGGCCTCGGCGGCGGCAGCGGCGGCGGCACCTTCTTCCTCAGGTACAGCAGCTTCCTCAGCTTCAGGTTCAGGCTCCTCAATTAAGTCATCCTCGCCATCTTCGGCATCGACAAAATCATCTTCTTCCTCCTCTTCAGCTGGCTGAGCTTCCTCTTCGGCTTCTTCTGCGGCTTCCTCTGCAGCCTCTTCAGCTTCCTTGGCTGCCTGCGCCTCGGCACGCTTTGCAGCATTGTCTGTAAGAACTTTGAAACGTTCGGTATCTGAACGGCCTAGCCTGCCCTTCTTTGCCTTTTTCTTGTTCAGGGCAGCGAGCTCTGCTTCTTCTTCTGCAGCGACAGCCTGGGCCTCTGCCTCGGCGGCCTCCTTCGCAGCAGCGTCCTCGTCTTCGGGCTCCTCGTCAGGCTCGGGTTCAGCAGCGTCCTCAATGGGCTCGGGAACTGGCTCTTCGACCTCAGCTTCAGCTTCAGCCGCCTGAGCATCCTTAGCAGCCTGCTCATCCGCACGCCTGGCCGCATTCTCAGTTAGAATATCGAACCGCTCGGTATCCTTTCTACCAAGCTTGCCCTTCCTAGCCTTCTTAGCAACAAGTGCAGACAGCTCAGCTTCTTCTTCTGCGGCGATTGCGGCGGCCGCGGCTTCAGCTTCAGCGTCAGCGGCCGCCTGTACAGCAGCCTCATCATCTTCAGGAACGTCCTCTGGTATATCCTCAGCTTCGACCTCATCAACCACGGCTTCGGCTGCAGCAGCTTCTTTGGCAGCTTGCTCTTCAGCGCGCCTTGTGATATTCTCGGTTAAGAAGTTGAATCGTTGGGTGTCCTTATTGCCTAGCCTTCCTTTGCGCGCTTTCTTTGCTTCAAGAGATGCAAGTTCAGCCTCTTCTTCGGCAGCTATAGCAGCAGCCTCAGCAGCGGCTTCATCGTCAAGATCAGGTGCTTGCGCTTCAGGAGGTTCTTCGACTGGTGCCTCGACAGGTTCTATGGCATCTGGAACTGGTTCTTCGGGCTCTTCTGGGGCAGGCTCGTCTTCGACAGGGATCTCTTCGGCAGCAGCCTCTGCCTCACGAGCAGCTTGTTCTTCCGCTCGTCGTGTGGCGTTTAATGTCAGTTGGTCGAATCGTTCTGTATCCTTGCGTCCCAATTTGCCTTTCCTTGTCTTCTTAGCAGTTAGAGCAGCCAACTCGGCGTCTTCTTCAGCAGCAATAGCGGCAGCCTCAGCTTCAGCAGCTTCCTTTGCAGCAGTCTCTTCAGCCTCTGCGGCGGCGGCAGCCTCCGCTGCAGCGGCATCTTCAGCTTCTTGAGCAGCTTGGTCTTCGGCTTCTTTAGCAGCTTGTTCCTCTTCAGCCCGGGCGTCTCTAGCAGCCTTGTTGTCCATTAAAGCGTTGAGTCGATCGGTATCCTTACGTCCCAATTTGCCCTTCCGCTCCCTTTTAGCTTCAAGTGCTGCTAGCTCTTCTTCTTCCTGGGCAATTGCCGCTTGAGCTTCAGCGTCAGCAGCTTCCTTTTCAGCTTCCTCAGCTATTGCAGCCGCTTCAGCTTCGGCAGCTTCCCTTGCAGCTATCTCTTCAGCTTCGGCAACGGCAGCAGCCTCTGCAGCAGCAGCCTCTTCGGATTCTCTGGCGGCCCGTTCCTCGGCCCGTTTGACAGCATTCTCAGTTAGGATATTATATCGGTCGGTATCCTTTCTGCCAAGTTTGCCTTTTCTGGCCTTCTTTGCGTCTAAGTCGGCTAACTCCTGTTCTTCGGCAGCGATCAATGCGGCAGCCTCAGCGGCGGCAGCATCTTCTTCTTCAGGAGCGACTTCCTCCTCTGGTGGTTCTTCTGGGGCGTCTTCGGGCGTTGGATCTTCGATGTCTACCAGGGCGTCGTCAACAATTTCGGGCTCGGCCAAGGCAGCAGCTTCTTCTTGAGCAGCCTTTTCAGCTCTTTGGGCAGCATTTTCAGTAAGGACAGCAAGTCGATCACTGTCCTTTTTGCCTAGCTTGCCCTTCTTGGTTTTCTTTGCAATCAAAGCTTCTAGCTCTTCTTCCTCTTCAGCAGCGATAGTAGCAGCAATGGCGGCGGCCTCAGCAGCAATGGCAGCTTCTTCATCGCCAGCTTCAGAAGCAGCGGCATCATCGAAGTCATCAATGGGGGGATCTTCGACTTCAGGGGGGACCTCCTCAGGTTCGGGTTCGGGTTCGGGTTCAGGCTCAGGCTCGGGTTCAGGTTCGACTTCTGCTGCAGCAGCTGCAGCAGCTTTCTCTGCCCTTTGGGTTGCGTTCTCGGTAAGGATCGCGAATCTATCATTATCCTTCTTGCCAAGCTTGCCTTTCTTGTTCTTTTTGGCGGTTAAAGCAGCTAACTCGGCTTCCTCTTCGGCAATAACTGCAGCCTCTGCTTCTGCAGCTTCTGCAGCCTCTCGAGCGGCGGCCTCTTCTATAGCGGCGGCCTCGGCAGCAGCAGCTTCTTCTTCAGCAGCAGCGGCGGCGGCGGCTGCTGCTGCTTCCTCCTCGGCTGCTTTGTCTGCGCGGCTGGCTGCGTTGGCAGTAAGAAGATTAAAGCGATCAGTATCCTTCTTTCCGAGCTTGCCTTTCCTCTCCTTCTTAGCAACCAAAGCAGCCATTTCGGCTTCCTCTTCAGCAATAGCAGCAGCTTCCGCTTCGTTGGCTGCATTTGCATCAGGGTCGTCAATTTCAACAAGTTCCTCCTCAACTGGTGGTTCTGGGGCAGGCTCCTCAACGTCCACTTCGGCTGGTGGCGCTGGGTCGTCAGGCTGTTCAACAGCCATCGCTGCTTCCTGGGCTCTTCTATCTGCATTCTCGGTTAAGATTGCAAAGCGTTCAGCATCCTTCTTGATAAGTTTGCCCTTCTTGGCTTTCTTAGCCGCCAGTGCACTCAATTCAGCTTCCTCCTCAGCAATAGCAGCAGCCTCAGCTTCACGGGCTGCGGTAGCCTCGGCTTCGGCAGCCTCTGCTGCAGCAGCTTCTTCCGCATCCTTCTCGGCCTGTGCCTCAGCTTCGGCGGCGGCGGCAGCGGCAGCCTCCTCAGCGTCTTTAGAAGCTTGTCGTTGCGCAGCGTTCTCTGTTAGGATATCAAACCGTTCCAGATCCTTCTTTACAAGCTTCCCTTTCTTGGCTTTCTTCGCGGTAAGCATCGCTAGCTCTGCCTCTTCGTCTGCAATAAGGATGGCTTCAGCTTCGCTTGCTGTTACGGCATCAGCTCCAGCAGTTTCTGCTGCTGCCGCCTCTTCCGCTGCAGCAGCTTCAGCAGCATCCCGCGCAGCTGTCTCTTCTGCTTCTTTAGCAGCCTGTCGCTGGGCAGCGTTTTCGTTAAGAAGGTTATAACGATCTGTATCCTTCTTGCCAAGCTTGCCCTTTTTCGCCTTCTTTGCCTCCAGACTAGCTAGCTCCGCCTCTTCCTCTGCGATAATGGCGGCATCGGGTCCTGGCACTGGCTCTGGTACGACGAGTTCTGGATCGGCGTCCGCTGGTGGAGCTTCTGGGACTGGCTCAGGGACCGATTCAGTTGGTTCATCTGGAAGTTCGGGAGTTGCTTCTGTCGGGGCGGCTTCGGCTTTTTTGGCTGCTCGTTCTTTGGCTCTCAAGGTAAGGACGTTGTAGCGTTCTACGTCCTTCTTCTTGATAAGGTTGCCGCCTCGCTTCTTTTTCAAAGCATCCAAGGCAGCAAGCTCCTTATCTTCCTCAGCAGCAAGCGCCGCCTCTGCCTCACGGGCAGCTGCGTCTTCAGCTTCACGGGCAGCTTTCTCCTCGACTTCACGAGCTGCAGACTCTTCGGCTTCCTTAGCTGCTTGCGCGGCAGCAGCTTCCTCAGCCTCTTTGGCAGTTTTTACCTGAGCTCGTTTGACTGAATTTCCGACCAAGGTCATCAGGCGAGTAGTTTCAGCCTTGGTAAGCTTTACCTTTTTGGCCTTCTTGGCTTTCAAAGCAGCCATTTCCTCCTCTTCCTTGGCTGCTTCTTCAGCCTCAGCGTCTGCTGCAGCTTGAGCTGCGGCCTCGGCTTCGGCGGCGGCTTGGGCTGCAGCTTCTGCCTCGGCAGCTTCTGCGGCAGCGGCGGCAGCAGCATCAGCGGCGTCCTTGGCTGCTTGCTCGTCTGCCTCTTTAGCTATTGCGTCCTCCGCTCTCTTTGTCGCGTTATCGATGAGAATGTTGAGTCGTTCTTGCTCCTTCTTCAGTAGCTTGCCTTTCTTGGCCTTCTTTGATTTCAGACTCTCCATCTCCGCCTCTTCCTGCGCAACTTCAGCGGCGAATGCTGCTTCAGCCTCCGCAGCTGCTTGAGCCGCAGCGTCTTCCTCTGGAGCTTCTGGAGGTGGCTCATCAAGAGGAATTTCTTCAATTATGTCAACTTCAGCGGCGGCAGCAGCAGCTTCAGCCTCACGAGCGGCTTGAGCTTCAGCTCTTCGAGAAGCATTTCCTTCAAGAACAGTAAGGCGCTCTTGGTCTTTTCTAAGCAGCTTTCCACCTCGTTTCTGCTTTTTTGCCAAGAGTTGCTCGATCTCTTCGTTCTCTTTGGCTGCCTCGGCGTCTGCTGCAGCTTGCAGAGCGGCTGCTTCGGCATCAGCCGCTGCTTGAGCATCTGCTGCTGCTTGCGCGGCCTCGGCTGCCGCTGCCGCTTCAGCTTCGCGGGCTGCTCTGACTTCAGCTCTCCTGGCAGCATTGCCTTCAAGTAAAGTAAGTCGCTCACGATCCGACTTAAGAAGTCTTCCTCCTCTTTTCGCCCTCTTATCCATAAGGCTCGCAATCTCTTCATCTTCGCGTGCGGCCTCGGCGTCCTCCGCTTCACGAGCAGCTTGCTCCTCGGCTTCTCTGGCAGCTTGCTCCGGGTCTGATCATCGGGGTTTTAGTAGGTTCCAGTGAAAAAGACATTGGCAGTGAAGGCAGATTATCAGTCAAGGTGTCGAACGGATGGTAGATCTGTTCATCATGAACAACGAAACCAATCCCCAGCTGTCATCCCGAACATCGAGCTCCTTTTCCGATATCTCCCTTCGCATTGCCATGGGTTATCTTACCGGTAGTGTCGATGAGAAAGTCGTTTGCGCTAGGCCTCTGGTTGTCTATTGAACCCCAAAAAGCATCGTTAGGATCATGGGCGCCGGAAGTTTTAAAATCGAACGGATCGGCGGCCGGTTTCTTAGGTTTTTTGTCAAAACCCCAAGAATCGAGGAAGTCGTCGGTGCCAACAGCCTCGACGGGATCCGGGGCTGGAGGAGGAATCTCATCTTCTAATTGAATCAAGTCGCCAGCTTTCTTCTTTTTCTTACCTGTTCCCCACAGATCCCAACCGTCGTCTTCTATCTTAGGCGGCTCTGGGACTTGATGAGCTTTATAGAAATTTGACTCACATGTACTATCCTCACCTATCTTACCAACTCCCCACGAACCCCATCCCGGTGGGTTCTCCTCGGCGGGCTTTGGCTTCCCTGAGCCGAAAGTACTCCAAAAGTCATCGCCGTCCTTGTCTTCGAATGAAGGAGGGTCAGGAGCTGCCGGTATCGGGTCTTGTGCGCCCCAAAGGGAACTCTGTGGCGGATTGTCCTTCTTGCCAGACCAGCCACCCCATTGATCATCCATTGATGGGGGATCGGGTGCAGCTGCCAAAGCGACTTCCTCCATGATCCCTTTCTTCTTGGCCCGATCCTTCTTGGATATACCCCAAGTATCCCATATATCCTTCTTGCTGCCGGGTGGAGGCGCAGGTTCGGGGTCAAGGGCAAGTTCTTCCAAGATGCCACCTGGTTTCCCCTTTTTCTTCTGGCCGCCCCAACCCCAAGGGTCGTCGCCATCTTTTGGTCCCTCGTCGGGCTCGGCTCCCCAAAGTGTCGATTGTTTCTTGTCCTTCTTGGTTCCGAATCCCCAAGCATCGTCGTCATCTTTCATCCCTAAACCACCTGGCTGGTCTTTCGGCTTGTCCCAAGGATTTTCTTCGTCCTTTGGTTCTGGCGGTGGCGGCGGTGCTGGTGCTGGTGCTGGCTCGTTCTTCGCCCCTCCTCCCCAGCCCCATCCACCACCTCCAAACCCGAGTTTCGCACCCCAGCTAGATATGCTCTTACCCTCGGGAGGACTGAGGCCAAGATCTAGCTTGCTTCCCCCAAGGCTAATATTGTCGAAAGTCGTGGGTGGTTTCTGTGGTGCGCCTCCTCCGCCATTGCCATTGCCATCACCAGCGCCGCCCGCAGCACTGCCTCCGCTTGCTCCTCCATCGCCTCCAGTGTTATCGTCCTTCTGCCCATCATCTGCTGGGGGTGCAGCAGGGGGCGGCGGTGGTGGTGGAGGAGCGGCAGGAGCCTTGGCCTTCTTGGGCTTCTTCGCCGCTTCGTAGAAGCCTTGGTTCGAATTGAAGTCGATGAGGGTGTCGGAGGCAGGATCGCTAATTAGGTCATCGTTTGGTCGGCGACGCTCTTTCTGCGAATCCGAAGATGGTAAAGGAGATGAGGTGAGCCATGATGGAAGGCGCCTGTTGGCATTGCGGCCGGTGCCGTTGATGGGCATTATGGTGTCGGTGGGAATAGGGGCGTCGCAAGGTTTAGGCAAGCGCCTATACCATCGTGGAGAGTGGTCTGGGATAATTAGCGGCCTCTCGGCCACTTTGCGATGTGATGGTGAGGAAGAAACCTAAGCAAAGTGAATGACGTTAGACAAGACAGATTGATACCTAGACAGACTTTCAAACGTGTTACGATTCCGGAGCAAGATCGCTTGACAGGAATGGGTGGCGGCGGGTTCCCCCTCAAAGCTGGGGCCGCCGCCGATCGAGGGACCGGCCGTTAAACGCCACCCATTAAAACTGCTAAGCTTTTTGCTGGGAAATATGAAAGGAAGAAAAACGGGAAAGAAAACGTAAGGTAAAAAAAAAAAACAGAAATGTTGTGTAAATTTGAATTCCAACAGCTGATGGATGATAGCATAACATACATGTTGTGATGTTTGTACAACCCATGCAAGGGCAACAAGACTCAATCGGTATTGTAGAGAATACTCAACCGGCGCATTCAACGGGCACCTTGTGGTTGACAAACCATTCGCGCTTCTTGTCCAACAGTCTGTGGACGTCAGAACATAGGCCGCGGCCATTGTGAAGAACGGAACTCGTGCAAAGACGGAGCGACGTCACACACATGGAAGCTGTGAGTTAAAGACAATCGAAAGCGAAAGGCGACAAGGTATCAACAAATGAGCCAGGGCGCCAAAGTATGTAACAAGCAATGCTGAAGCTAACTGGGGATTGGTAGCGTGATGAAGTATTCCGTGTAAGTCGTAACCGGGTCAATATTGAGCGCGAAAGGTGAGGGGTCTTGTCTTGGACCTGTTTGATTCAAGGGTATCGAATGCGACGTCGTTTATGAGGATCGAGGTTATTGTCGGTGTCGTTGGGGGAAAGAGACGGTATGACGCGCTAGTAGAGAACCAAAGAAGAAGAAAAGGTCGATTTTGTTGAAAGATGAAGGATTGAGACGTGGTAATGTCAAGGGAGCGTAGACGGACGAAGGATAACCAACTCCCGGGGTAATTGATCGAAACCCTGGACGACCGAATGATTGTCCTGTCCTGTCCTGTCTTGTCTTGTCCTGTCACTTTTTCACCAACCACCCCCAGTCGTCGGATCGTCGTCGGGTCTTGGTTGACTTCGACCTTGGCCTTGACCTTGAGCTGGTCAATAAACAAATAAGCTTCAACTCAAAATGTACGACCAAAAAAGCCACACAGGGCAAGGTCAAATATCCAGACAAAGTCGATTTGATGTAAAGTGGAAAGAAAGAGACGGGAGGGGAAGAGTGAATTCACGGTGACGAGAAGAGCAAGCAAATGATTTGCAGGAAGGTACCTGGGTATGGCACTTGGAAGGGAAGGTCGGACGTGTACTGTTTCTCTCTCCATACTAACCTGGGCTTTTGGTTTGGGCACTTCAGGCCAAGATAAAATGGCCAAACTAGGTAGCCAATGACGCTAAATTTATTCCTTTAGATCGTCAGGCAGGCGAATTGCTCAGATGTTGTACAGTCCTTGGATAATACTTTGAGGCGATGAGTCGATTGAGCGGCCCAATTAACGGGCAAACGCGGGAGGTTCTACTGTACCAGCCCGTACTATCCAGTACTTACAGCGGGAAGAGATACGCTACACTTTATCAATGCAGGGGAACGTGCCCTTGAGTTTATTAGTTGTTGCTCGCTGGAGTGCGCAATAAACTAAACTAGTCGCCATCCATCCAATCCATACCGCCGCCACCACTAGACACAAGCCAGAAACGTGGGATCTACCATACGGTAGGAGAGGCACTACTGTAAGGACTTTAAAAGTAAATCTACTTTTGTGCTTAGACAGGATGAGATGCATAGACTATTCGATATCAATGATTTGCATCTCTTGATATCTCTGAGGTTTGTACATATTTCTTTACAGACACTTGGATACTGGACTGTACCTGGAATATACCACACCAACCAATAGTGCATCCATATATATATCACTATCACCATCACCAGACCACAAGATCCATACCAAAAGTGTACCCTCTCTACAGAGTCCTACACACCCTCTCACGGCTCCCTTCAGAACCCGTGCCACTTGGTACAGTCCTGAGGAGGAACCCAAGCCAAGTCTCGACTTTGTCCCAGGTCACTTTTCCATGTCGTCAACGCCTGAAAACCTCCACCGATTAATACTCAAGTAAACACCATCAGTATCTCGTGTCGTTGCACATGCACGGCTGATCCACTCGATCCAGGTTATCTTGACCAACCACGCAAGAGTCCGTTGATACTGATGCACGTCTGCAAGGTCAGGCCGCAGCGTCAACGCGTGGTTGGGTTAGATCCCTTTGAGGTACGTGTTGGTGAAGCCCAATAAAGCATCGAGCCCAGCCACCCTGAATCTCACATGCGCATTCCACTAATGGAAGCAGAGGAAGGGTTGCACTGCCTAAAGCCACCCGTTATGCGCGCCCAATTCTTGCATATGATACCCTATCGTAACAGGAGACATGAAAATTGATTGACTCATGGTGAATCGTACAAAGAGAAAATTATACAGCATCGACACTTTCCATTGCAGTTGTGTTTGGATAGTAAATGGTCCGATCATTCGATCTTTGTGACATGGCGAGAGGGGCAAATCACATTATCAACTTCGACTCTGAGACATGGTGTGGCATCTTCTCATCGCCTAGATGCTCAGAGGCGAGGGCCAAGGGCACACGATATGTCTCACTAGGACAACTCGAGCTTTCTTTACATGCCATACCACCACGAAGGATGAGACCAACACATGCAGAAGAGTACAGTACATACACAGAGTACCGTAGGTACTGCAGCACTACGAGAGGGTAAGGCAAGTTCTCCCTCAGCTTGCAAGACTGCCCTTGTAAAACGATCCGTTCCCGTTCCCGTTCCCGTCCCCCGCGTCTTCCAGGTTTCCATGTTCTACATATTTCAGCCGGGACTGTGACTTGTTGTGATATCTGGTTCCCACGACGACTGCTAACGCTTAATTGAACAGAGATCACCAGGCTCTGTCTAATGATTTGGGGGGAGCGGGTATGAGATGGCCCGAAGGAGCTAGAGTTGGATAGAGGTCATCAAACCATTTTACCTTCTATGATGGAAGCTGTGTGTACTTGATACCTGGTCCGACGGTCGTTTTCAAGCCTTGAATTGAGGTATTTTCTACGCCAGTTAACTAGCACACACACTTTTACCTCCCAGAGGCAATCAACTCTTCTCTTGTTGCCGGGTTTTGATACATGCAGATACTGCTGGGAACTAAGCACAAAACAATACTCGAGGTCTTAGGCAACTTGAATGAACGAGCCCATAAGACGACGTCGAGGTATCATTTTCAGACTCTGCTCTGCCGATGTGATGCCCCTCCAGCCCTGCCCTTCGAAGACCCTGCGCCTTAGCTCTGTGCATCATCTCAGACCTTGGCTCGAATAGGCATCGCCAGAACTCTCACCGCCTCCAGCTCCCGTCCCTACGCCTACGCCATGCCATGCCATGCCATGCACCGAAACCTCGTTCAAAAAAAAGCCCGCAGATTCGATGGGATTCATGCCACCTGCTTTGTATGGGTCGGGATTGACGACGACGCCAGCGACGTGTACGTACGTGGGCCGTTGAACGACTTGATGGAGCCGCTTTTCATGCACATACATACATGTCCTGTCTGTACTGTAGAGACCGACCAGACCACAGAGTACTGTGAGGTTCGTGGTGGATGTCACTCCGCAGAAAACAAAAGAATCGTTCTTCCAATCAGCCTAACGCCCCCATGGCGGTCAGACCTGAGAGCAGACGCCATTGTCGTCGAAAAGAAAAGGAAAGAGAAAAAAGATGAAATTAATACAGTACCGGAGCGTTGAACAATGACCGAGAATCTCTGCCCAAGATGGGACATGGCCAAGCCGGCAATTAGCGAACGACCCATGTTGGGAATGTTAATTAGTTCCTATCGCCTCGTTAGCCGCAGCAGGTCAGTCATAACCGAAGACACTGCAATGCTATGCTATGCTATGCTATGCCATGCATTGGCGACTGATGTGATTCTGTGGGTGAGTGTTCTTGAGAGCGCTGGTTCCTGACTATGGTAGCTGCAGCTAAATCACCCGAGACTAAGTCAACCGCCCAAGCCAGAGTTTGTCTCAGCCTTGACTTGACTTGGTCAAACTTAGTATGATGTATCTTGAAAGAATGCAAGAATGTCAGTTCACGCATTCTAGGGCAGGGTACTCTTGGACCTGTTGTCTGCAGGACGGGCCGTGTTTCCATGTTTCTCCCGTTCTGAGAAAGAAGCCTTATGACTCTGATTTTAGGGTCTAGTGCGGCTAGATATAGATACTACGTACTGATTAACAGGTACTAGGTAAGATACATGCATAGATCCCTATCTCGAGGTTCCCTGTTGAGAGCAGATTGAAGAATCTATTGTCAGATAACGATTCACTTGCCTCACGGGATGGCCGCAGTTGAACACACATATACGATCATAATTATACTATATAGTGTCCGCAATACCATGATATGTTAAGTTATGATGAGTGAGTGAGTCGGACAACTGCCGGATCAGGCCATGGAGTTGGTCTCGGAGAAGAAAAGCGAGAAGCGATGAGTACCTAGCTATCCGTATTGTCTCCAATTATTAAAAATTGAGGCAGATCACTTTTAGTCTTGAGATCTCAATTTACCATTCACTTGCCAATATAAAGTTAGTACGTAGCATGTAAGACGAGTTCCATTTTGCTTTGATCTTTTTCAAGAGTGTCTGTGCTCGTTATTGTTTTTCCAGAGGGGATTCATCAACAAACTCGTTAACACAAACTTATATCGTACGGAGTCAAATCAATTTGAGCCCTAGGATAATAATGACCGTGCTCATAATTCCAGTCTCTTTTGCCTTGGCCTCCCTCATCTTCGGGCCACTCTCTCTCGTTCTGGCAGGTGGTTCCTACGGGTCTCGGAAGCAGACAGCCCTGTAGAGCCGGACAAGCGCCTCGATATGGAGATGGATAACCTCCGAGCCTCCATAGCTGAGGGGACTGTAACTGCGACTGCAACTGCAACTGCAACTGTAACTGTAACTGTAGCTGTAGCTTAAACTGGAACAGGAACTGTATCCATACCAGAGGTTGATGATACTTGGTTAATTCATCTCTCTCTACAATAGGTATGGTCAGGTTCAGAAGCAATTCTAGACAGATGCTTGGTTACATGAGCAATAAAGACGCTGCGCACGGTTAACAATATTAACTTGATTCATCAAGTTAATTAGTCCGTTGATCAATTGTAATTGAACCTTGTCTGTACATACATTAATTAGATGGCATGATATGGGTGGCATGTTGGATCGCTCTCACAAAACAAAGACTCCCCGCGCACTAGCAAGCTTTAACTAAACGTTAGTAGATTAGCAGATTAGGTACTAAAACTTACCTGGATGTCTACACCTAACCAATATGTACAGTGAAGCGACACTTGTCTCGTCTTTATGGAAATAAAGAGAGAAAAAATTGTTAGTCTTAATAGCAAGTAAAAGCCGGGACTAATTCTTCCATCCTACGTTATTATCAAGCAACATCCAGATCTTCCCATTTTTTGTCTGTCTCCCGTCGTCTTCTCTCTCAGGTTCTGATGGTCTAGACCTCCACCTCCTCTCTCTGTACACTCACTGTAACAGTGCCCCATCCCTTCCAATCTGTCCCCGCCTTCAGGGCTACTATACGGTGCAGGTACAGTATATTTTTAACTCCGTCAGCCACCATTCGGTTTAGCCTCGACTCACTCGCCCATCGTCTCAACTCTCAACTCAACTCAACTCAACTCAAACTCACCCAACGCAATCATTTGTTACTCATCATCTCACTGTCGCTCCCGCTCACCCAAGCGCAAAGTGCATCTCAGCGCAGCCAACCAACAAAAGAGGCAGAGTTATATTATAGGCAGGCAAAAACCTGTGAAACGGAGGGTTATTCAACTACCTAAATTGTTCTCTTTTCCGATACGCGCGGGCGCCTATTCGCTTCTCACCTCGTGCATGCATTAGAAGCGCAGTCCGCATCCGCTTCCTTGCTTCCTGCCTGCTCGCTCTGCTCCGCTTGTCGTCGGATTCACAAGCTTTCCCGGTTCAACGACAAAGGCCAAGTCAAGGGGGAAAGGGAAAAGGAAAAGGATCGAAAACGAAACGGCAGAACCCAGTAGCAGCGGCATCTGTGAGGCGCAGACTTAAACATCTTCGTTCTCTTCTCGACCATTTCAACTTTCTCTTCCTTGGATATCAGAACTTCTCTTAAAGCTCAACCGTCCATTCTTTATCTTACAGGAGGAGAGCTTTGGCAACAAGCTTCGTCAGGTCACTACTCTCTATCTCTGGACTCCTCCTTCTCTCAATCACTCCGGATGGAATAACTATCGCCAGTCCTGTTCTCGACAATCATCATGTACGCCTTTGGATGTCTCATCAAGATAAATTTATCGACATCGCTACTATTACAATCACCAATATCAACAACTTCTAATCATTAGTCTCTACCGACCATCATCTAACGAAACGATACTCATCCACACTCTTCATCTTATCCTCCTTCCCTACACCAAACGAGAGGACTACGAAACTTCTCTACAGCGCCCAACCACCTCCTACAAAGATGCGCACAACTCAACTTCTCTCCATATCCGTCCCTGTACCGGGTACTCTCCCTCCCGGCGCTGTGTTAGCTGCACTGCAGGCCGTTGATCCATTTGTCGCCCATCATCGGACTGTGACCAAGTTGGACGAAGTTCCAGCAGATCCTGCAGACACTGCCGAAGACCCTTTCTTCGGGCCCTTTGACGACACTTTCCGCGCCTTTGAGATGCAGGAGCTTGTCAACCTTGCTCCCGGTCTAGCCAAAACGATTACCTACAGAGCCATTTTCCAAGTTATCCCCGATGGCCTTCGCTCAAGAGCCAAAGCCCCGGTGGGCGTTGTTGTCCGAGCTCAGTGGCAAGTGCGCCAGCAGCAGCGCGGCCGATCAGCTACTGGACCAATATCGCCGGCAGGTTCGGATAGCACGGCATCAGGCAGTACGGCGACGGTTGAAGGGGACGAGTTCGAACTCCACGAACAAGTTCTGCTCGAGGCCAATTCACTCCTGATGCCCTTCATCACAGAGTCGTGTGTAGCGGTTCATCGCGAGATTTGCGAGAACTTCATGGCAGCAACATTCAAAGAGTACTTTGGAACATTGCCGATGCATCATCACTAGTCGTAAGACGAATCCGATCAACTTGGAGATTATATCACGACATGCTGCGAATCACGAGGGCACGACCGGGCTTACAATGGGAAGTGAATCAAGGAAATGGTTAAGGGAGCTGTTGCACGGCGTTGGTACTGTCATTATTGGGTTCGGAGTTATGTTCACATTTCTTGTTTCCTGGGTCACTAATCTATTTTACCGTAAAGATATCCAAAGAAAGGGGTGATCAGTTACAGTATTTGGTCAGGGGCAATCTAGACGTCAGTATCTGCTCATGCATGGTTTACATAGATGCTTTTCAACTATTAGGTCATATCCACAATCTCCATGCATCCTTCCGGGATCTGTTATATGGAAGGTCAAATGAAACTGTATCTACATCTCACGAATTCGGACAGAATCGAGAGGACTGAAGCCAAGTTCATGAACCAACTGGTTATTCTCGCTCGTTTATTTCCTCAAGAGTATAAAAACAGACTCGTATTGGTATCTATGCGCGTACCGTCTATGCCCAACCTGCCGAAGTATACAAAAATAGTCATCATAATTCGCTGATGTGGCCGCTGTATACAGTTTCCACATGCCATCTAGAGCTGCCCATAGGATATTCGCCATCCAAAACCTGGAATCCCATGAAACAGGGACAGAATAGAAATAGAAATAGAAAAGAAAAGATCAAACGCTGCTAACAAAGGATTTCAAAATGTGTCGTAAGTGCTCAGTGAAGAAAGGACATTGATCGCGTTACAGGGTATTGATCCCTTCATCAGTGAGCCCGCATCATCGGCCACCAAAGTCACTGGCATATCCCATCTCACCGAACCCTTGACCCATGCCGCCCTCGCCAAACCCTGTTCCAGGGCCGCTCACGTATCCTCCATCTTCATTTTCGTCGTAGTCACTGGCATCAAACGATGAGCGCCCGCTGACTTCGTCCTCCATACCTGAATTCACATCAGGAGTTGACCAATTCAATTGGGCCAGTGCAGGGTACTGCGCCAGAAGAGCTGCCGGGAGCATGGGGTTGCCTGAAGGATCCATAGGATAGACAGGGCCATCCATTGGCATACTGGATGCGGCCGCCATGCTCTGTGCCATATTTTGCTGCATTCTCTGCTCTTGCCAGAGTCGTTGTCGTTCCATCATTTCTTCATCCAACAGAGGTTTGATGCAGATACGGCCTGCCTCAGATCTAAAGTGGCGACCCAAAGCATCGGCACGGGCAAACCGCCTGCCGCAGCCCCATTGGCCTCCCACCTTGAGATCGCCCTTGCACACAAACTTCTTCTCTCCAGAGTGCAGACTTTCGTGACGCTTACGGTCGTGTTGTCTCGCAAAGGCTTTTCCACAAACAGTGCATACGAAAGGACGCTCATCGGTGTGTGTTCTTAGATGCGAGCGCAGGTTGTAAGCACGTGTAAATCGCTTAGGGCACAGTGTACACTGGAAAGTGGCTGGATGCTTCTGAACGCGCTTGGCAGCCCCGTTGTCCTGGTTATTCTGGTATTCAGGGTCTGCCAATCGCAGGGCAATGACGTTGTTGGGTACCGCCGATGTGGACTGTCTTCTTCGGGAGGGCGAAGTGCCCGCTTGCCTATCAAGAGGCGACAGAGACCTAGAGTCTGGGCGTGCTAACAAGTCGGCACCTAGAGAAGGCGACATCATGTTCGCATTGCCTTGGCGACCCATCATGCCGCCGCCTTGGTGGAAAGGGTCTGTCACGGCACGAGGACGGGATCTTGGACGACCTGAGACGTGTTAAACAGTTTCAACAAATAGATGTTCAGTATCGACATACCTCTGTCGGGGGGAGTCAAAGAATCTTGATCCATACGCGATTTGGGTTGATCAAAGGCACCTTGCTTAGCATTCGTAGGTGCAAAATCAATGTTGATGGCGGGAGGTGCCATTGACGACAAATCGGCACCTGATGGCTGAAGGTTAGGGAAAGCCTCAACGGGCGCATTGACGTCGGAGTAGGTAGAGGGTACCCCATATGGGTTGTGAGGCGCTGCCAAACCAAAGCTGTTTTGATTCAGCTGGGTCAGGTCGGGCATCTGCTGAGGAACAATGCGAGGGCTAATGGCGGGACTATGGGACGGACTACGGCCCTGGTGTCCAGGGCTACCACCGACCTGAGGGTCGGAAAGACTAAAGTTACCAATGCTCAACACTTCCTGATATAAACCGCCATCTGAAGGGCGATGGGCAGGTGAATGCCCGCCAATATCGGTTTCAAAAGACTCGGCGCTAACAAGATTGGGCGATGGAGCAACGGATGAGACGTCTGAGTATTCAGATGGTGTGCGACGGTGGCCCTGGAACTGAGGTCGGTTCCAGTCTGCTATTTGGTTTGGGAGAAGAGCATCTGCAGGTCCAAGAGAGGCATGTCGCGAGTGACTAGGCGGAGATGAGAATTGATGCTGGTTAAATGCGGGTGACTGGTGAGCAGAACCAGGCTGTTGAGCATCATGCTGGAACAAGTGAGGAGGGGTGGGCGAGTGATGCCCTTGCGCCGCCATGGTATTCATATCGTTGGGGTTCAAAGTAGACTGGTCAAACAACGGAGCGTTGAACTGGTCACTCTGGCCACTGGTACTCGGGAAAAGAGAGAAATCGTTGTCGTTCAGGTTGGGCGACAGATAAGCTGCCTGAGACTGGTTGTTGAAGGGCAGCGAGGTGTTACTGGGGTCGAGAATAGCGGGGTCGGATAGATTGGCCTGGCCGAAAGAGTTGGTCTGCTGTTGATGCGCAGGTGGAAGATATGAAGGCGACTGTTGAGGGCTCAGGAAACCAGAGTTACTGAAGGAATCGTAGGACTGGTGGGCGGACTGATCGAGTGTAAGACCAAGGCCGACGGATGGATCGTTATGCTGATAGGGCGTAGGCGACGGGGAGTGAGAGTGGTTTATATGAGACTGCTGATGGCCAGTCGAAAGCGACCGGCCTCGAGCCTGAGCTTGTTGATCCATGATGTTGCCGAGTTTAGAAGCAAAGACAACCCAAACGCAAGCAAAACGAAGCCAAGACGGAACGAAACGACGCGGACGAGGCAGTCAGCCTTCAGGCACCGTGGCGATGCGATGCCGCGCGGGGGGGCTGTGCGCTCACAGGGTGATGCAATGGGCGGGGGAGCGTCCTATCACGACAGCCGACGCGTGGAGGGGGTTGCGAAGCGCGCAGGAAAAGAGCGGGATAGGTTTGCAGAAGAGAAATGGAAGAGAAAATGCGACGCAGAAAAGAAGTGGTATGACGAGGCTTTGTTGATGCTGCTGTGGTGTTGAAGTATGGTTGGGCTGGGCTGGGTCGGGTCGGCCGCGCAGATAGATGATGGTGGAGAGAGTAGAGGTAGAGATGTGCGACGGGTATGCTACTAGTAATATTGAGGTGGCTTCTAGTTGGACGTGCTGTAAGGGAACCTTTAGTACCTGGTACCTTAGGTAAATGTTCCAGGGCGGGTAAAATTAAGGTAATCCAGGTCGGTCAATGCTCCTGGACCTGGGGTGTGTGGTACGGATACAGTAGAGTCGGTAAGGCAGTAAACCCCCGCCAAGACATTTGATAATTTACTAGCCTGGTCGATTACCTTTTTTTGTGGTCTTTTTGTGTTTAGAAATTGAGTGGATGATAAATGAGTAAGACGGAGAAGAGAGGAGAGAACCTATGAATGGAGATGGCGGGCGGTTAACTAACTGCAGGTCGCTAGGGATACCCACCTCCACTGCTGTCCGCTGGAACGGAAGGGTCCTTGTGGCTGGTCCCTTCCATTAGGTTTCGTCCAGAATTCCAATAGAAGCTGGCTCATGCAGATGGGGTCTATACCTTACGTACAACGTCTAAACGGGTAGGAATTAATTCTATGAAATGTATGGATGAAATGATGCCCGGGCTTGATTACTAACAGCACATGCCCTTACATCCATCCATTTAAGTCGAACAATAGCGCCGAGGCTGTGCAGAGACACGTTGAACAGATGGGGCCTCAAGCTTATTGCCTACCCAGGTACCTCGGGCTGTCAGGTCAGGAACAATGGATACTACCTATCTATCGAATCAATAAAGTTAAACCAGATCAGCAAGGTCTTGCTAATTTTAAAACGATGTCAGGACCGGATCGTTTCGATCGGTTACAAGTGAGGCAGACTCGCTTCGCTTCATATGGAGGATTATGACAATCATGATATCGCTAAATGGATACTATAAGCATTATACGATGATGCATATTGAAGTGAGCAGTCGAACTGCAACGGCTGGCTATCAACTCTTGTTTACTCTATACTCCTAATAAGAATTACTTTCTACTCTTCAGAAAATATCAGAGACTCATTACCTATTGAATCAATGCATCAAACATGGATCCCCATACGTAGCATCCCGCTTGTTTGGGATTGGTGGCCCTAAGTAAATGAGCATCAGCACTATCCAAATACCGAACTCGCCATTTAATTAGCGGCACTTTTGCAGGCACAAATGATATTTGTTTACAGTTATGCTTACCTAGGTATGGATGTTGATCCAGATGAACTGTTGTAGATATGAGCTATATGTGACTGACAGATGTTGGTCTCTACAGAGGTAGATGGATTGGATGTTTTTGTCATTAAAGTTTCCTGCCAATTCTACTAATTACTTAGATCTAACCTAGCCTACCTAGGGAGAGTTATCTCTAAGCTGTGTTAAGCGTGTTAAGCTTCATGTCAGCTGTTGTGTCTTGGTTGTCATCAATTTCTGATACGCGCTTGTTACTGTCGAATCAGCCTGTCCCATACAAGGGTACATAATGAAGTTGCTTACAGTATAGTCTAGGCGTAACAAATTGAATCATGTTGAACCATGCATCTTGATCACCGTCGCAATGAGATAAACTTACATTCCATCAGGTGGCTGGTATGGCAATCAGTCTAACCACATCATACGTAGGACATTCGTCAGACCTTATAATAGACACTCACTGTTCCTGGATCGTCCTCTTGCACTGCCTCTGGAAGACGTGATGGCTTCTAGCGCGACTTGAGCTCACCACTTACAGTTCGTGGAGAGGAGTCTTAAGTCTTACACTGCCACACAGCCTTATACGCGGCTCACGATCCGACCCCCACAATCCAAGGCTGTGTTTTTCTGATACAGTACATGATGATGACAGTATCATATTCGGACTCCAGCTTATATACCATGTACGTACCTTTGTTATCTATCCCTGTCCTGGTCCTAGTCCCGGTCCCGGTCGGTGACAGCCGAGTTCTTCCTTTGGCGTTTGAAGATCCTCGCAAGGCAGATTTTTGTTTTACCTACACTGCTCCAGTCGCAGTCGTGAATGTCACTTGTAATAGTAGATTCTGACGTTGGTGTCTGATACGTTTCATACTGAAGAGATGCTTATCTGACGGCGACAACGATAATAAATTATGTCTGATGGAATAACACAAACTTGTCCGTTCATAGATTTTCCCTAGCAGTGCCATATCTATCTTAGACCGACGATTCTGCTTCCAAGTCTTGTCGTCTCCAGTCCGCTTCATCTGTCTTCACTTTTGCGTGACTCTGGATAAGTAGAAAACTGAATTTATAACCACTCGAATTTGGCTATTATCATTATATCCCAATACTCCATAAAATCCACCAAGAGTAGAGTTTCCCTGCTTGAAATGCCAATAAATGCCAACCCTTCTAAGAAATCCAATCAGAACTCCCTCGTCCCTTATGCAGTTGAAACGCCATTCCCGAGTGGTATCATATGCAAATGCCAACCATACACACGATGATCGTTCTCCCTTTTTCAACTTTTTAAGCAAATGAAATGACTTTCCAGAAAAGTCTCGAACTGAACCTCGATAGACCTTTGTCTGGTATCTCTAATCGTAGTACCAGTCATCCTCAGATAACTTCAGCCCGATCATAGCCAGCTGCCTTCAGTGCAGGCTTAGGTGGCTCTCGATCCTTGAATTCACTGACGAATGGGTTTGGGTCGTCATTTTGGTTGAGGTTACCCAATGTGTGGTTAACTCCTCGATGCGTTGCCTCATCAGCCCTGATGTAGAGAATCAAGTCCTTCATCGTACGGTGCTCCTCGGGCATCTTCCAGTACTAAATACATTGTTAATTGGCTGCATTACTGATCCATGCGTGTTGTCAATACATACCTGAATAGCAATATCAGGGATCTGGAACTTAGGGTCACTCCACTTGGGCAAGTTGCCATCCTCGATCTCCTTTATACAGCGAGTGTAGGTGTGGACAGCCTCTTCCTCAAGGTAACCAACAAAACGGTGAACGATCTTGGGCGAGATGAGGTATGAGACGAACAGGCTGTTGAAGAAGACACCCTGGGCGCCGATGATCATCATCTTCATGAACCAACCAGGTTCACACATCTTCATGAATGTCAAGAGGTGCATTCTCTCGTTGTAGCTCTCCTCGAGGAGAGTTTCGATCCAGCCATTGTCACGCTTCATGCGTCTCAGACTGCCGAGATGTCGCAGCATACCACCGACCATGCCTGGGACACCAGCAACGCTTTCTAAGAAGATGAATCGGATCAACTGGTTCATGTTAGATGGCTTCAAGTATCGAGTATGATATACAACTTACCCATTGTGCCTCGGTGAGTGGCCTCTGAGCTGCAATAGCTGTAGTTGGCTTCTTTTTGTCCGACTTCTGATCCCGGTCCATGCCTGTTGCCTTATCCATACAATATCTGGCAACACGAACAATCTTCCATGCCGTCCAGTCGCCCAGAGTCTTTGGTTCTCGGTGGGCAGGCTCAACAGCCGCCATTTCTTGGTAGGTGTAGCCCTCGTGTGGCCATGCTGGTCTGGTTGTTTGGATGTGCGGTGTCTCTTTGACAGGGAAGAAGTCACGAAGCTGGTTGTTGGGTGTCGAAGAGAAAAGTCGGTGCTGCTGAGATACGGAGTAGCCGATCCGAAGGATAGCGGGAGTTTTTGAGAGGGATGATGAGGATGATACTGTTCGAACAAGACCAAGAGCTGCAGCCTTTGCAGCCTGTCTCGAAGCTGGGTTATGGTGAAGCTGGGTTGACAACATTGTGAAGAGTAAGACTCTAGACTGGTTGTGTGTAAGAATGTATTATTCTGAATAATAGAGATGAATGTTTGATACACAAGATATCATGATACATAAAATTTCCTTCCTGCCTGAGAAGATACTGCCAGACCTTTATATAGATACGCTATGGAAGCCCTCGGAGAAGCATTGGCCGCACGTCAGACGCTATTCTCACCTCAACCCGAGCTAAAGCAAGTAGATTATGCATTTGCGCCACCTATGGGCAAGATTACTGACCCGTATGCATTCGGCTGAAAAATTGCTGACGGAGGAGGTTACAAAGACTACGAAGACAGACCGGGTGAAGAAGATGAGGCGCCCCAAGGTGAGGACTGCCCGGGAATTAGAGAGTGCGGCGTATGCGGCACACCTTGGCCGCCCGCTAATTTAGTAATGGTCTAACCAAACAAAGCACGACAGACGAGCCGCTGTAATTGGGAAGCGCTAGAAAGACGTTCCCGAAAACCTAAATCGGCATCTTCTTTGCGGCTCAAAAAGTTGCGGCTGCCATGTGAGTCAAAGTTCATCGGGAGGACTCGGATCTCAGCGCTTGGACGGCGATGAAGTCTTGAGAATCATTCATAATCTGACATCAACGACAGTACAGTATCTCAAAATATGTTCATGGCACGTGCTGTAAACGGGCCTATTCCTTAGTTGCCGTCGTGAATTTTCTAGATCCCGACTCGACTCGGATATTGATGGATGAGAACAAATCGGGATTTCTCGATATTCAAGACCCAGGCTTCACTTTTGATAAGGGGTTTCTCGGGATACTGAGGTGAATCAGCGGGACTTTAATGGTCATCTGTTTTGTATATCCTCGTATAACTAACATTCAGACCCTACCTCACTTACACCTTGGCTCCCTGATCGTATACAGTAGAGATGGACATCATGATGAAGTTGTTCTCTAAGAGGACAGTAAGATCTTGAACATACTATTCATGACTAATATCCACGCTTATGAACTTTAATTGACGAGTATAATACAAATTTCAATCTCTGTTTGTCATTACTGCGCGGCACGTATAACGACAGTTTGTGCTGATGACGATTAGGTACATTTTAGGAATCAATTGTAAATGGAGTGAATACGATTTGATTCCCAATATCAATGATCTGATGAATACCAGAGGCCATACTCTGCATCGTGGTAGAAGCCGTGACTACTTATACAATGTTTCTGGTGCAGGGTAAGTAAATGCGAGACCTGTCCCACGCTTTCGGCTCTTCAGACATCAAAATTGGACGCGAGAATAATAGGAAGAGTAGTTCCAGTGAGCCAGTGAGCAAGTAACTTGTATGCAAAAAAGTTTAATGGAGTCATCTAGTAATACAAGAGGCAAAGTTCCTTGAAACCTTTGACAGCTTACGAGGAAGCTTTCACTGAACTGTGCCGTAAACGAGTGGATATCAAATGAAAAGACTTAAAACAGACAAAAGTATAAGTCGGTACCAAGCCACATATAGTGGTTATCCTAGCAAATAACGTCGCTGAATCGCATGCCCAGTCCGGTACTCAGGCACTTACTGTATGATAACTGACGTCAATGCTCAGCCCGATGGAAAAATAAAAAATACCCGCCAAATTTTAAGGCTAAAGAAAAAAAAAAGTGCCCCTCCTTGACAGGCACTGATTTACCCCTCCATCGGGTCTCTGTGAGCTTTTGTGCCTGATGAGATAGATATATACCACGGTATACTACAATGTATACACTTTTATGTGCCATGCTTTACAGTTAAAAACTATAGTACCCGACCAATATGAATATAAATACATAGTCTAGTGTCTGCGTAGAACCTTGTTTCGTTCGTTGACTCTTCCTTTGTTCCCTTCCATTCCAAGATCCATCCATCGACCCGTTTTGTACCGTAGCCAGTCCAGCATCAAACACCCACCCACACCTACTACCTAACCTGCCTACAGGCGCACAACCTTGGGCACCACACAAAACTTAACTTCCATTTCCCTCTACCACGTTCGTACGTCCTGAACTTCAATCATCACACCTCACTCCCGTAAAATCACGGCCAAACACCAACCGACCGACAGCCATCATGCCTCCTAAGAAGTGGGGTACGTAAATCTCCTTGTCCAGATTATCGTCATGTCTTATCGAAATATGGACTTTTGCGGGGTCTCTCGTCTTGATCATGACAGGCCTTTACCAGACAAGCAGCAACATCTTTGCTAACGAGGCGCTTCTATAGACGAAGAAGACAGCGATGATAGCTCTTCCTCCGGCTCTCCTGCCGTTGGTGCTGCCGCCGTTGCCGCCCGCCGCAAGTTTGACGATGAAGAGGATGATGGAGATGTAAGTCTTGGTCTTGTTTGACATTGTCTCGCTTGGCTCGTTACCTCATAAAGCTCGCCGTACACTCCCTTTCACGACTGACATAAACTCTTCTACAGGTTCTAGACTCGTGGGATGCCGACGACTCCGATGCCGAACGTGAGAAGGAGCGCAAGGCCGAGGAGGCTAAGAAGAAGGCCGCCGCTGCCGCTGCTGCTGCCAAGAAGCCCAAGGGTCAGCGAATCGCTGAGCATCAAGCTGAACGTGCTCAGCAAAAGGCTGAAGCCGACAACTACGAGGAATACGAGGAGACCGAGTCCGAAAAGCGTGAGCGACTTCGACGTACTGAGCAAGAGGCCGATCTTGCTCATGCTGCCGATATGTTCGGAGATATTGGAATCAGCGCCGGCCGTGCCAAGTCTCGTCCTGCTACCGTTGTTGTCGATGCCAACGACCCTACCAGGACTGTCGACATCTCAAAGCTGCCCCTGTTCCAGCCCAAGACCAAGGCTCAATTCGAGACCCTCCGCACCAGCATCACCCCCCTCATCTCGGCCAACGCAAAGAACCCCCACTACTCCCTATTCCTCCAGGACTTCACCAAGGCCCTTGCCAAGGAGATGAACAGCGAACAGATCAAGAAACTCGCCAGCACCATGACAGCCCTGGGTAACGAGAAAATGAGAGAGGAGAAGGCCGCCGACAAGAGCGGCAAGAAGACAAAGGCTGCCAAGACAAAGACTTCCCTCGTCGCTGGCCGTGCTAACGTCGCGGACACTACTACTTACGATGACAACGACGACTTTGGAGAGTGAGTAACTGCACATCATGTCGAATAACTCGCCAAGCTGACGTTTTCTCTAGTGATGACTTTATGTGAAGTGTTTCTCGATAACACAAAAACGAGATCTCTCGCCCCTATCCGACCTGCCGCGCCCAGCTTCGACTTGTGTACTCCCACTCCAGTCCAACTGCTTGCCAACTGACATGCCATCGACGCAAACGCGGCGATAATAGTCGCACGGCGTCGCCTTGGAACACTCTCAATTATTTGAACAGGACAGGGCAGACGCAAAAGAGTTTGAGGGCGTGCTACAGGAGAGGGAGGGAAAGGCAGCATGCATAAAAGTGGTTGTGGCGCAAAAGATTGGAGAGCGTTTGAGATTATATACAGGAAGATGGCGAAGCACTGTCATGCCAGCATTGTTTACGCTCTTCAGGTACTAGGGATCTACACAAGGACTTAGCGTTAGTAGATGAGAATTTGTTTGCTTCAAAAGACTTTTTGCTACATGGATATATCAAGTCTGAGTTGATGAGTGTTCTGTTTCGCGGCGATGAGGTAGTCAAACGCTGGAATAGCATTCGTATCAGTGATACCCGAAAAAAGGGCAATGTCAAGATAGTGTAAATAGTTCATATATCATGTATATTTGTCTGTAAGAGAATATTTAGACTACTTCGTCTTCCGTGAACATTACCAATCCAGCAAGGGTATCTCGGCCACCCGCCCATCATTTTGCTCCCTGGAAACATTAAGGAGTTGAGTAGAATCATGGACGAAATCTTGTCATGGATATATAAAATCCCATCAACGCCGGTAACATTCAATCGTGTCGTGAAATAACCCCCCAAACGCCTCTGTTGCCTTTACAAATGTCGTTGTCTTGAAACAGCGTCCATAAAAATACAAGTTGCACATCATCGTTGATCAGATCGTATACTCGAAAGATTTGCGAGCAACTGAGATTGAAGAACAGCGGCTCGTCTGTGGCAATTACACCACGTTGCCCGCCATGCCCATGAAGAGGGCGTGGACAGCGACAGACAATGTCCAAAAGCCGACCTTCTTGAACCGTCTCACACGACTCTGCTGGTTCTCAACATCATTTGCGAACGCATCGTATGTCTCCGCTGACATGTCATTCATAAGACCACAGTCAAAGATGGACCAGCTGCCATCAAAATCGCTAGCCCGCTTCACAATACGGCAGTTGATTGGGATATACGTTTTCTTGGCGTTAATATAGGCAACGATAGGCCGAACCAGCGCCTGGTTGACATAGGACATGTCCTTGGTGAAGAGAGGCACAGCGGCCTTGACGTCATTCATGGAAATCCGAAGATCCATGATGAGGTATCGTCGCTCGTCCTCGCTCATCTGTGGCTCGTCGGTAGGCTCCTCGTCATCGGCATCAACAGTTGAGTCTGAAAGATGTCCTGATGTAAGGAGAGCGGGCCCCTGCTCTTGTATATTGCGAATGAAGCGGTGCCTGTTTGTGTCGACGATCTCTTCAAGCTGGTCATAGAAATCGGCCATGACCTTGGTGATACTCTCGTCAGTGTCAGCGGGGAACATAACGTCGGCGACAATGTCAACGTTTCCCTCGTAGATCCAACCAAACGGTCCCTCTACGCCACGATTGAGGTGATCAATCCTCAAGCCATCAATACGGAGCCGGCTGAACTTCTTCCAAGCCTTAGGGTCGCCGAAACCAACCGAAGCTTCTGGATCACCATTGCCACTGGGCACCACACCATGGACTTGCCGGGGATGAATCGTGAACAATGAGCCATCGAAAGACCCTGACATATGGTTGGCCGAAAGAAAGTCGTAGAAGAGCCACTGCTTTCGCAGCTGAGGCAACTCGCAAGAGAAGATGCTGATAGAGAATGGTCGGAACCCGCCCGGCTGATGGACGGTGAGTAGTAGGTCCTCCATCTTGAACTTTTCGATCTCAAAGTCTCCAGGTTGGTGCTTATGGCGGTACGATAGGGGATCGACCTCTTCGACCGGCCAGGTCACCGATGTTCTGTCAATGACACCGCGAACGCCCTTGATCTCAACGTCCTTGAGCAAACCCTTGCCATTCCACCAGTTCAAGAACGAAAGCGTGACGTTGACGGTCGACAGTGTAACATCGAATTGAGTATAGTTGCCGTCATCCTCAACTTCAGGCGACTCTGCTTTCCGGCCAGCGGCAGCCTCTGCAGCAGCATCTGATGAGCCCTTACTCACGGACGAAACATTACCTTGCCCAGGTCGTCGGGAGACAAACACGTTGCGGAAAGAGATGACATTGTCCCGCCACTTGGGGACAATAGCAGACTCGAAGACAACGGTGACGCCGGCGGATTGGGTTAGATAGTCGCCTACCCATTGAGCGAGTGTTTCTATTTCTCGTTAGCAAGGGGGCTTTTCAATGCAAGAGAACTGCCCAATGCAACAGATGTTCATACCTTGAGCCACAACGGTATTGATAGACAAGATAATCAGCGAGAAGAACGTTGTTGTTCCGACAATAATCCAAGCGAGATGACCAAAAAGAAACCATGATACAAAAGCACCCCATTCATCGATGTTCCATGGCCGCATACTTCTGATTGACACCCATTTTAGACGAATCTTGAGTCGTTGCCAGAAGCCATTAGCAGCCTCAAGCAGTTCGTCCTTTGTCGGTCGATGCGGCATCCGCGGCAGGTGTAAGTACGACATGTAAGAAACTGGCTCAGAGTCTGCTCCTGTAGACCCTTGATTTCCAGCCTGGCCATCTTTGCTTGCATCATTTAGTGACGATGCCTTCACTTTTTTCAAGTCTTCTGTGGTTCTGGCCGGGGTGGGGGGAATATCTGTGATATCCTTGCCACAAGAGCATTTCGGTCCATTTCCACTGCTGCTACCTCTACCACTGTAAAGTCGATGTTGGAGAGGAATCGTTGGCCAAACTATTGAGCCATATGAGTACAAGACTGAGGACTGTACTGGAAGAGAGGTTGTGCGCCCGGTGACAAATTTCCGAGGCTTGGTGGTATGGCGCAATAGCGATAGCGGCGTTGCGGGCACATCATTATCAGTGGATTGCTTCAAATTCTGATATTGTCGCTGGGTATGATTTAGTCGAACATTAGAGGGAACAATAGGCGTCATTAACAGTGGCCATCTTGGACTAGTTTCTGCGACAGTACGTCTGGATATCGAAGCGAATACTGCCAGAGGAGAATTGGATGCGATTCCTAAGCAGCGCCCGATTACAGAGGAGGGGATACCCTTGGCCATCATTCCGACATCATGGTGCCTGGCTGAAGAACAAAAAGACACGAACAGTTTGAGAATGGCGAGGAAAGAGTAAGTAAGTAAGCAAGCAAGCAAGCAAGAAAACCTTGAGGTTGGAAGAGTTGGAGTTGAAGGCAGGAAGAAGGACGAAGACGGGTAGGTAGTGAGCAACAGATTCCGTCACTGCCCTGTGAATGTGAATGCTAGACTAGACTAATTCATGCTAACCTAACCAAACTGAACCTTTCCAGGCTTCTGGTCCGGGCAGGAAAAGTCACTCCATGACGCGCCTAGCCGATGGCAAGCAGCGAGCCAATCGATAAGCTCTGATAAGCCACACAAATTTTGTTCAGTGCGGTCGAAAGTCGAGCGCCCCCCACCAACAAGTCCTTCGATACCCTTGAAAGTGCGGTTGACCTCGTTGATTTTTTTTTTGTGACAGAACTTCAAGGGTCTTCGTGAAGAACGTCTTTTGCATCTTCAACCCGTAAATATTCACGGGATATCTCTCAGATAAAATAAAAAATGCCTGCGCCTACCGCATTGCAAAAGGCTGAGGAAGCCCCGCTCGACAACAATGTCCAGCTCCCGGTCCAAGGTAAGAAAAAATTCTGAAATGGATTATGATCACCGTCTCTAACTTGGGATCTAGATACCGATGAGGACTTCCTGTTAGACGCGCCTGTTGATTCATCTGCCGATGCGAATGTCCTCGTGCCTGTGGAGGAGAGCAACGAAGATGGTATGCAGATTGATGAGGAGGGACGACCTCGATTTGCGCCCGCCAGAGACATCGTGAGGACCCTCGTGCTACCATACCTTTCTCATGTTTTTAACACCTTTTGTAGGATCCCGTTACCAGAGTCGAGACGCGCAAGATTCCTATTCCTCCTCACCGAATGACACCTCTGAAACAATCATGGACCTCTATCTACCCGCCTCTGGTTGAGCACCTCAAGCTGCAATGCCGAATGAACATTAAGCGAAAGACAGTCGAGTTGAGGTCATCAAAGCATACTACCGAGTCTGGAGCGCTGCAGAAGGGAGAGGATTTCGTCAAGGCTTTCACCCTAGGCTTTGATGTGGACGATGCCATCGCGCTGCTACGACTTGACGACCTTTACATCCAGAGCTTTGAGATCAAGGATGTACGAACGATGCATGGTGACAGCCAAGCTCGTGCGATTGGACGAATTGCTGGAAAGGACGGAAAGACAAAGTTTGCCATCGAGAATGCCAGCAGAACACGTATTATTCTGGCCGACAGCAAGATTCACATCCTGGGTGGTTTCAAGAACATTCACCTTGCTCGCGAGTCGGTCGTGAGTCTGATTCTCGGAAAGCCACCCGGCAAGGTGTACGGCAACCTCCGAACGGTTGCGGCGAGAATGAAGGAACGTTTCTAAAAGACAAAATCTGGCGAAGGACTACAAACGGCGTTTCGGGTGGGCAGCATTATGATCTTGAATTATGTGAACCAGGGTTACTCAGTCAAATGGAAGGATGGCATAGTATGTCGATAACGATAAAGATAGATATGAATTCGATTTGTCGCTTCGTGGATACCCACCATACAATACCCACGGGCCAACAACGCATGATTCTGTCGGGCTAATTGCAGATGCTGCCATCTGCAGTCAGATCATGTTTGATACAACGTAGCAAGACCGTGCTCTTGGAGTATCAAACCACATCTTCGGCGGTACAGCACAAGCGATCAAACGTCCATCGTCCACCTGTAGACGAGGGGGTGGGACAGCTCGGGTCTATTGTTGGCCCGCAATGCAGCTTCTCATGAGATGCTGATAGGCACGGACTCAGATCATTCCATCTGCATCCATGTTTATCAGAACATATCACCTTTATCGGCCGACTTTGAACGTTTGACCGACAATCGAGCGCGGCATTTAGAACAGCATCTACTCGAAGGAAGACTGGGCATATTTCAGCCTGCGAGAGCAAATAATTGCAGTCCAATTAGACTAGGCTACTCAGGGCAGGGCTGCCAGGTAGGCGCTGGGTGATTTTGCCTTGCCATCATATACCTTGTTAATAGGTACTACATGCAGCCTTCCGGGACTGCGGAGGCATTGTGTCGTTCTCGTCGTACCTTGTTGACTTGGCTCCCGATCGAGAAGAGGACTGTCCAACCGGAAGACGTCCTCGAGCCGGCACGGCGAGCCTGGGGTTACGATGCGGCAAGACGGGCAAGATGAGCCCGCAGCGCCGGGAATCAACGGGAGCGAAGCGTGGTCTAGAGGAAACTTGTATGTAATTGAGTTCGGTACGTGGAGATGATGCTACGCATAACAGCTTGGAACAACAATTTAGAGTGACTGAGAGGACTGTAAAACACGATATTTGCGTGGAGACACAAATGATGGTGTTTAGACGAGTTATAGTGGGCTGTGATCATCATGATACAAATTGTCTTTCGTTGTGACTGTCTCGGTCTCGGTGCGGCCCTGCATCGGCGGGCGTGAAATTTGCTAAGACGGTAGAGGGTGATTTTCCATATCGATATCCATTCCATGGTCCATGACTCCCAATGGATGCTCGATAGTAAACCATGCCATTCTGTGTCTGGTCTAACCTGGCCTGCCAGTCCGATGCTAAATCAGGACCCTGGACATTATATCTTGTCTGTCGTTTACTGTAAAGTAAAGGTAATATGGATCTCAAGGTGAGCGGCGCGCCATTAAGGTGGCTTCTGGCAGGGTGGGCGTGGGATGGGCTGGATCTAGGCGATGGAACCAGTCCCAGACCCAGTCCAGGGGGAGAATTGGACCTGGACCCCTCTTCTAGGCTCTGGTTGAATTGGTCAAGGGTGAGATTTTGTGAGATCATTTTCACCCCTCCAACGTCAATCAATGCCCCACCTCGCAGGTAATTTGTAAATTTTGGTGAGAGACATCCATGAAGGACGTCCAAGTTGAGATGGGGAGGGCGACTTCCTTACGTAGGAGGCAGGTAGGTACATGGTTGATGTTCTTTTTTTCTCTCGTGTCGACCGTTGACTGGGTTAGAAAGAAGAGGTACCTGGAGAGGTTGCCAGTCGCGATCGACAGATTTCCTCTGCCTTCCAGGAACTACCTATTCATAAATAAACACTTTGTCCTCCCCTCCTGGAGCCTTCCTTTTTTTCTTCCTCTTCTATTCTCATCTTCATACCATCATCCTATATCCATACTTTACTCGCCTACCAGACTGGTTTCTGCTGGCTTCAATCGTGTCTGATACATAAACACTTTACCTAAGGTAAGTTTGAATCTGGATGATAAAACAGTCACGGCTGTTATCAATGCCCCTCACCTCCTCTTCACCTCCATTTTAAGCATCTATGTCCATCAATTGGATAGCATCCAATGGATAGGTAGTACAGCACAGCACAGCATAGCACGTTGGAGCAGAGCAATGCAAAGCAAAACAACCTTAGCTTCGAGCTCCCCCCCTCCCCCTCCAACCCCTCCTCCACCTTTACCTACCACCCCTCCCTCACCGATTGGAAGAAAACCCCCACCAAAAATTCCTAGGAGCTGGTTCGACTTGGCTTGGTTTGGTTTGTTGTGATGAGCAACAATAACCAGTCAGCCGCTGCGCAATGTTGAGGCATATTTTAGCTGGGTACCTACTTGGTTACTGTAGGTCAGTACTGACTGGGTGACGCGCACTGGCATTGACTCTGGCGCTGGCACTGCTTTGCCCAGCATTGCTCTGCTCTGCACTGCACTGCACTGCTCAGCTCATCATGGATGGATGGATGCTTGCTACCTTACTTAGGCATTGCCCGTTGAAGCGCCGGCCGTCCCATCGGTAGAACCTTCTACGCACTGGCTACTATATAATTTCTTCCTCTTCTCCCTCTCCTCTTTTTTCTCTCTTTCTCACCTTCATCCTTTACCTTTTATTCTTAAAGGCAAACAACTAATTCATCAACCCACTTAGAAAAACATAACACTAAGTCAACATGGCTGTCAAGAAGGTCTTCGCCCGCTCCGTCTACGACTCCCGTGGAAACCCCACCGTCGAGGTTGACGTCGTCACCGAGACTGGCCTCCACCGTGCCATCGTTCCCTCCGGCGCCTCTACCGGTTCGTCTCGACCGCACTCGTCAATTCTTCCTATGCAATCGCTAAATTCATAATAATATAGGCCAGCATGAGGCTTGCGAGCTCCGAGATGGTGACAAGTCCAAATGGAACGGCAAGGGTGTCACCAAGGCCGTCGAGAACGTCAACAAGGTCATTGCTCCCGCTCTGATTGAGAAGAACCTCGATGTCAAGGACCAGTCAGCTGTCGATGCCTTCCTCAACGAGCTCGACGGTACCAGCAACAAGACCAAGCTTGGTGCCAACGCCATCCTTGGTGTTTCCCTGGCCGTCGCCAAGGCCGGTGCCGCTGAGAAGGTGAGTCTCGAACACACAGCACTACATTCATGCTTTTGGATCATTCCGCTAACATCGTCATAGGGTGTTCCTCTGTACGCTCACGTTTCCGACCTTGCCGGAACCAAGAAGCCTTACGTCCTTCCCGTTCCCTTCATGAACGTCCTCAACGGTGGTTCCCACGCTGGTGGCCGCCTCGCCTTCCAGGAGTTCATGATTGTCCCCACGTATGTGCCTTGAACTTCCATCCGTCATCAGAGGTGACTAACAGGACCACAGTGATGCTCCTTCTTTCACCGAGGCTCTCCGCCAGGGTGCTGAGGTCTACCAGGCTCTCAAGGGTCTTGCCAAGAAGCGATACGGCCAGTCCGCTGGCAACGTCGGTGACGAGGGTGGTGTTGCTCCCGATATCCAGACCGCCGAGGAGGCTCTCGAGCTCATTACCGATGCCATTGAGCAGGCTGGCTACACCGGCCAGATGAAGATCGCCATGGACGTCGCCTCCAGCGAGTTCTACAAGGAGGCTGAGAAGAAGTACGATCTTGACTTCAAGAACCCCGAGTCCGACCCTACCAAGTGGATCACCTACGAGGAGCTCGCCAGCATGTACTCTGACCTCTGCAAGAAGTACCCCATCGTCTCCATCGAGGACCCCTTCGCCGAGGACGACTGGGAGGCCTGGAGCTACTTCTCCAAGACCCAGGACATTCAGGTTGTCGGTGATGACTTGACTGTCACCAACCCTCTCCGCATCAAGAAGGCCATTGAGCTCAAGTCTTGCAACGCTCTCCTCCTCAAGGTCAACCAGATTGGTACTCTGACCGAGTCTATCCAGGCCGCCAAGGACTCTTACGCCGATGGCTGGGGTGTCATGGTCTCTCACCGATCCGGTGAGACCGAGGACGTCACCATCGCTGACATTGCTGTCGGTCTCCGTGCTGGTGAGATCAAGACCGGTGCTCCCGCCCGATCTGAGCGTCTTGCCAAGCTCAACCAGATCCTCCGCATTGAGGAGGAGCTCGGTGACCAGGCTATCTACCCTGGTAAGGACTTCCGCAAGTCTGTTAACCTGTAAATGGGGACAAATGGATATGTGGAACAAAAAAGCCTTGTGATGATAATGATGCCTTGAGGTCTTCAGCCAGGACGCTGGGACCATATACCAGGATGGCAAATTGAAAGTAATAGAGGCAAAAACAGTAAAAGCCAACTGATCAATTAATAAAACTTTGATTGAAGTTCAATATGTATTGCTCGCTTATGTGATTGTATTTTACTTTACTGTGCTTTAAAAGAACGATAACGGGTGAGGTCTAACTGGTTGAAACTGCTGTGGCTCGTGTCATTCATAGAAGCCACAAGTGGCTGTTTCTACAGCAACAAGCTCATTGGCGCATCGATAATATCAACATTATGCGACCATCCCACTTAAATCGTTAGCTCTTCAACCACAATCACACCGACCGATCCTGAGAGTGTTTTGTAGACATAAACACCTCTTTAGAGGAGATACTAACCCACCATGTCATCTTCAGGAGACCTCATCGACTTTGACTTGATCGAAGGTCAGAAAGAAAACATTCAGTCCTTGCCAGGCGGTCGTTCAGCAAAGAAGCTCGCCGAGCTTTACTCCCCATCGCCTCTTCACAAGCAGTCGACACCCACACCCTCGGATACGCGCAATGTCAACGACTGCATTCGAGCCGAGTTTGAGCAGGAAGTCGAGAATTTAGACGAGTCAGACGATCCCCTCGACATCTTCGAGCGTTATGTGCGATGGACACTGGACGCCTACCCCTCAGCACAAGCAACACCACAATCACAACTTCACACTTTGCTTGAGCGCGCAACAAAGACTTTCATCGGGTCAGCACAATACAAGAACGACCCTCGATACCTGAAACTATGGGTTTACTACATCCACTTCTTCTCCGAGGCCCCACGGGAGACGTACATGTTTCTGTCACGTCATGGAATAGGAGAGTCTCTCGCCCTATTCTACGAGGAATATGCTGCTTGGCTTGAGGGTGCTGGTAGATGGGCACAGGCCGAAGAAGTATATAAGCTGGGTATCGAGCGAGAGGCTCGACCTGTGCCGCGCCTCATGCGCAAGTTCAAAGAATTTGAGGAGCGTGTCGCTCAGCAGCCAGATGTTATGAACGAACCCTCATCTCCCGCATTACCCACCATGCGACCAGCACTTGCTGCCAAAGTTGACCCTTTCGCTGCTGCTCGTGCGGCAGACCCTCAAGCTTCAAGAACATCAAGTGGTGGAGCAGCCAAACCTGGAAAAGCCAAGATGGCAATTTTCTCTGATGGCGACGCTCAACCTTCTGCCATGTCATCGATGGGTGCCGGATCAAAGGGTTGGGATAGTATTGGCTCACTAGCGGATCGCAAGAAAGAAAATGCCATGGAGGCTAAGCCTTGGGCTGGAGAGACGCTCCAAGCTGGTGGAAAGAAGAGCGCAGCTCCAAAGATGTCAGTGTTTAGGGATCAGGTAAGTTGATCTTCTTTCCCCTGACTCGTCCACATGTTGATGGTCATAGGACTAATGTATGGTTATGATTTGTTATGGTTGAATAGTCTCTTTCGCAAATACAGAATATCGTTGTTGTTCCGTCAAAACATCAGATCTCCTTACATCCACAAACTGGTAAGAAGGAGCGTGTTTTTGTTGACCTTGCCGCTATATATCCGACTCCTGAAGAGATTGGCACTGAGCTTAGCTTCGAGGAGATCATCGCTGCTAATCGAGGATGGCTCGGTCACTGCTGGGAAGAAGAGTCGATTGACGAGAGCATCGTCCCTGATCCTGCTGCTCCTCTTGAAATTGAAGAGATCAGCAAGGGCTTGGGAGAAAAGCTGATGATCCACCAAGATCCTGTTGGCAAAATTCCTATCCATAAAGATTCTGGTGACAAATTGATGATTCGCCCAGACCCTGTGGGCAAAATGGCTATTCACAAGGATCCCGTCGATAAACTCGTTATCCATCAGGACTCCTCCGCCAAACTAGCAATCCATAAGGACAGCGTGCAATATGATGAGAACGGCAGGATTATTGAGCAACCTAGACCCTCACGGGGTAGCAAGAAGAAAAAGATGATGGAAGTCAATGAGACTCAAATCAGTAAGTCGGCTCATATGAGCACCATAGGTCAATCTAACCGTTCAACAGTCAAGGCAAAGCTTGATTCACCCTCAAGACCAAAGCTGAAAAAGAAGAACACATCTGAGCCCACAATGACACTTCACACCAAAGCTGCCACTGATGATATCTACGATATTTTCAATGCACCTCTGAAACCTGCTGGTCAGGAGGAAGGGGAAGAAAGCGCAGATGAGGACGATTATGAAAGCGATGATAATTACACGAGTGATGCTGAGAGTACGGGTACCACGAGGCAGATTGAGCCCAGTGAAGCTGGTGACGACGATAACGATGAAGATGCGAAAAGCATCAGCGAGTGGTCAGACTTCTCGACACGAAGACACATCCCTAATCTCGATGGAGAGGGAGATGAGGATGGAGATAGAGATGAACGCAATGACACCCAGGTATCTGCTTTGATCGATACCACTGCTGCAGAGCATGAACAAGACTCGACAGAAGCTCTCGACAATACTGATATTCACTCGCGAGTGGACGAAGAACAAGATGAAGACGAAGAACTTGGGACGCCTGTTTCAGAGGACTTCCCTCCCCAACCTCGCACAACTTTCGTTCCAATTCCGCCCGAGGATTATGAACCCCCTACCCGGCCATATAGGGACCCGGCTGAGGTGGCAAATAATCGACTACCCTTCATGACCCCTATCACAGAAAGGACCGAAGTGTCCTTGGATGTGACAGTAGAGCGTCACGAATACAAGACACCTTGCAAGAGAGAAAGCTCCATGACTATCGACGAGGAGGACGAGGAGGACTCAGACCTCGAAGCTCTTAGTAGCCCTATTCGAGGAATAGTCAACGATGTCCTCTCACCGCCGAAGATGTCAGTGCCTTTGGCTCCCAAATCCGCTGGGCCTCTTGGAAAGTCGATTCCATCGAAGCCTCTCGCATCTAAGGGGCCTATCATCAAGGACACGCAGTGCAACCCTGTGGATGAGGCGGTTCGGTCCGAAATCATTGCCAAGATGCTGCCTCCTTTGAGCTCCTACTCAGGCTTCTACGACCATCGGGATGAGAAGTATGAAAGAGGTGGTGAGATCCGGAAGTTTGCCAAGGCTCTGACCAAGGCAAGCAAGTCGGGCGAGAGAACGTCGTCTATTTCTACCCAAGTGGTGATTGAGCTTCCTGAAATTCGCTCTACTTACACGATTAAAAAGGAACTGGGAGCCGGAGCTTTTGCCCCTGTTTACCTTGTCGAAAACTCCGCCCCAGAAGCTGACGAGAACGACGAGAATGCGGTCCCTACGATGGGCAAAGGAGCTTTTGCTGTCAACCATCGGAGCGAGGTCGAGGCTCTCAAGATGGAGAACCCCCCTACACCGTGGGAATTCCACATGATGCGTCTGGCTCACACTCGCTTAGGACCCCAGCATCGTGCTTCTGCCTCACTATCTTATGCACACGAGATGCACCTTTACCAAGATGAGGCCTTCCTTTTCCTGCCTTATCATCCACACGGCACCCTCTTAGATGTTGTCAACTTCTTCCGAGCTGAATCATCTGCAGTTATGGACGAGCAACTGGCCATGTTCTTCACCATTGAGCTTTTACGGACTGTGGAATCTCTGCACTCGAAGAGCGTTATGCATGGAGATCTCAAGGCTGACAACTGTCTCCTCCGTTTGGATGCATTGTCAGATGACGAGTCTCTGACGAGCCAGTGGAAAGCCGATGGCAGCGGTGGATGGTCATCCCGTGGCATTGTACTCATTGACTTCGGGCGAGGTATCGACATGCGTGCTTTTGTTCCTGAGGTTGAGTTCATCGCCGACTGGAAAACTAGCGCACAAGACTGTGCCGAAATGCGAGAGGGCCGGCCCTGGACATGGCAGATCGACTACCACGGACTCGCAGGTACGATCCACACACTTCTATTTGGTAAATACATTGAAACCATGCGCTGCGACCAAGGTGGGCTAGGCAAGTCCGGTCGACGCTACAAGATTCGGGAGAGTCTCAAGCGCTACTGGCAAACTGATCTGTGGTCTGACTGCTTCGAGATTCTACTCAACCCAGGGGTGGCAGCAGCAGCTAACGGTGAGGAGGACGGTCAGATGCCTGTACTCAAGTCCATGAAGAGTGTCAGAGAAAGGATGGAGACATGGCTAGAAGCCAACTGCGAGAGAGGTGTTGGCCTTAAGAGCATCATGGGTAAACTTGAAGCTACTTTTGGCAAGAATCGGAAGTGAGTGTAACGGGCTAGTTGTCAACTGTCCCTTTGTGACCTGGCGTTGGATATTGGTAGGAGGGTGTTGGTTCTCTTGGAACATTAAATGCGTGTTTTGGGCTCCGGTTCTTTGTGAGATGCATCATGAGCAATACCCCTTCGATGGAGAAGACTTTATAAATAGATGAGATTTGCATGGTTTATAGCACGAACTATATGACATTATGTATGAACCGACTTCCCAGTGACGTCTTCAGAGTTTCAGCGAGTCGTCCAAGGTGATCAAACACCGAGACCATCCTGGAATCTACTTTAGCGCCTGGCCATTGATATATGGATTTGTTCAAAGAACAAATATTATGGTAGATACATACAAAGCCGTAAGTCTAGAATTACAAAGTTTAACCCTGTTAATACACAACACATGGCGCCCAGACGCTATGCATACGAGCCAAGCGACTTTTACTCGCTATCATCCGTCTCGCCCTTCTTCTTCCTTCCACCCTTCTTCGTCCCCTTCTTGGCATCCTTTGCTACCTTGCGATCAACTTGATCTTGGATCTTGTTTCGCTCCGACTCGCCTTTAGCTTGTAGCTCTGTCTCGAGCTCTTTGAACCCGTCACTCTCAGCGTCCATGCCAACAAGTCGCTCTAGAAGCTTGATCTCGTCAGCCCAGACCTGCTTGTCTTCAACGGACTTGCCGTCAGAGCCAGTGCGGTCGATAGGCGTTTCCAAAACCATGGGCATGCCAGCGAAAGGTGCGTGGTTCATGATGCTGTGGAAGGCACGGAGTCCAAGAAAGCCTGTGCCAATATTGGCGTGGAGGTCTCTGTTGGAGTTGAAGGGTGCTTTGCTATCATTGACTAACATTCGTTAGTGGCTGGCTATAGTTGTAGAATAAGAAGAATGAAAACTTACGATGGAAAGCCTTCAGGTACTCGTGTCCCACGACATCGTTGAAGGCATCAAATGTCTTCTTGAATGCTTCCGGTGTCCTCAGATCATGCCCTGCTGCAAATGCGTGGCATGTGTCTATGCAGACACCCACTCTTGACTTGTCTTCTATGAGCTCGATGATGTCTCTCAAATCCTCCCAGGTCGAACCAATAACATTTCCACTGCCTGCCATGTTCTCAAGGACCGTAATGACCGTCTTGGTAGCCTTGTGCGACTTGTTGAGCTGCGCCGCGATACGTCCGATGGCTGCAGACCTGTTATCACCACCTGTTGAACCTGGATGGAAGTTGTATAAACGAATGCCCAATTGCTCGCAACGCTGAAGATCGTCGACAAAGGATGTATACGCCTGGTTCGCCTTGTCTTCGTCGGCCTGTGCCAGGTTGACAAGGTATGAACCATGAGGGAGGGCATGCTCGTTCGCGCTATAGCTGTGATCTTTGCATAATGAGATAAACTGATTTTTTGCTTCAGGGTCGAGGGGTGGGTTTGTCCATTTTCGCTGCGACTTCAAGAAGAGTGCGAAGGCGTTTGCGCCAATGTGAATGGCATTTGTAACTGAATTTTGAACTCCTGAAGAAAGATGGTCAGTAAGCAAAAACAGCCGGAGTCGAAATGCATGTACCTCCTGCAGCACTGACATGAGCACCGATATGCATGGCAGGCTTAAGTTCAGAGACAGCTGTTCGATTTGTCAAGGGCGTCGCATCTTCGTCTTTAGCCTTGGTCTTGCGTTTTTTGGTCACCTTGGCCGCTGGAGCTGGAGCTGAAGCTGAAGCTGCACTCTCGGCTTCTGGTTCAGCCTTTCGTTTTGTGGAAGCCTTGGTAGTCGCGACTTTTGATACAGCTGCCTTTGAGACTGTTCCATTTGCCTTCTCAACAATCTTGCTAGCGGCCGCAACGGCTTTGGCCATGGTTGGCTTGGGCATCTCGTCGTCGTCGCGATCTTCGTTATAGCTAACTGCCTGCTTTTTACGCAGAGAGGTACGGGGCATTGTTAAGCTTGAGCTGAGCTGGCCTATTGAACGATATCGATTGGTGCCAACTTGATTGATTGACAAATGATCTGTTTGTTGACTTGAGTGAGAAGATCGTCGTTGGGGAGTGGCCTGCAACCTGCAAGGGTGTGCACCGTGTGACGCGATCAACGCGCTTCCTCCTTGTAATGCCATCACGCAGTCACGTGCAATCTCTCTACATGTTGTTTCTATATTGCCGTCTTGAATAATTGAGAAAACCAACATGCATAACGATTATAAAGATTATTATTGGAGCCATACACTAACTGACAGCCCAAGCTTACGCATCACATGGCCAAAGACAAATAAGGTTAGAAAGCTGGCTCATGAAGCCAATCTGCTCAGCTATAGGCGACCCGTTCCATCAAGAGTTGAATGCAACCTTAGTCCAGATATCCATACCTATATAAATTGTCCAGAACTTTTCCAACCAATACAAAAGAAAATTAACCGATGAACTCCATTTCAGCCTTGCGGTCTACTGCAAACTGATCCTTGTATGTCTCCCACAGCTTCTCGACCTCCTGAACATAGCGTTCATGGAGCTCGTCGATATCATTCTGAGCTGGTTGGGGTCCGTGAGCTCTATCAACCCGGATAGGTCGTCCCATCACGATGTTGACTGGGCGGCGGTATGGCATAAGTCCGACGTCATAGTTCAGCACGCCGCGGCCATGAAGAGCTGGGAGAGTAAACTTGAAGACCTTGAGAAGGATCATCTGGATCTGGTGAACGATCGGGTGCGTCTTGGGGCTCAATTGGTCATAAAGATCGTTCTCGCCAAATCCGATAACAGGAACAAGGTCGGCTCCAGTTCGAAGCGCCATCTTGATAAAACCCTTGCGACTCTTCAGGATCAAACGGAGGCTGCCAGGCTGAGCTTCGAGCGACTCGCGGGCACCTCCGACAACAATAGTAACAGCGCGGCTTTGGCCATCGTTCTTAGGCCCACCCTTGGAGAGAAGATTCCAGATCGACTCCTTTGAGACCGACTGGAGACCAAGAAGCATGATATAGTCACGGTAAAAGGGGAGGCGGAAGTTGGAGTCCAGAGTAAGCAGTGTGTTCGTGATTCCAGGAAAGAGCTCACGGAATCCAAGGGCGTTAGTGCCAAAGGCGGCAAAGGCACCATGGGAAATGATACCATGAGGATGATAGCCAAAGATGTACTTCCTATCGCTGGGGAGATCATGTGTTTTGTGCAACTTCATGGGGAAATATCCTGCAAAAAGCTTCCACAACTTCAGACTTCGAACCCATTCTGAGCGGTATGTCAGATTTCCGTTGGTGCCAGCAGTTGATAGAGCAAGGTGGATGAGGTAAGGAATAATGATAGGCCAAGCGAGTGGGTTGGCACAAATCAACCAAAAGGCCGAAACCAACGTAGCGATGGACATGCAATGGAACAAGACGGCTGCTGTCTGCGAGCGTCTCCTCATGGGCACTCGTAGTGGCGCGAAGCGAATTCCTCCAGCGCGCCAACTGGCTGTCTTGCGATCCTGGGACTGGGCGGTGATAGGCAGCTTGGGGTAGGTCCAGTCATCACCGCCTCTGCTGTCTTTCGCATCTCGGTCTGCGACAACGTCCGCGTAACTTTTTTCAGTATCATCTGCATCTTGATTCTTGCCATCTTGGCCGTCGGCTTCGGCAGCGACAGCGGCGTAGCTTTTTGCCGAACCGTTGGAGATTCCATTAGGCGCTCCATTGGGCTTATTATTGGACGCGCCGTTGGTCGACAGCATCAAATCATCAAAATCAGCGTTGCTGGTAGAGATGCTAGAGTCAAAATCCCGGTCTGGCATCTGAGGTCGCTCTTGACCATTCTGTGATTGTCTTGTCAGTTCAAATGGCTTGATAGGTAACTGATGCAGGAGTTGGTACGTACGGTTCCATTGGTCATAGGTTGTTCTTGCCATTGCTCCGACGCAGCCGACTGGTCGTTTTCCGGGTTAGGAATTGTCGTCACCTTTTCAATTGGCTCTGACGGGTGCACGCCTTTCAGGTCTCATTAGCAACTCTTCAGTTAAGCGATTGATTGATGATGACGCTCCCCAGGTTCCAGGTTCGCGCTGCCGTTGAGCGACAGTCAAGCAGACCATGCGATCAGGGTTGGATATAATAAAGCGGACTTACCGTTGCTGGTGGGAATGCCGCCCTCTATGTTGGACATGGTGCACAGCGTCTAATGGTTAGAACGGCTACCTTTCTTATTCTGGTACAGCGTCAAGATAAAAAAGAAATATTCCGATGTGGAGGGGTAAAGAGGAAGAAGTCAGAGCTGGTACCTAGGGGAGGACTGAGGACTGAGGACTGGTTGGATACACACACACAGCCACGTCACAGACTGATATAAGAAGAGAGAAAGAAAGGAATGACGAGACGAGATAAACGCAAAATCACAAGAAGACTCTTGAATCGGTCACTATGACACGGGCATTAAACGCCATGTTCTTGTCTTTAGGTGGACCTGGACCGCTTTCGCGTTGTGTTATGCAAAAGCTAAGCTCCAGCTGGGCTATCAGTGATGACGTCGTACCTGAGTTGCGTTATTCTGTAGGTTGATTTGACACGTGAAATCAGAAGCTGTTCCATCGCTCGGACAAGAGCTCCGCTTGTCAGGCAGGCTTTACACAGTGTATATCCACTCTTACGTTAAGTACTGGTAACTCCTATCTACTCGCTGAAACTTCAAATTCCAGTTGAGCCTCGGCATAATCAAATTGAAACTCACTTTTCAGAACACGAATGCGTCAAGCCTAGGGTACCCCTTCGTTCAGCTGCTTAAGGTATCATTCAATCACTCGCTTGCAGAGTACCCTTGACGGGTTTGTACAATTCTTTGTGACCTTAAACCAGATAGATTTTCTATATACAAAGCTCTTCACTTTGCACAACTCTTTCCTTCCATCCATGCATGTTGATGGAGGAACGGTTGCTGCCATTGAGGCACACTATCTGAGCAAGAAGCAAAAACAATATGGTACAAGGAAGAAGAAACAAGGCAAAGTCCACAAGCCGGTCGTAATCCCGTACCCTTTCTTTTGATGTGGAGGTCCCTACCATCCACAGAGACAGACAATAATGAAGAAAAGAAAGAAAGCAGGTTCCCATATCCCACAAACGCCTCCTTGAGCACCATGCCAAATACTTCCCAAGGCAAAAAAGAAAGAAAAGAAATAATCACGGTCGTCTCAGTATACTTTGCTTTATAACGACTAGATGTGGCGACGCTTGGCCTCTCACACCTTGGCGACTGCAGCTGCCGCTGCGTCGCGCGTTTCAATCTGCTGTTTCAGGTCTGCAACCTCGTGATCAAGGGTCGAGACCTTATCTGTGAGCGCCTTGATCTTCTCCTCCAACGTCTGAACATACGCCCACACACTAGGGTCGCTCTGAGCAAACATGTTTCCGCTGTCGTTGGTAGACTGTGCGCCGCTCCCACTCCGCGTGTGAGAAAACCCGGCCGAACCTGGCGCCGCAAACTCGGGGTGCGAGAGACCAGGAAGTTTAGGTCGCGACTGTGAGTTATGCGGTGATTGCAGATCCGAGGCCCGTCGTCCAAACTGTGCTTGTTGCAGCTGTTGCGTCAAGCTGGGCGAACGTTGACGCGCCAAATTATTGGCTTCGTGTCCCTGAACTCCAGGACTCAATGGTTTAGGGCTTTCCGTTATGCCAGTTTGGGAGTACATATTGGCATTTGCCGCCGCAACTGACGAAATCCCAGCGTTAGCGCTGTGGCCAGCGATGTTGTTAGCCACGGGTTGGGCTGAGTTTGAGTTCGCCTGGTTTTGGTTAACATTAGGGGGGTAAAGGCCCCCGGTTCCAGGTCGTGGACCTGGAGGAGGATAAGTCCGGGCATGCGCGCCGTAGCCATCAGCTTGTGCTCCAGCAACATGCTGAGCCGTGATGCTTGGTAAGCTCTGACGTCTCAGCTCTTCTTCCTCGGGATTGTCGTATGCAAGTCCAGACATAGCTGTGTCGTCCGCTTCAGCAATACTGTTCTCTAGATCATTGTCGTCAACGAAACTGCCCATGCTAGATCGCCGTCCTGCACAGCCACCAGCACCCTTGGAGTGACGAGCAAGCGCATCGCCACGAGCGAATTTTCGATCACACTTGGGGCATACGTGAGGCTTTTCGCCAGTGTGCAATTTGCCATGTCGCTTCAAGTCATGAAGACGGCGGAAGCGCATTTGACAGTCGGTGCACACGTAAGGTTTCTCTTGACTGTGGGTCAACAAATGGCTTTTGAGATTGTGATGGCGCGTGAACTCCGTGTTGCAGTAGGGACATTTGTGCTTCTTGGAGCCCGACGAAGTAGGGGATGTCTGGCCTGGTGTGGGCATAGGGAAGCTCATGCCTCTAGTCGGAGTTTCCGTCAAGTTACCGGTGGCCTGGAGAGAGCCAGGATACGACAGCGATCCAGGTTGGTGTCTCTCTTCCTGCCCGACTACTTGTTGCGATGATTGTTGATGCTGCTGTTGGTGCGAATCAACTTTGGGTGCATCCACTTCCATCGGAGTTGGACTTTCTGTGACGGGTACACCGACCAGGCTGTTAGTGCTTTGCGGGCTCGTCGCGCCATGTTCTTCAACTTGACTTGTCGCGGTTTGCGCCAGCGACACAGGATTCTGTGCCTTTGGTGATGGGTCCATGGCTGCAGTCGGTGCTAGCTGGGGCGCGTCAGCAGGACGGCTCATAGCCTGGACACCTCCAGACATGAGGGATGTCAGGACTCTGTGACCAGGATTATCGCTTGTGGGCGCTGGGCCTCGTGTCCCGTCGTCGTTTTCGTCGGCTTCGCGTCGTCGGCGCTCGTCTTCAAGGGCAGCCGCCGCGGTCAAAGGCGTCGGGGAAAGGCTGGACGCGAGAGCCAGGCGGGCGGACTTGGCAGGTGATCCGAGGCTCAAGAGACCCTGTGACTGCGCGGCGAGAGAGCGCGGCGATGAAGGAGACGGCGAACGAGGCCGCTTGAGTAGCCTGATAGCAGCGTCTTCTGAAGGGATGATAGCAGGAGGGGTCACCTCTGTGCGCGTTGAGGGCGGGGGGTCGATCGCGGTGAAGGCGGAGGCGTCTGATGCCATAGAGGCAACTATAAGCCAGGTAATTGGGAAAAAATCAAAAGTGAACCGGTTCCAACATGCGATCAATTTCGAGAATTCGATGTCGCAATAGCCTTGGGCCAAAGGCACATATCGGGGCGTGATAGATTAATGTGTGGCTGGAGAACGTGGCGAGAGCTGATATTTTTTCCCCCAGGTTGAAAAGGCGAGTGAGGAAGTCAAGCCAGTTACTGAGTGGGCTGTGCGGATTTACGCAGTGGGCAGTGGGTGGCTTAGGCGAGGAATGCAAGAACAGAATTGAGGCTCGACGAACCTTCTGTAGCGTGCAGAAAGAACAGTTTAAGTTAGTTTCAAGAACAAATGTCAACTACACCGTGAGGATAGTTGATGGTAATGACGATGTAGCACCGGAGAAGTTGGTGCAAGGTAGAGAGAGGTAGGTAGACGTACTGCTGGGAGGTATGGAAGTGAACAAGGCGGCCGATGAGAGATGCGAGGCGAAGACAGGCAATAGTGAGGGCCTCTGAAAGTGGGCAAGTGGGTGATGGCGGTGGTTGATTGGTTTAATGCGCAGACGGGTTGAGCGAGTGGGGTACGTAAAAGGGAAAGAGCAGTGGACGTGTGAGTGGGCGTGTGTCAGTGGATTGTTGACAGCTGCCGGGCTGGTTCCTTCCAAAAAGGCCTGTCCTCCACTGTCTCTCAGGTGGGATCGTGCCAGAAACCTGGTCGGCAGGTACCACCCTGTCACTTACTATCGACTTTGAGCAGGTACGTACCTCTTAATTATTCTCATCCAGAAGTTCTCGGGTCCGAATGAGAGGGACGATGATATTCCAACACCAAGTTCCAGGAACAAGAGTTGCCAGCTACGGTGGGTAGTACACAGGGTAGGTTTAGTTTGCATGGACGCAGACTGAACTCTGAAACATACAACTATAGCTGACCTAGGTTCTTTCAACAGCAAGTACTATACACGGATAAAGAGAACGATGGACCAAATATCTTCTACTACTACTCTACAGCAGTACGATATTTCATTTAGGGAACCCAACAAAGTACGCCAAAGACGCGCCAGCCAGTGGGATCAAAGAACAGTTGCAGCGCGTGCCTGGTTGGGAACGGAGGAGGAAACGACGCATAGTTCACAGCCCAAAGAAAGAGTCGACGAGGGCAAAAGCGGCCAGAAGTGGGAGATGCGATTACGTTTCTGGTATGAAGCGACGGGCTAGAAACGTGATGGGGAAAGGTCTAACTGAAAATGACTGATTTTTGTTTCACGGTACTTTGACGTCAGGTACCGCTATTCCCTGCAGTCTGGTCTGGGGGGAAACATCGAAATGGTCAGCCAGTCAGCCAAGGGGGCTCCATCTTTGGTCCATTGAGAGGTTGTTTTGCGGTGCGTCTGCAATCGTGATCCTAAGGGGCAATCATTGACGGTGGTTTTATTGGCAAGCTCTCCGCACAGTCAGCCTGGCTTTGTAGAAGCTGGGTGGCGAGATACCAATCTCTCATAGGGCAGTCTGGGGATCATATTCAACATGTCTCCGTAAGGATGGACGGGAAACGGGAAGAAGCTCAATCAGTTGAAGACCCTCCTCCCGTCGGGGCGGAAATGACGACAAGTGCTTCTGCCACCGTTCTCTCTAGCCTCCCTCTCAGGTCGACATGGGGCATGCCGGTACTTTATTGAAGAGTACATATCTAGTCTTTGATGACCCACTGACTACCTGCCTTAGGGTCCTGCAAATCGACCAGGTACTGTAAACAGGTTCCGCGGCCGAGGCGGCATGTCACTGCTATATCGCAGATTGAGAGGCGGATCGAGCGAAGTTGAATGGCAACAAACGAAAAAGGTTGAGAAAACAGGTAACCGGCATTACCAACAGCGATGATAAAGGCTTGCCCATCACCCACCCAGTCTATCCATGCCGGAGGTTATAGCATTCGATTGTCCTTTAGGAAGGCGACATGAGCCCAGAATACTGCTAACATTGATCATAGTTAGCTCCATACGCAACAGCCTTCTCGGACTTCCAAACAATCGACACCAGTGGAACTAGACGAACAATTACAACAGTGCCGCTTATTGATACGCCCCAGCTGAAGGTTCATCCAAATCTGTACCCTATTACTTTGTACATTTGAACCATAGGCATATATCCTGGAAGATCTGTTCAGGGCTGGGGGCAATAAAGCTGAACCAATCCTTGTTTAACTTCCCTCAGGTGAGCCAAAAGGTGGCGGTGCATTCGACCATCAGAAAATGGGCCTCAGATCCATGAACCTGGCCCGTCAAGTCGATTATGGCACCCCCTGTGATGCTTGGCTCAGGTGTGTGAGAGACTAGGAGTTGCTGTCACTCGCTGGTTCATGATTTGATAATGGTGTGGCTGATCCTAACAGCTCGTAGGCCCAGCCCCCTGCTCCGCCACTTCCGTCGTCACAGATAATTACCTTTTTTGTGTTCCCCCAGACGACCTTCACATCTCGTGTTCGAGAGGTTGATGATGATGAATCAAAACTTGGAAGTTTCGATGGTCCTGTTAAATCGAGATGCGCCACAGTGTACGCCACTCTTGTACAGGGTGATTGTTCTACTGTAAGTTCGATGCGACAGATCCCTTATCAACAGTCAGTTCTACCCCCTATCCTAATATCCTCATAAACGTATCCTGGTAGACTATCTCATATTAAACAATAAGTCAGTTACCAAGTCTAATATGACCATCTGGCGAACCATCCGCCATCAACGTGCCTCGGAAGGCTACAGATTATGCGCTGATCTTGCCAGTATATTCCCAATTCTCCAGGCTCTAGCGGCTGTTTTCACCGTCAACGTCACAGTGATCACAATCATCCCGCCCACATGTTGCTGTGGCTGTGAGACACTGGGCTTAGGTAGGTTCGGTTCACCGGAAACAATTGGGTTCGCCCGGCGCTTGTCAAAGCTCCCGGAGCTTCCTCTTCGTCTCGTCTCCCACAATTCGCAGTTTGGATATCGAGCTCCGTTCGTTGGTTTACTTGTTTGTCTTGTCCCGCGCTTATCGAGTTATGTCATGCCCTGACATTTGATCTGCTATACTGGCTGTTAGTTGACTGACTTCATCTGTGTTCGGGTTTCAACAAACTGACCCGGCATTTTGGTCTCGGCACACACTGATCTACCTAATCTATTCCACCTTGATCTAAGTTTCAATATGCTTGGATCATCATGTCCTCCGAGGCTTCTCGTGGTTCCGTATAATACGTACTCAAACTGCAGTTGCACCAAGCACAGTGTCCGTAAGCCAAGTAAGATGGTTATTGTATTGTGGTCGATTGGATAGTGCCCACTTCACTTCAGCTGACAAGGTTTCTTGGATAACTGTGGCGTTGCTGGTGATAGCTGTAGGGTAACAAATCAACATATTCACAGCTTGACCATGGACAACAAATCGCAGCAGTCCTATATGAACTTCTTTCTCTGTGATATCCAATCAGCCAGCCCTGTTTCACCAAAGTGCCATGGCTTGATATTGCATGCCATTGCAGCATCTTTGGTACCGTTGCACCAGCAGTCTCTCAATGACCCGAATAATCCACCGAGCAGATGCATGATCTACAACAACTAGCGTGACTGGTCCGATGATTCATTTCCATCATTCTAGTATTGATAGCCGAATCACTTTGTTCTTGGTCGGTGTTTGTCAACATGTCTCAATCTTGATCCGTGATCTTTGCCCTCGTAGTCTAAGGCCATGATGTTATGACGGCCATAATCTGACCTATTATAACTCATGCCGAACGTGTCGAGTCAGTTTATGACTCGAAATATGGTCTGTATACTCCTGTGAAATAGTATCTGCCAATGTATCGTCTCGCAGTGCTGGTGGAACGCAGGTCTGGCCGGCTTTAAATGTTCATTCCATCAAGTACGAATCTGAGTCACTGCGGGCCGCATACTGTGGCATTTATAACGACTATTGCTAGTACCACTCCCGTCGTGAGGAGCACCTAGAGTTCCTGAAATTCTTCCCCTTCTCCATTTCTTCTTTATGCAGGGCCGTTGTCCTGGTCGCCAGATGTTGCAAGTTGTCTTAGTTGGGATACACCATCTTGACAGCCACTTGTTAGCCTTATGGTACTGACTTACAATGGTAATCGATCTGATTCGTGTCAACATTCTTGTGACTGAGTCATCATCTGACTTGTTGTCTGAGGGATGTATTTACTCTGTCAGTCGACTGAGGTTATTTGTTGACGGTGTCTCATACCTCGATTCATTACTGCTGGTGAGCGAACATTGCGGACAGATCCCGACGTTTGTAAACTGGCATCATTCTGCCATTGAGGATTCAAAGAGTAAAAGAGTTTTGTGAGCCATCCTTGCGTCCATATTGCTATTGATATGAGAGATTGAGTAGTTTTCGATGAGTGTCAATATATGTGTCGATGTTGCGATGCATGTGTATAGGGTATATAGAAGTCGTTGGTGTGAGCAGTGATATGTAATGCAGCTCTGGAAGGATTTATAGCTAAATTGAATTGAATTTATACAATTACTCAGAACGATCTTGAAATATGGAAGACAGTCTTTGTTAGTATCGAATCAGGGTTACGATGCGGTGTTGTTCATTGCACGTAGCAAGATAGAGAGTGCTCCGAAACCGAGACATGCCAACCTCGAGACAGGAAGCAGATCCAGAGAAGCATATCAATTCAGGCTGTAAGTTTACTAAAGCTATACTTTTAAGATCTTGTCTATCCCATGTTAAAGTGTAACTACCCCAAGACGTATGTAATCGCTTGTCTAGACCAAACATAGGGTTGATGATTAGAAGAGAAGAAGCATAAATCATATCATCATGTCTTGCTTCGGCGTGCGATCAGAGTCAAGACTGTACGATATCTTTAGTAAAATCAGCATACTAAGTACGTGCATAACTATATGAGACGATTGGACTTGGATCTCGACTATCATCCGACATTGGAACATTACAATGTCTCGTAGTAAGGCCGTCTAGACATCGGCTGGTACAGAACGGTACATGCAAACCCTGAAGCATGTGTCAAACGTGCTTTGAATGGTCTAGATTATGAATTCACTTGTCAACCGCCACTAAAACAACCTATCGAGAGACGGTTCGAAAAGCCTCACATCGTCAACCCACGCGGCACGAGACCTACCTACTAGAGTGCCCGTACTGCACGTACCCATACACTGCAACAGATTGAAACAACGCGGCGGCGGTCAATCGCAAGCAATCTTTCCAAGAGATTATAAAATTAGATGCTGACGTGTGCTGCCGAATCTCAAATATCCATCCGAGGATCGTAGTACGTATGGATAAATGTAAGGGAGACGACGAAAAGTGGAGAGGCAGAACAAGGACATGCCCAAACCAACAACTCATTGTGCTTGTCAATTGAACAAACAAACAATTAATCATGCCTGCCTGTCTAGCCGCATACTGGAAAGCTTTTCCGAGGTTTGGGGCGGTTGTCAAAAGGGGCATCAAAGACATGTTAACACAAGGCAGGGGTGAGAACGTTCTTCTTGGTCTCTCAATGCTTGAAGAGTCAGGAGAGACAAAAATGAACCGATTAAGAGCAGTTTGGGCAGTGTTGCCGACGGTAAATGATTGGATGCCAACAGTTTGACATTTCCGTTTCCTATAGTTCTGGCTTGGCGAATACCAGATATAACACGGATGGAGTAAGAGATCATGGTCAAGAACCGGCAATGCCGACTTAACCTGTCTCTGTTGCTTTGTCTTTGTCTTTGTCTTTGTCTGGGCGCTTTAATTCAAGAGCCGAGAATGCGGTTGATTGTTAACAGGCGAGTAAGCGTCATGAGACTAAGAATCAGGATCACTGATGCCTCAGTTTATCAATAAGCCTCATTAAACGTTGACCAATTATATCGGCGGGAGAGGTTATTGACAACGGCAATCAGAGGCAGATCGCACCAAAGGAGATCGTGCTCGTTGTTGGCGGCTATTCGTCGAGATACAGTACCTAAGTTTGTTGAAACAATTCGTTGCTGTGATTGGATTCACTTTCCCGCCTCTACTCTAACATGGTTAACGGCCAACCAAAAGTGTTTGTAGATTCACAACAGAACTGACCGCAGCCATGTAATAGTATGTAGCACAACTGTATCGCCGGTAGCGCAAGTTAACCGAAAGCAAATGCAGCCTTTTGGTCTCCCCTGGATAATTTGATGGAACCTGGAATATTATCCAGGGACCAGCGCTTCTTGGGATTCTCTTCCCTGTGAAATCTGCTATTAATTAACTCTTGCAAACTTGTGCCGAAATGAGCTTCGCTAGCAAAGACATGTTTACTCTTCTCATAAATCTGTCGATTGTGAATGATCCCACCCATAGCAACCGAAGATCAGATTTGATTCATGCTCGATCGATAGTCTAGGACGCACACATGAAAGACTAATGAGCATAAGCCACTCGAGTACCAAGACAGGCCGGCCATCTTGGTAATCCTGGGCGAGTCGCGGCCAGACTGTGGAAAGGGGGGTTTGTGCTCCAGCTCGGGTACGTATAGGACCCGCTACTGTACGAAGTGCCGTACCGTACTCAGCATAGTAATTGTATGTACTGTATTTGTTTAAACAAGGACCGGATGTTGCGAAAGAAACGAGGGAGTAGCGGTATAGATTGCGTCGTCGTCGTCGTCGTCGTCGTCGTTGTCGCAAGCATTGCTTCCTCTAATTATTGCAAGGAGCCAGAGCCAAAGTTAGCAGCTGAACTGCATGATTAGTTGATTCAAGTGTCCAGAATAGTTAAGACGGAGAGCTATCTGCTCATCGCAATTTATGCCATGACGACGACAGCAACGGTGGGCAAATGAGCTGATCCAAATGACAATGCATTCATATTCACATACAAACAAACAAAGTCTTCAATGTGCGCTCAGCCATGCGTGGTACGTAAGGTGCATGCAACCAGCGGCGGGCCAAGGAACCAAAAGAGAGACCTTGGTTAATATTGTCTCAATTGATATCAGGAGTCTGGCACTTGTAGAGGTGATAGGGGGTCATGGACCTGCCGATCTATGGAATTGCTGGTACATCAGTAGGTACTTTGCTTCGACACAACCTTTCGGGTAAGAGCGACAAAGAATCAGATGAATGAAAGCATTGACCCTTCCTTCCTTCCTTCCTTCCCTTTGTCCTGTCCTGATCTGCCTGTTGTTGGCATGGAGAAAATGTGACTCGTTTTGGCAGGTGTGCTTACTGCGCCTGCTTGCTGAAATTGAGATGGAAGGATTGTCCAGCAGCAATTGAATGAACGAACTGACGGGGGAGGAACACCCGACAGGGCAAAACAAAACAAAACAAGGGGTTTCTTAGGTCGACGCTGGCCAACCACGACCTGTGATAATTACAGCTATCCAATCACAAAGCGTACTGGACATGTAATCTCCCCGTACTGGGCAGTCGTAAATTTAGCGGACACTAGTACCAATAGGAGGCGTGGCATGAATTTCCCTAACTGTAGCCTCGCATTAATCTTGTCAGGTACCCCTGGACTGTCGTTGGTCCTAGGAAGTCGAGGTCGTCGTCTAGTCTCTTGGGTTTAGATTTAGAACTTCCTTCTCCTGGAAATCTCCCGACCTCCCCTGGACTTGGTAGACGGTCACCCCTTGACGGTCTGGAAAAGTCTCCAAATAGACACTCCCTTGACTGAGCCAAGGAAACCATGATGCAGCGTATCCGTACATACCCGTACTGACGCTGGAACTGATACTAGACCGCTTGAGGAGCAAGTAACTGCTTCTGGCATTTTCCCTTGGTATCATGTCTCACTTCATGATACCGCATTCATGACCTGACTGACCTGATCTGAGCTGCTTTTTCGGATCCATGGTGGATGGATGTTAGTTAATCTCCCCTGGGTCCCTGCCTTAGTTTCTCTTGGACTTAATCACCCCCTGCTCCTGACCTTGTTAGTCTCCCCCCTCCAGGCCTCCCCTTCTCCCCCAGTCCCTGGTCCCCCGTCAAGACTCTGGGCCTCTTCTCATTCTTATCCCCTTTCGTCTCCGTCGACCCCAGGCGCTTTGTTCCTTTTGCTCTCGTCGTGCGCTCTTTACTTACCAACTGAGAGTTTCATCTTTACTCACTCTCTTCCACACTCATTTATCCATCTGTTTTTGTTTTTTCTTTGGCCTTTTGCCTTACCACGTTCGCTTTTACAGCAGTCACTCACTTCATTCGGCGGATTTGATCTTGCTTTAAGCCATTCTTCAAGAAAAGGTTAGTTGCTGAATCTTGCATGATGAGGGACCGTCGAGTTCCCCAAAGGAATTGTCCTCCATTGAGGAGGGGAGAAATACCATGAGGACACGAACGAGGAAGGAAGATAGAGTCGCAATGTGATGACAAAACGGACAACATAACGATATTCGAAACTACAAACGCAAAAAAACAAGAGGAGGATCAATTTGACGGACGACAATCAGCTATGAACTTTGATCTACCTGGTCAGATGGGAGATGGAGGCGAGATACAATCTCAAAAGCATGGGAATCATCGAACCGCGACTTGACCGACCACAGGACGGCAGCAGTTATACGCTTGCGACACCCACGTCTTTCTGACCGCTCTATTAACCTATGCCGTACCCTAGCCATTTGGCCCACCTGGTGATGGGAACCGGATCATATATTAGACTTACTATGGCAACCGTTGAACACAGAAAGCTAACCATGACTTTAGATTTTATAGTTGGACCACGATACATACCGTTACAATGAAGAACCTTATCACTTACACTCTTGCGGCCACGCTTGCCGCCGGCGCTACCGCCCAGCACCACCAGCACCAGCACATGCACAACCGCCGCCATGCTGGCTCCAAGATCGAGAAGCGCAGCCCTGACGTTGTCACCGAGGTCGTCGTTGGTGCCACCGAAACCGTCTACGAGCTTGCCGGAAAGGAGATCGACCTCGACGCTGCCAAGGCCGGTCTTGACGGAGGAAGCCTTGTTATCGTTGGCGAGTCTAACCCTACCTACGACGCCCCTGCTGCTCCTCAAACCCCTGCTGCCCAGGCCGTCAAGGCTTCCGAGCAGAAGCAGGAGGTCGGCGCTCAGTTCTACGAGTCCCCGACCGAGGCTTCCACCGAGGCTTCCGCTGAGGCCTCTGCCGATATCCCCAAGCCTGTCTACTCGGCCCCTGCTGCCACCAAGCCTGCTGCCTCCAAGCCCAAGGCTTCTAAGCCCAAGACTGGTGGCTCCAGCTCTGGCTTCACTGGCACTGGTTCCGGTGTTGACAAGAAGTTCGAGAGCGGCACCATTAGCTGCGACACCTTCCCCTCTGAGTACGGTGCCGTTGCTCTTGACTGGCTCGAGCTCGGTGGCTGGTCCGGTATCCAATACGTTCCTGACTTCAGCCTCTCCTCCAAGAGCATCTTCAAGATTGCTACCGCCATCAAGGGTGATGGCTGCACCCCTGGAGCTATGTGCTCCTATGCCTGCCCTGCTGGCTACCAGAAGACTCAATGGCCCTCTGCCCAGGGTGCTGACAAGGAGTCCGTCGGTGGACTTTACTGTAACGAGGACGGCAAGCTTGAGTTGACCCGAGATGAGTACGACACTCTTTGCGATGCTGGTGTCGGTGGTGTCTCCATCCAGAACGACCTGGACGAGGATGTTGTCACTTGCCGAACCGATTACCCCGGAACTGAGAACATGGTCATCCCCGCTCTCGCCAGCGCTGGTAGCTCTGTCAACATTTGCAACCCTGCCCAGGACAAGTACTACGTCTGGAACGGCTCCGGCACCTCTGCTCAATACTACGTCAACAAGAAGGGCTACAGCATTGAGGACGCCTGTGTTTGGGATAGCCCCAAGGGCAAGGATGCCGGTAACTGGTCCCCTGTTGTCCTCGGTGTTGGCCAAGCTGCCGATGGCAACACCTACATCTCCATCTTCCAGAACCTGCCCACCAGCACCGCCGAGCTTGACTTCAACATTGAGATCAAGGGAGACGTCAACTCCAAGTGCTCCTACGTCAACGGCAAGTGGAGCGCCGGCGGATCCGGCTGCACCGTAAGTCACATTGTTAACACCAAATGAACTCGATGCTAACTTATTCATAGACCACTATCCCCAAGGGTGGCAAGGCCGTTATCCGATACTTTTAAGAACCAAAGTAACTTTACTTGTCGAGTAAGATGTGCGTTTTGGAACTTCTTTGTCAATATTCTGGGCGGCAGAGCTCAGGACCTTTCGGCCGCAGGCCACGGACGATTGCGAGTAGTGGAACATCAGTTGAGTCTATCAACAAAGTGTTCAATTGCTGGTGCGCTCGGGGCTCCTCCCCCTCTTCGGCTGGCTAAAATATCTTGGATGGATAACCAATAGGACTGAAGGTCAATTCGATGGCCGGTCTTGGTGATAATCTTGTTCTCCGGATGTTTTACCGGCAATTTTTGCATTAAATTTCTTATGTCAGCACGTACTCCATATACTGCGTTTTGGACTTGTCACGAATCGACTATGCCTTGAATCATTGTATGGTGACGGAACGGACGTATGCAGCCAGCGATTGCGAATTCTTTTGCATTGGGAGGAGCCCGTACGGCGTTTTTTACCCCGATGAGAGGGCGATGGGAGAATCTCTCGGAGCATCAACAACATCAGGTGGTCGACACCGTTGGGTCCTGGAATAAGACGCCCCTCTTAGAGCTTAGCTTGTCTATGTAATGTCTTTTGAATTGGATAGTGTATAGTGTCTTTTTAACTTTTGGTTATTCATATACCTCTACGTTGATTGTCTTATGTGATGTATAGTCTTGTTTAATATCCGAGGCTGTCGTTGAATTGCACAAGTAACTTTAGACTTTCGCCTCCCCCAGACGCCACAGCCGGGAGGTACCTCCTCAGGTACCAAGGTTAGTACCTTGAAGGTTCAAGTTGTTTTAAGCTACTGTACAGAGTACTTCTGCGCTGTAACGTAGGGATGCACCAATGTAGCTAAACCCGGACTGCCAACCAGAGTTGAGCATCTCGCAGCATCGATGCTGCATGTGACCCTTAGCCGGAACCAATTCCCACGTCTAGCTGCTTCTTGTGTGCCGCTCCAGCGTCATCTCAGATGAAGGAGGGTGGTAATACCGGCTGACAGGTCTGGCATTTGATGATTTGGATTGGCGAATTGATGTCGCTCAGACATTAGTAAATGAAACAATGAGATGAAGAAATCACATATGCGGGGTACCTATGTACGATGGAAAAGAGGCAGACGGCAATAGCAGGAGAGGGGAGGCTCAACCGATATTGGATACTCGAAGCTTGGCTGCAGCTCAGCGTCGTATCTGTTAAGTGACAAAACCAGTCACGCTGGAAATATTCAGGCAATGATAAAAGATAAGTGCCTGCCTGTAAGTCGATTCTGCCGCTAAAGAAGCGTTACTGCGGCTTGCCGTCTAGTGGCGCATCATGATCCCATCCCTCATCGTCATCGACTCCACACAATGTTTTACCCGGAGCATGTTTAAATACCCAACCAAGGCCTTTTTCTTATTAGGCTCAGACCTGATAGAGCTATTAGGTTCCCTTCTGATAACTCGCGGTTCCTGCGATTTTTGACCTTGAAAATCGACATCGACAAAATGTCGCTGAACCGGGTTCAAAGCATCGAGACGTTGACGGCTCCGCCCGGTCATTATGGTGTTTCTACTGAGAGGAGAGGCAGTGATGCGAGTCTGAGGGTTCGGCGGTTGACGTTTAATCCCGTGCCGCAGGACTTTGAAACCGCATCTCTTAGACCTGACGAGCAGCATGCAGAGACTGTCGGGGCTTTCGAGGTTCCTCAGTGGAAGAGAATGCGTAAGTTGCCGCTTATCAGGGATGGGAAAGATAGAGGGAGTGCTAACGTGTAAGAACAGTCCAGATTGGTGCTGCCGTTGTACATTGTCTATTTGCTGCAGGCATAGGTCAGTATCTTGTCATCCATCCATTCTCAACGTCTGGCTAATGCTGTTTTCAGTCTTTGGTTATGCCGCTATCAAGCCTGTTCTCAAGCTCGAAGGCGCATACTCTGATATCTGTGAAGCCACCAAATATCAGAGCCCGACAGGTCATGCCAGCGCCATTTCTGATGACCCGCACGATACATGCGTTGAAATCAGGCTGAACTTGATGTTCACAGTGGCTGCTGTTGGCACCAATGTTGCAGCTCTGCCCGTAGGCGCAATCCTCGACAATTACGGCCCTCGTGTTTGTGGCTTGTTAGGATGCCTCTTTCTAACCATAGGCACTTTACTTATGGCATATGCTCGGTCTTTGCCATTTGATGGTCTGCTACCGGGGTATCTGTTCCTGGCTCTCGGAGGTCCTTTCACCTATATTTCATCCTTCCAGCTTTCCAATGCCTTCCCACGACACTCGGGACTCATCCTGGCGCTTTTGACCGGTGCCTTCGACTCTTCAAGCGCATTGTTTCTCGTCTACCGTCTTATATACAATGCCACCGATGGAGCCTTCACTCTGCATCGCTTCTTTCTTGTCTACTTGGCAGTCCCAATTGTAATCTTCATCAGTCAGATTCTGATCATGCCGGGACAATCTTATAAGACGGTTGGAGAACTTGTCGACCAAGCTGCCGATGCCGACGATAACATTGTCGTTCGCTCGACTACGAGCACTCAGCAAGAGATTGACGAGCACACGGCTCTGCTCCGCGACGAGCGCCGTGAAGAAAGAGAACGACGAGAAGCCGTGGTCCACGACATTGAGAACCTTCTGGGATCATCTAAGGGTGATGACCAAGTCGAGGCCAAGGAACGGAAGCATGTTGCATCGGGTGTCTGGGGCGTTCTCCACGACTGTACTGTCCTCGATCAGATCCGATCTCCTTGGTTCATACTTATCTGCCTCTTCACCGTCGTGCAGATGACGCGTATCAACTTCTTTGTTGCTACTATCCGACCACAGTACGAGGCCATCTTTGGCGATCGCGAGCGCGCTGTGAGGATAAACACATTCTTTGACGTTGCCCTCCCGGCGGGTGGTATCTTTGCGATCCCCTTTATCGGAACAGCTCTCGACCATGTCAGTACTGTCCTCGTGCTGTCAGCCTTGGTAGCATGTGGTACGCTCATCGGTATTCTGGGTGTGTTGCCTTACGAATGGGCGGCCTACGCAGGAATTATCCTCTTTGTTCTGTATCGTCCGTTCTACTACACTGCCGTGTCGGATTACAGTGCCAAGGTATTTGGTTTCCGAACCTTTGGAACTGTGTATGGTCTTATTATTTGTCTATCTGGCCTCCTAAACTTTTCGCAGTCGGGCCTCGACGTCCTCTTTCACCAGACCTTTAACGGTAACCCGGTACCCGTCGATATCATGCTTCTCGTTATTGGTCTGGCCATCGGTGTTGCGCTCGTGGTCTTCGTAGCAATGGAGCTTCGCAAGATGCAACAAAAGGCCAGGGCGGGCATATCACAATAATGTTGCAGCTTTCAATTTGTTAGATCCTTCATTGAAAAGAGATGATGGATCAGGTGCGCTTGGATAGATCCGAGTGTCGACAGACGAGAGTTCTCTTATACCTATCTCCCTCCTGGAAACCTAGGAATATAGCGTTAAACAATTCGAACTATCAGCACATACGACCATACCTACC